CTGGAAAGTAAAGGCAGCCGACGTAACGTTGACCACATCACCCACAGAGTGCCGATTGGACTGTAAACTATAGATCTAGCCCTATATGCCCAATACGCATGAAAGCGTTGGAAAAGGGTAATTTACATGACACACTCTACCAACTAATCTACGTAGCTACATACCTCCTTGCCTAAATGCACGTAAGTGACACAGAAAGCATGCAGAGGAAGGTGAGGACAGACATGCTTTGTGCAGAGTAGCATGCTTCGCTTCGGAAGTCACAGGTGGGGAGCATTGCCTAGATCTTTTCTCCGGGGCATATCGGCGTGTTGGGAAATGAACAGGCGGCCAGAATAACTGGCTCTGCATAGCTTGGTGGAACCCTAATGCATGCTAAGGCAGACGTGGCCAAGGCTTTATGGGAGCATTTGTACAATTCGGGGAAGCAAATCGATTATTAGTCTGGTGAAAAGGATGCAGCGAAAAGTGACGAGGGGATCTGGCAGATACTCAACGCTCAGAGAAAACGCCAAATTGACGCATTATCAGACTTCTGCGAGTACTATTGGTATTGGAACTGCGCTGGCCGCTGAGATAGGGACCGAGCACTTATGGGAATGCCCTGAGTGCTGTGTTGTCGGTTCTTGAATCAGCTCAACTTAACTGCATGCAAAAGTGCATGATTGAATGTACGCCTGTTTACCTAAAAACACACCAAACAAACAACTAACTCAAATGGGACGTATAGAAGATACTGATAATCACAAAGAAACAAGAATTTACTCTTAGCCTCTAACTTACACACCACTCTTTGCACGTGAGACATGATATGTTATAGGAAGGAGATGAGATGGTGAGTCATTCCTCCCTTCGCTATACGCCCCCCCCCCCCCCCCTGTCACATACCGCTCCTGTCACGTGCCTGAATTAAGGATTTCTCCTTTAGAACCAACAGCACTCTGAAATAATAATGTTGAGTCGTTGGCTCGTATTGGTCTAAGGGATATCCCGTGGCCAATATACGCTCAACTTATTCCAGGAGTAGGGCAACTCAAGCTTTGGCACTACAAAATATATAATATTCCTAGGCACACTTGGCTGGACACCCCAACTACTATAAAAAGGTAGCTCCCAGGTTATGATAGTTTACTATCATAGCCATGTTAACACAGATTACGCTTATTACTCCCACACACACAAAAAGCTAGACAGTTAGAATGGTGAAACAGGGACACCTAAGTCAGCCATGAGAATTTCTGCATGTAATAAGTACAATATATATAAATATATTAGTGAATAGATCATCAAGAATGTTCAGTGAATGTTCATGAATCAATGACACAACCTAGATGTTGAAGCAGCCAGATGTAGTTCTTGGAGTTCATCATGGGAATCACAAGGAGCTGTGGGAAGAGAGCATGTATATGAATAACAGATTACTTATCCCAGTTAGTAGGTCAATGCTCCCCTCAGTCCATGGTGATTCGACTGTAGTTGACTCAATAGGTAGCTATGCCTCAATTTGATCTGGTACAAGCTGACTGTCTCACAAGTGAGGACACAGGAACTGCATAGGAGCCCAACAAAGCTCTCGAAGACTGTGGTGCCCACTGACTGTCTCACAGGTGAGGACACAGCTCTTGAAGACTGGTTCTCTGGATTGATGACATAGGTGTGTGCAATTGTCCACAAGTCCTGGAACTCACAAACAAGCTCTTGCCATGTTGAGGTAGTGGCAATACTAGGTAGGACTTTTGGGTATGCTTGTTGCCCAGAATGGTATGGGTTTGTGGTTGTTGGCTGGACTGTGATTCGTCTGCCTGATCTCTAAGGAGGTATCATCCCAAGCTTAGGAATTCTTCCAAGATAGAACTGGTACTTTGAATGCGCCAATTTTATTCATAGACTGTAAACACGTCTTGACACTTAGGAGACCAGGCCGAGGAATGCCGCTCAAAACTAAGCTTGGCGTATCTAGGAAATAAGTCCCTGTATTCATGCCCTATGAGTAAACAGGCTTACATGAATTTCTGAATTAAACACCAGAAATCTTCAGTTGCAAGTTTGAAAATGAAGATTTCTCAAAGCAACTAGAGGGTCTAGAAATGAATATTTCACCAGATAAAGGTATATATCAATATAAGGGACTATATACCCCCTCCCCCCCCCCCCCCGGGACGGGTTTAAGTTTGAAATATGACGTGCCCGCTGGGAAGTCAGCGTCACGACTCGTCCATCATGTAGGATTGGCTGTTCACTCCACGACACCCCCCCCTTTCTCTTCTAACCCCCCCCCCCCTTCTAGAAAATCGACCCCCCCCCCACCACCACCCAAAAAATCCCTCCTAAAAAAACATCTTCCCTCATCCCTAAACATCGTCTTTCTCTCCTAGATATCTATGCCCTAAACATTTTATATCTTTCTTAAATGTAAATATAATTCCCCATATCCTAAACTTTCACCCCTCTTCGCTTAACATCACTCCCCTTTTCTAAACATCCATCACCTAGAATGCATCTCTCTTCATTAAAACCTTTCCCCATTGCTTAAACATCTTTTATTGCTCCTAAATATCCTTCCCTTCCCATAAATATCCTTACCATCTCCTAAGTTTCTACCCCTTAAACATTACTCTTCTTCCCTTAACATCCTTCCCTACTCTTAAACATCCTTACACCTCCATAAACATCCTTCCCCTCCATAAACATCCGTTTTACATATCTATCTTATTTGGACACAGACTGCTGGTTCATCGCCTTCCCAGCAGATACACTCCGACTTTGAAGAAAATACCCATAATTAGTATCATTTTACGACATGCTTGTTGGAGGGTCAGTGTGTCTAATCTTTTCCCCTAAATGAGGTTCTGGAACCCACACAAGGAGAGGATGGTAGCATCACACACACACACAAAACACACACAAGTATTTGAACAAAGAAGACACAAACAATAGACTGCACAATTTATTGCCTAGCATATTTCGCTGTATCTCGTCAGGTGCATACTACAGTAACAAATAGCTGAATCCTAGAAACTGAAACGCTAATTTGACTACATTCTTGAACTGTCTGTTTCACTAAGGTAACCGAACGGTAACGACCATTTCTTTCTGCCTACAGAGTTCTGGTTTCCACCGGCAGATCGCCGACGCTTCCGTATATCGGAGTAATCTACGGTTGACCGAATTGTAAATAATTCGAAATGCATCATCTTTGTTAACGATGTGCCTGGAATTTAGAATATGGTACCCAATTGCTAATGATGGATTTTGTTGACCAGTCACCTGATTGGTTGTTGCTGAGGTGTTAGTGTTCTACATTGCTTTTACCGCCCATAGTGGAATATCTTCAGCAACCCGTTTCTCCAGTCGTCGATCGGTTCTGCCCACATATGCAGCGTTACAGGCGCATTTAAATTGGTAAATACAATTAGATCTGTCGTACGTCGACACTGGTTCTTTCACTGGTGGCGTAGGAATCATGGTGGTTTTAAATCTCATAACAGGCATGGCTGCGTAAAAAAGTTTGACTGACGGCTGTTTTGAGTCGGTCATATACATGTTGCATGACATCATCTCCTCGAAACGTTAGACGTATATAAACTTGTTGGGCACCGAAATTTCTAGGGTAATTGGTTTGGGCGGCTGGCAATGGTGCTTAATAAAACCACCTGGATATCTATTAGAAAGCAGTGTAATGTATTTTTTCAAATGACTAAATAGAAAAAGATTATAATGATATTTAAATATGACTAAAATTATTTATTATCCCATTGTGGGTTGCCGGGACCCATTTGGGAGAAAAAGGACAGACCCATTGTCTCCCTAAACTGAGATGCAAGGAACCACCAGCCTGCAGACAAGTAATACAGATTTGTAAAACGGATGCTCAAATGAAACACAAGTTCTAGGAAATTACCAAAGTCCAGAACTGGATTAACAACAAGAACTTTTTATCGGAGTTATTGTTCGAGCTAGTGTGTAGCGGTGTGCAAATTGGGAGACCAGCGTAAAATTTAGCCCTTTTTAGCATTGTAGCTACTTTTAGATATTCTGACAAAGATTTTTTTTTTTTTTTTGTAAAAGGAGAAGGGGAATGAGACTTTCCAACAACGGGCCGTGCACGAATTTTCTTTAGAAAAAACTCACGATATCCAGCACAACCTAATTAAGTCCTAAACAATCATTTCACAGACGAACAGGTCACGTAGAAGATAGATTAGATATAATTAGATAATTTGGAGCAAGTTATCTGCAAAAACGGATAAAGTCAAAATAGGGAGGGAAAATTTTGAGATTGTGCCATGAAATGTAATGAAAAACATTTAGTGTCCAAACACTCCAGCCTGGGTTACAAACACCATTTTATCACTTATTAACAATCATTGACAGGATTATATGCTTGAACAAACAAAATGCGTATCGGTTCCCAGCATATCGCCACCATAGCTTAAGTGCCATAATGCCACGAATGCAAATAAAAACAGCTTGCTCCATAAAATAATAATAATACGGCAGGTTGCACTAAAATATCAGATCTTAATAATAATCATAACTTTTTGCAATAGCTATCCCATTTAAAGATATGCAAAGCTGACCTGCTTTCCCAGTTGTGTTGTCATAAAAGAGTGATACAAATATAAAAAGGACGTCAGCAAAGAAGGCAATATAACAAAACAAAAAAAGGCTTGTTTACACAAAACAGCTGACTTAATACAATACGTGAGTACCAGTTGTTCATAATCAATCAACCGTGACCTGCTTTTGTTTTTTTTAAATATATTTTAGATTGGTTCATTTGTAAATGCAATTTATGTGAAAGACTGACAAATAAGAGCATTTAGGAAAAATAAAAAGGGTTTAACAAAGATAAACAAAGCAGAAAATGTTGAAAATTACGAGTGGGCGGAGTCAAACTTAGTCACGTGACGTTTAGCAGCAGAAGACCAGCCGCCATAACGGTTGTTGTTTATTTGTTGACGAAGAAGACGGTGAGCAAGTGAAAACTAGCTGCAAACATGTCATCTCCCAGTCCTGGAAAACGTCGTATGGACACCGACGTTGTCAAACTGTATCCTTTTTGTATAAATTAATCTTAGTTCATGATCTGTGTGAACTAATGTTAGTCAGGTATTCTCATGCAAAATAATAATATCTGTAGACTGGGCCATATCTTGCTATACCACCAACGTCTCAAGGCTTCAAGTTTCTCTTTATTGTGTTCCAACTGGAATTGTAGCTACCGGACCGTTATTCGGAAGATAGCCACAGTTTTGAATGCAGAAATATCTTCTTGTGCCTTGTATATATACAATAGGACACATCCCCCAACCACCTCACACCTTTCCTTCGTCTTCTCATGTTACTATGTCCTCCCCCACCCCATTTATTAGTCAACTCTCTTTACTTCTCTTTTCTGTATTTTTTTCAATAAAGTATGCCCGTATTTCTTTCGAATTGCTGGTTCCATTGCAGAACTTTTATTATCATCATCAATCAGTGTTTGTGTCACGTGTTTTTGTGTGAGACATGAAGAAAGAGAAACAGAGGGAAGAAACTAACATGTCTGTATTATAAACGTAATGCTCTAAATGTTTTTATTCAGGGGTTAAAAAAAAGATCCATTTCACTTTTTATTACTAGTAGAAAATGAATATGCTAGTATGCACATTAACTTCAGCAAAGACATATTTATTTATTTTTGACAACTTCAGCATCCACCACTTTTACCTCACTGTCAATTAAGGTTAATGTTGCACTGACATCGACATTACCAAAATCATACCTTTAACCTTTTGTCAACAACAATGCTCCAGAGAGGGGAAGAGAGGTAGATGTGGGCATATGCACACACACAAACAGATTAAATTGTTTCTTCTTCTTCACAATCACCAACTATAATCACCTGCAGAAAGTTTTGGTTTAGTTTTGGTTTTGCATTCACTTCTGGACTTCAGAAACTTGTTCCAGAAACTACCCGAGTTTTGCCTACACATCTATTTCCCAGATCTGACTTATTTGTATGCAGACTGTTTACCCCTTGCCTCTCAGACAGATTTACTCTACTTAGTCGACTCTTACAACATGCTGTTTTGGTTGGGGGGGGGGGGGGGGGGGGGGGAAGGTTCTTTTTTCCCCCACACTGGGAATTAAATTGCTGATATTTGAGGCACATAATTGCTTGTTCATTTCTTAACTGTTTTTGAAGCATTGAAAGCAAACATGAGGTGACCATTCTTGGTGGGCTGAACGAATTCATGGTGAAGTTTTATGGACCATTAGGCAGTATGTTTTTGTTTTTTAAAATAATTTTTTTTTTCACATCTTTAAGATTATTGTTTTTAAGTTGGTCTTCTTCTTTGTATTCTTCTTCTTCTTTTTTTTTTTTTCCTGATTTACACTGACAGACACATTCTTATAATAAACTTCACTGATTTTAGGAGTCTTTCTCTTTAGTTCTATACAACTTTTACTGCAGTGTTGACTCATTGGGCCAGTATTAAATTCCTAATGAGTTTGACTGCAGTGTTGACTCATTAACCCAGTATTCACTTCTTAATGGGTTTGACTGCAATGTTGACTCATTGGGCAAGTATTCACTTCTTAATGGGTTTGACTGCTATGTTGACTCATTGGGCCAGTATTCACTTCTTAATGGGTTTGACTGCAATGTTGACTCATTTGGCCAGTAATGGGTTTGACTGCAATTTTGTCTCATTGGGCCAGTATTCACTTCTTAATGGGTTTGACTGCAATGTTTTCTCATTGGGCATTTCACCATTAATTTGACAGGACATTTCACCAGTAACTTGACAGGACATTTCATCAAAACTCGACAGGACATTTCACCAGTAACTTGACAGGACATTTCACCAGTAACTTGACAGGACATTTTACCAGGAGTTTGACAGGAAATTTCACCAGTAACTTGAGAGGACATTTCACCAGTAACTTGACAGGACATTTCATCAGTAACTTGACAGGTCGTTTCCCTAGTAACTTGACAGGACTTTTCACCAGCAACTTGTAAGGACATGTCACCAGTAACTTTACAAAACATTTCACCAGTAACTGACAGAAAATTTCACCAGTAACTTGACAGTAAATTTCACCAGTAAGTTGACAGGACATTTCACTGGTAACTTGACAGGACATTTCACCAGTGTCTATTTTTTTGACTGGATCAGCCTGGGTGTCTAGGTAAATTGTAAAATCCAGTTCAGTAGGTGTTCAATTGTCTGGCCAACAAGCAGGCATACTAACCATTGTGGTACAATGCAAATAAAACAAAAAAGTATTGGTTCTATATACAGGCCATACAGCGGTGATATCTGCAGCAATGAATCTTAGTGGACTGGAATGCCAAAGAAGAAGTTTTATGTGTCTTCCTGCAGTTGTTTTGAGAAATATGAGCCACACATACTGGCTTTCTCGTGTGGGTTCTGAAACCCCATTTGAAAGAGAGAAACAAAATACTCACATGCCTCTGACAAGTATGCTGTAAAAGGCGACAAGTTAGGGAGTTTTCCTCTGATGCCAGAACCTATCTGCCTGAGTGGCAAGGAACCAGCAGTCTGCATACAAGTAAGCTGGATCTGTAAAATGGATGTGCATACAAAAATTCAAGTTCTAGAACAAAACTGAAGTCCAGAAGTGGATGAACAACCAGAACTTTCTGCTGAAGTATACAACTGACGAATTCTAAGAAGAAGAAGAAAAGACATACTGTCTTCTTATCCAATAAGAGTTTTACTGGCTGTTAATCTCATAAGAGTTATACTGGCTGTTTATCCCATAATAGTTATACTGGCTGTTTATCCTATAATAGTTAAACTTGATGTTTATCCCATCATAGTCTTACTGGCTGTTTATCCCATCATAGTTATACTGGCTTTTTATTCAATGAGTTATACTGGCTGTTTATCCAATAAGTTATACTGGCTGTTTATCCCATCATAGTTATACTGGCTTTTTATCCAATAAGTTATACTGGCTGTTTATCCCATAATAGTTTTACTGGAGGTTTATTTCATAATAGTTATACTGGCTGTTTATCCCATAATGGTTGTACTGGTTGTTTATCCAATAAGTTGTACTGGCTGCTTATCCTATAATAGTTATGCTGGATGTTTATCCCATAATAGTTATACTGGCTGTTTATCCTATAATAGTTATACAAGATGTTTATCCCATAATAGTTATACTGGCTGTTTATCCCATAATAGTTATGCTGGATGTTTATCCCATAATAGTTATACTGGCTGTTTATCCTATAATAGTTATACAAGATGTTTATCCCATAATAGTTATACTGGCTGTTTATCCCATAATAGCTGTCATCATCATCATGTACCCTGCCAACTGGCGTATGTGCTCGTGAGTCTCCACAGATCACGATCCCTGGTTGCCTGGAACAGCTCTGTTGAGGATATCCCTCCATGCAATCGTATCAGCCCATCCAGCATCATCTGTCTTGGTCTGCTTCTACCCCTTTTTCCATTTGATCTTTCCAGTTGTCACGATTTTCTCTAATGTCTCTTTTCTTATTATGTGGCCAAAGAACAGTGTTTGTCTCTTTCTTATTGTTGTATATATAGATCTTCTTTTATTAGCTTCTTTAAAGCAATCATGGTTAGTTACTCTGTCCGTCCAAGGTATTCGTAACATTTGTCTCAGAAACCACATCTCTGTTGCTTCCAAATTCTTCCTAATTTGTTCATTGACATCCCAATAATCACTGCCATACAGCAGAACAGGTTCTATGTAACGTTTTAGCACCCCTCTTTCTGAATAATAGTTATACTGGCTGTTTATCCTATAATAGTTTTACTGGCTGTTTATCCCATAATAGTTATACTGGCTGTTTATCCCATAATAGTTATACTGGCTGTTTATCCTATAATAGTTATACTGGCTGTTTATCCCATAATAGTTATACTGGCTGTTTATCCCATAATAGTTATACTGGCTGTTTATCCTATAATAGTTTTACTGGCTGTTTATCCCATAATAGTTATACTGGCTGTTTATCCCATAATAGTTATACTGACATTTTATCCCATAATAGTTATACTGTTTATCCCATAATAGTTATACTGACTATTTATCCAATAATAGTTAAACTGAATGTTTATCCCAAAATAGTTTTACTGGCTGTTTATTACAAAATAGTTATACTGGCTTTTTATCCAATTAGAGTTACACTGGCTGTTAATCTAAATAAGAGTTTTACTGTGTTGCCTCCTTTCAAAACTTCAATATTATATTTTTAGTATAACTACCATTCAACATATTTTGGGAACAACACAAAAGAGAAAAACTGGAGTGCATCAGAACAGCTGAAAAGTTGGACAGGAAGAAATGAAGGAGGAAGGAACTAAGAGAGAAGTTGTTAATATATCATCATGGCATGGAAGAACTTCTGTATCAGAACTGATAGATGGTACATTAGATAGAAAACTATGGGTTGACATGACCAGTACCATACATCGGGGATGATCAAATTACAGAAATAAAGTACTAACAGGTCATGAATTCCATACTTAACTTCCTTAATGTTTGCTATATTTGTTTCAGCACCTTATGAAGGAGGGGTGTGGAAAGTTCGAGTAGATTTGCCAGACAAGTACCCCTTCAAGTCCCCATCAATAGGTAACTTAACATTGTGTATAAGGCCAAAATATCATCAATAGGTTACTTGACATTGTGTATAAGGCCAATATATCATCAATAGGTAACTTGACATTGTGTATAAGGCCAATATATCATCAATAGGTAACTTGACATTGTGTATAAGGCCAATATATCATCAATAGGTACCTTGACATCATGTATGAGACCAATATATCATCAATAGGTAACTTGACATTGTGTATAAGGCCAATATATCATCAATAGTTAACTTGACATTGTGTATAAGGCCAATATATCATCATTAGGTCACTTGACATTGTGTATAAGGCCAATATATCATCAATAGGTAACTTGACATTGTGTATAAGGCCAATATATCATCAGTAGGTAACTTGACATTGTGTATACGGCCAATATATCATTAAAAGGTAACTTGACATTGTGTATAAGGCCAATATATCATCATTAGGTAACTTGACATTGTGTTTAAGGCCAATATATCATCAATAGGTAACTTGACATTGTGTATCAGGCTAGTATATCAGATATTGGGACATGTGATGTTTTGATATTTCATCAGTGACTGGGTTGCACATTAATTCGCCGGTAAACAATTTTGTCGCCAGTCAGGACAGTATTTGGGTCTGTCTGCTTTGATCGCATCAACACTGTAAGAGTCTTTTTCAGGGCTCTAGGTGGCCTGCAGTACTAAGCCATTTTATGTGGCGCACATAACCTAGTCACAATTATAACCTAAAGCTCCCCCTTCGGGTATGCTTGTTGAACATGATGTTTTGTTTTTTTTAAGCAAAGCACCACCACCTGTTTATTGTTATTTTATATGAAGTTTTGTGGGCTGCTGTTGCTGGTTCTAAAAATCGTCTTCTTCACCTTCACTGGCTGTAAACTCCAACAGAAAGTTACGGTTTGTTCACCTTTGATTTTGTCTTGTTCCAGAAACTGAGTGTTGCATGCAGATCTGTTTTACAGATCTAGCTTATTTGCATGCTGACCTTTGGTTCCTTGCCTCTCAGGCAGATGTACTCTGTCTTCTAAGGAATCTCCCAGTTAGTTGACTTTTACGTCATGCTTGTAGGAGAGGAAGTGGGTCTATTCTTATTTTCCCCACAGTGGGCCCCTATCACCCACATGGGGAGGGTTTCAGAATAATCCCACTTGTGTTCTCCCCAGTTGTGTGTTGTTATTATTTGTTTTATATTCTTTATTTTTGATTGATTTTATTTTATATTTAACAGTTCATGTGTTATTTAGGTTTTTATGTTTAGTATTGAACTGTTTTTTTTTTTTTTGTGAACTAGTCTGTTTAAGTCATGGAACAAAAGTTGTTGGTATAATGTTGGTATGAAGTCTGTGATGACCAGTGAAATTTTGTGTCATTTGTAAAGTAGTATCATAAATGAGTGTTTGGGTTATGTAAACATATATAATATACGTAGAACTCTAGTTTGCTTGTGTCTCATTTTCAGGATTTATGAATCGGGTGTACCATCCCAACATTGATGAAGTGTGAGTATCAGTTTATACTCATAAACATTCTCATTTTCACTCGCATATTTTAAAATTAAAATATTAGAATTAAAAAGATGGTGTGGGGAGATGAGGTTTGTTTATTTGCCTGCATTAGCACATTGACTTATGTGTGGTGAGAGAGTTTGGCCACACTGTAGTATAGAGGTTATTTATTTGCCAAAGTGTCAGCATGCATAGGTAGGCTATGATTTTGTTTTTTTAAAAGATTCTCACCTGTGGCGTTACAGGAACTTAAAATCATAACATGAAAAATAACTTTGAATAATGGTAAAAAGTCAGGGACCTTTTTCCCATGCCTCCAGGCATATAGGGTTAGACCTATATTTTTATAGACCAGTCGGCGCCATTTGGAAGGAAATAACCTGTGGAAAGGTGCCCCAGACAGCAGAGCATGTACTTCAGGACTGCACTGAATTTGACACATTAAGGCAAACCTTTTGGCCAGAAAGAACAGCAGTGGAACGTAAACTCTTTGGATTTACGACAGTGAAATTTGTACAAGAGACAAAATTGCTGAAATAGACTTACAAAATTGCTGATAAAGACTTATTTCAGGTGAACGATAGAAGAAGAAGGAAATAACTTTTTAGACATAGGTAATTACTTCAACACTGTTTATATTTTTTGGAATGCTGAAATACTTTGTTTCTAGCTGCTGGCAGTTTGGCAGATGTTAAGTAACAATGGAGTTAGGATGTTTAAAATAACAGAAGACTGGTACAGAAAATGTAAAGCAAGGTGCACCTTTTAAAAATAACAAATGAATGTATTGTGCTCGCCAAGGTACTGAAAGAGTTAAGCGTGTGATTCAAAAATAAATGCCACATATGACTTACAGTATTTCTCCAAGTATAAGATGCTCATGTATATATGATGTACCAGAAATGTAGAGGGGGAAGAATAATGATATACTACCATTGTATAAGACACACTATTTTTAGTCCCTATATGTTTAGAGGAAAATAAATCTGTCCTATACTTGAGGAAATACGGCAATTTTTGTATGGTAACCTATGTGCAGATCCGGAACAGTGTGTCTGGATGTGATCAACCAAGCCTGGACTGCCCTCTATGGTAAGTTTCTTTCTTTTATTAAATGATTGACAGGGTTCAGAATTTGAAAAAAAAATGTGCCTATTGTCATGAACTTACTTATTGAACTCCTTGCAATGGCTCACACGCAACTCTCATGACAGGCCTTCTAAACACACACTTCACAAAATCATTAGGGTATACACATTGGCCACTGTCCTTTATTGCATCACATAAGCTACGGTAGTCGACATGAAAGGCTGCACGTGTTACATCCACCCCACCAACCTGCACAGGGTGCTTTGAAATCGCCACCCATACTTGGGTGCATCCAGCGTTATTGGGGCCGAGACAGCCTCTCTGGGTCCCAGTTCTGCGCAAGCCTCAGCCTGTGTGCCCCTGCACTGCAGTATGACTGCACTCGGATTGGTCAGGTCAATGAGTTCACCGTAATGGCCCTGGACCATTAACAGCACTTGCCCCCTTTCTGTACATTCATATGTCACAGCATGATGTCAGTATTTAATTGTAAAATACCTTCTAAGAATCAACCAGCTACTTACATTAACACTATCAAAGCTAACAACATTGCTTAATCTACCTGTCTGTCAGTCAGAAGTAAAGATATCTCACAATAAAGCTTTCAGCCCAAGAATGCTGTCACACCATTACTGGCTAAACTAACAGGCACATTCTACAAATCCACTGTCACTCTTTTACACCTAACTGTTGCTAACAGTTAACTTCCCTGAAACTATGCTGTAGAGTAAATCTATCAGTCTTCAAACAAGACGTCTGTCTTAGTTGGTATTCTCCAACCAGCTCTCCTTTGTTCACTCAGTGAAGCTGTTTTTGTCTCGCCTCAGCAATCATCTCTCTCTCTGCTGACTGGCATTTATGTTCCATGAACTGTCAGTCACCGAGTGCTTGTCAGCCAGTGACAATCATCATATGCACTCACTCATAGTCACGTAGGAACTTTACACTTTTTCTTTACAGGATGTGGCAGAACGAGCCTTTTTTTGTTTAGTTTTTTGTTTTATTAGTAAGTTTTACATATAATAATTTGCAAGTCTAAAAATATTGGTCTAGCCCTATTTGCCCTATACGCCTGATGGCATGGAAAAGGACTGTTACTTTACAGTTTGCCAGTGCTTTCTCTTCGGCTGTCAAATCCACTGTTGAAAACAATGCAAAGCTGTCTGCTGCCAAATCGCCTACAGCTGGAATAAAACCGGATACCTCGGAATTACAACGCACGTTTGCAACACCTAAGCCACAGAGGTCTTTAAAATGTTTACGCATTGTTTTTAGAGAATATATACTTCTGTTTATGATATGGTTGGTACTCATATATTACAATCATAAACACTCACACACATTGGACTGTAAGTTATTCTATAACAACTATGTGCCACAGTACAACTGTAATGTATGGTTGAACAGGGTTTCTGGAATTAGTTTCTATTGGGTTTTCCTCCACATGATGGCTCTTTGAGTCACTGGGAGGTTGTCTTTGAGAATGCAGGTCTGGAGAAGGGGAGGGGGGGGGGGGAGCAAATGATCTATTGTTTACATTAGCTGAATGTTTCACTGTATATACTGCATATTTAGGATGTTGTTTGTGTCTCTTGGATTATATTGTTGATTCCCTGTGTGTTGGGAGGGCGGAGATGACGACGACACCCCCCCCCCCCCCCCCCCCCACAGGCATGCCATACAAGGTGAATAATTGGGGATGTTTCCTACGAAGTCAAAGTGCTTCTACCTGAGAGACAAGGAACCAAGTGTGCATAACAAGCCTTACCTGTAAAATGGAGGCATATGCACAGCTGAAATTCTAGACCAAGACAAAAGTCCAGAAGTGGATGAACAACCAGAACTTTTCGCTAGTACACACTTAACAAGAATATTGTTGGTGAATTATATGTTGATGTTGATGAATGTTGATGCTAATGACTCACATGAGGTTTCATTTCTATAGATCTGTCTAATATCTTTGAGTCGTTCCTGCCCCAGCTGCTTACATATCCCAACCCCATTGACCCACTCAATGGTGATGCTGCCGCCCTCTATCTCCACAAACCTGAAGAGTACAAGAAACGAGTAAAAGGTTTGTTCATTTTCTTATGACACCATTAATTTTCTCTTTGAACCATTGACAGTTATCTTTTTTTTTTTTTTTTAAATTATTGACATAGACCTTGGTTTTCTCACTTAATTATTGGCATTTACTTTAATTTTAAATATATGTATATTTCAAATCAGTGCTTCTCAACCTTCCTAATGTTGGTACCCTTTAATAAAGTTCCTCATGTTGTGGCGAACCCCAACCATACAGTTATTTTCGCCAGTGCTTCATAGCTTCAATGAATATGTGGTTTGTGATTGGTTTTTGGCGACCCCTGTGAAAGGGTCGCCCATCTCAATAAAGGGTCGTGACCCACAGGTTGAGAAATGCCGTTTTAAAATGGTCTGAGATGAGCTGATGTAATTTTAAAAATGTTAGAGGCTTTAAACAGCCTAGGATGTCATCAAGTCAAAATCCGGCCCTGTCTGGGAGATAAAGGTGGCCACATCACCCACTGAGTGCCGATTTGTCTATGAAAATATAAGATCCAGTATCATTTACCTGATACTCCACATTGCATAAATAGGGTCCTCAATGGCATAATGACCTAGTTAAGTGACCTAGTTGGGAAAAAAAGGTTTTGAACAATGGATCAACATCATGGCACATGGGTGTAACCCATAAGTGCTTACTAACTCAAGTCTGAGTCTGAAGAAGCTCAGCACAAGCTCTGTAGCACCGGCGAGGATCCTGAAATACTTTGGGTAGATTTCTAACTCCCAAGTTTTGCCCGGGCTGCGCTGTTAGGCTACTCTTTTCGATTTCTGATTGAAGATAAGGACGGAGTGCTTCTGGGAATATCCAGAGTGCTGTGATGTCGGTTCCTAATTCAACATTCAACATTTGTTATTATTATTTAGTGTTTGCAATTCTTGTTTTCCAGATTATGTTCAGAGGTATGCAACAGAAGAGGCTCTGCGTGAATCTGAACAGGCAGCATCTTCGACCGAGTCATCAATGAGTGACTTCTCTGAGGATGAGGCTCAAGATATGGAATTATAATAATAGCACCCAGATCCCAGTGCCTGGGGTCTGTAGGACAGACATAATGGAGCTCCATATAGCACCACCTAGATCCTAATGACATGGATCTGTGATTCCAGAAGTGGAATTATAAAACTGTAACCCATGACCCTAGCAACTAGGATCTTTATGGTTGGCAACATGGAATTATAATCAAAGTACAGATTCTGTGGTTTGGATCTTGGTGGCTTGAGGTATAGAGTTGTAATCATAACGCACACTCAGTGACTAAGATCTGTGGCTTGAGGTATAGAGTTATAATCATAGCACACACTCAGTGACTGAGATCTGTGTGGCTTGAGGTATAGAGTTATAGCACACACTCAGTGACTGAGATCTGTGTGGCTTGAGGTAAAGAGTTATAGCACACACTCAGTGACTGAGATCTGTGTGGCTTGAGGTATAGAGTTATAGCACACTCTCAGTTACTGAGATCTGTGTGGCTTGAGGGATAAAGTTATAGCACACACTCAGTGACTGAGATCTGTGTGGCTTGAGGGATAGAGTTATAGCACACACTCAGTGACTGGGATCTGTATGGCTTGAGGGATAGAGTTATAGCACACTCTCAGTTACTGGGATCTGTGTGGCTTGTGGCATAAAGTTATAGCACACACTCAGTGACTGGGATCTGTGTGGCTTGAGGGATAGAGTTATAGCACACACTCAGTGACTGGGATCTGTGTGGCTTGAGGGATAGGGTTATAGCACACACTTAGTGACTGAGATCTGTGTGGTTTGAGGTATAGAGTTATAATCATAGTACACATTCAGTGACTGGGATCTGTGTGGCTTGTGGTATAGAATTATAATTATACCACACACTCAGTGACTGGGATCTGTGTGGCTTGAAGTTTATGATTATAATCATTGCACACATTCAGTGACGGATATGTATGGCTTGAAATTTATGATTATTATCATAGCACATTGGCATAGAATTATAGCACATAGTGACTGGAATCTATATCACTTGAGATATTATAGTCATAACATGAACTCACAGGCTAGGATCTGTGTGGCTCAAGTCTATACATGTTCTCAAGCTATGGAAATTTAACATCTAGGTGTCAGTAACTGAAAAACTATGTGACAAAGCCATTTATTGTTACTGGACATATTTGCAATAATCATTCTGTAAATTGTCTTTGATAAGTAGAATTCTTCAATTTGGGAAACAGGCTGTTGCCTGAGATTTGGAAATAATCCTTGTGAAAATAATCTTTCTGTGAGAATGCAAACTTCATAGTCTGTATGAAAGGTTTTTTCTTAGGCATGAACTCTCTATCTGATGAGGAATGTCTGTTCATTTACTGTAGGAAGCATGGATTCTCCCATCTTTGAGACAGGTTACTAAAGGAGGTATAAAATCTCCGCTCTGTGAGAAGGTTACTAAAGGAGGTACAAATTCTCCAATCTGTTAAGTTACCGAAGGAAGCATAAATTCTTCGTCCGCAAGACAGATAATTATAGGAAATAATGAGATCTCCAATCTGTGAGACAGGTAACTATAGAAAGTATGAGTTTTCCAATCTGTTAGGTTACCATAAGAAGCATCAATTCTCTGCTCTGTGAGGGATATGTTAGTTAGCTGACAGATTATCCTCACTACACATGGAACGATTAAGTCCATAAGTGCTTGGATCCCCTCCTTAGTCGATCCCACAGCATATAGCAGCTCATGGCACCAGTTCTGTGTTGGTTTCTTATTCTTCTTTGGCTTTCTGTGTATCACTTGGTTCTTGCATAGAGCATTCAGAATATCTGCCTGGTCCATGGATTATCTGCCCTCCACGGTAGCTTTACCTGCAAGCATATCAGCTTGCTCATTTCCTTGCATACCTACATGCCCTGGCGCAAATATGAAACTAATTTGCGCTAGCCCCGACCGCTTTAGAGACTCCAACCACTTATCTTTTGACGGAGCCCATCTCTGTCTACCTGAGCATACTTATTAAGTCACTGAGAAAGCATGCGCGGGAAAAGGTCTATGTCTACGGCCATGTTATTGCTTTGGTCTCTACCCTGACCTCCAAAGCCAGACTACTTGTGGTCAAGGCAACAGGACCAGAATCTTGCTTCAAAGTTCTAACCCCAACCTGAGCTGTAAAAGCCCAAGAGCTTCTCACGTGGCGAATCACGGACCCATCTGTGTATATGGCAGCAAAATTCTCGGGGGAAAAGCCTGCACTTCTGTCTCAACAATTGTCTCGATTTTCTTGTCTGCCTTTTCTGTCTAGACGGATGCAAACAGAAAAGCTTGTATAGCACTCTCTTAGTACTTGTACCCATTTCTTACCAGGTTCTTTGTTCTCAAATAAACCACCTGCTGAATAATGTTCTTGGCCTGACCCATCCACGATTTTCCTCTTTTTAACCTGCTGCTTTTTTTATTCTTAATTTTACCATGCAGCGGATGTTATATGTCTGTTGACTCTGAGGTAGGCACCTGCTTGGCAAATTTGAATTCTTTCTTTCATGGTTGGAAAATCAAGATGGTAGCGCATCGCCCTGCATGCTGCATCTCTTGTACATTCAAGTATAATGTGCATAGCCTCGTTCTGGATCCTTTCCACTCTCTACCTCTGCTTATGGCTGAGAGTCAGGATCACCATTGCATACTTAAAGCAGAAAGGACCAGACCCTGATACAGAAGACATAAATGTTGCTACTCACAGTCTGCTGCTGCCATCACTCTCATCACAGCCAAATCCCGCTTGGCTTTTATTATCACCTGGTCTATGTGCTCAATATAAGCTGGGTTTTGATCAAATTGTATCTCCAGGTAGTACTTCATTGCCTGTGTTCTTTCCACAATCTCTGAGCATAGACTTACAGTTGGGGTAGGTGTATTGACAATGTGGTAATCCAAAAATAACAAGTCACTGCTGCCTTTGTTGAATTGACTGACCAGTGCAGAAGTTTCACCACATCAGTTGCTTGTGAGTTCTGTTTGTAGTTCTCCATCAACCTGTTCTCTGTCTTACCCTGCCGATACACTTACACATCATCAGCATACAAGTCTTCCCCAGTCCTGTGATCTTCTCACGGTGTAAATGTTTAACATCAGGGGAGATAATGGTGATCTCTGTGGCAGGCCGAGATGTATAGTTGTAGATTCGTAAGTCCAACTGCCACATCTAAAAACTACTACTACTTGGAAGAGAGCTGCAGAGATCTAATTAAGAAGGAATTGACTTATTTTTAATTGACAGGTAACTTCTGGAGGTATGTGTTCTCCGGTGTTTGGTTACTGTTGGAGGTGTGAATTCTTTAATCTGTGAGACATGTTACTGTAGGAGGTATGAGTTCTCCAGTCTGACATGTTACCATAAGAAGCATGAATTCTCTGCTCTGTGAGACAGGTAACTATAGGAGGTATGTTTTCTTCAATCTTTGAGACAGGAAACTATATGAGTTCTCCAATCTTTGAGACAGGAAACTATATGAGTTCTCCAATCTTTAAGACAGTTGACTATATGAGAAAGGAGTTCTCCAATCTTTTAGAGAGGAAATTATAGGAGATATGAGTTCTCCAATCTTTGAGGCAGAAAACTATAGGAGGCATGAATTCTTTAATCTGTGAGGCAGAAAACTATAAGAAGTAGGAATTCTCCAATCTGTGGTTACTATAGGAGTAGTAAATTCTCCACTCTGTGAGACAAGTTACTGTAGGAGTAGTAAATTCTCCACTCTGTGAGACAAGTTACTGTAGGAGTATTAAATTCTCCACTCTGTGAGACAAGTTACTGTAGGAGTAGTAAATTCTCCACTCTGTGAGACAAGTTACTGTAGGAGGTATGAAGTGTTGACTTCAGTTTGTTCAGCAGATTATTTTATGAGGAATAAAATGTTCTCTTCAATCTGGGAGGTTGGTGTATTTTTTATTAATTGTCCTTTGAGGCGGATTATTATGTAACAGCGATTTCTCAAATCTATGAATAATGTTATAGAGGAGTGAGTTCTCCAGTCTTTGAGTCAAGATCATTGGCAAGAGTGAATTCTCCAGTCTATGAATGATATAGGAGTGAATTCTTCAGTCTGTGAGTCAGATTATTGTGCAAGAGTGAATTCTCTAATCTATGAATGATATAGATGTGAATTCTCCATGTCTGTGAGTCATTGTGAAAGAGTGAATTCCCCTGTCTATGAATGCTATAGGAGTGAATTCTTCAGTCTGTGAGTCAGTTTATTGTGCAAGAGTGAATTCTCCAGTCTATGAATGATATAGGAGTGAATTCTTCAGTCTGTGAGTCAGATTATTGTGCAAGAGTGAATTCTCCAGTCTGTGAGTTATTGTTTAAGAGTGAATTCTCAAGTCTATGAATGATATAGGAGTGAATTCTTCAGTCTGTGAGTCAGATTGTTGTTCAAGAGTGAATTCTCCAGTCTGTGAAAAATGAATAATATAGAAGAGTGAATTCTCCAGTCTGTGAGTCAAATCATTGTGCAAGAGTGATTTCTCGTCTATGAATAATATAATAGAGAAGTGAATTCTCCAATCTGTGAGTCAGATTATTGTGAAGAGTGAATTTTCTGGTCTTTAAGTCAGATTATTGATATTCTCCAGCGTATAAGAAGTATTATAAGGTTAGTTGCGTATCCTTTACAAGACGTTGCAGAACCAACCCCAACAGCCCCTGGCTGTTGTGTGGTTTTTCTAGGCAAATTTATGTCCAGTAGTTTAAGAAGTATTATATAGAAGTGAATTATGTGAGTCAGTCTGTTGCAGAGGAGAAAGAATCAGCAGATAGCTCAGTAAAAATTATATGACAACCGTCTATCTAGATGACTGTTCCTCAACCTGTTTACACCCGCGACCCACCAAATCAGGGGAAATTGCTTCGTGGTCTGGCAGCTACACAAAAACAAATGTAGATCAGTTTTTTTCTGTGCTGTGGTAACATCCTATCCATTCAATTTCTGCAAATTTTTTTTTATTACTGCCATTACTGAGAAAGTGAAAAATGAAAAACAATCTGACATCTCTACACCTTAGACAGTTCTGTTTTGAGTCATGTCCCAAATTCAGACCATGTTTGCATTTTGTGTCTGGAAACAACAAGAGTGACATCAGAAGACAACACAGTTGTTCTCTTTCATTAGGATCAGTATTCCAAAGGTTGGCTTTGTGAGGATTCTTATTTACAGGGAAATAATTAATCCGGAAAGGCAATAAATACCTGCTCTATTCCATTATACTATCAGGCAGAAATTGTTGGCGATCGATCTTAGACTTTTCCCGCAGCCCACAGGTTGAAGAACTCTGATCTAGATCCATAATGGAGGTCAATTTACCATTTTCTCTGTCCCTTTCATTTTATGCTCTGACAGATAGCTGTTTGCCTTTCTTTTGATGTCTTGCCATTACTGACAGATAGCTGTTTGCCTTTCTTTTAATGTCTTGCCATTACTGACATATAGCTGTTTGTCTTTCTTTTGATGTCTTGCCATTACTGACAGATAGCTGTTTGCCTTTCTTTTGATGTCTTGCCATTACTGACAGATAGTTGTTTGCCTTTCTTTTGATGTCTTGCCATTACTGACAGATAGCTGTTTGCCTTTTTTTTTAATGTCTTGCCACTTATTTCATTGTCTGCCTTTAACATCAATTTTCAAGTCCAAGTTACAATTTTGGTCATTCGTGGAACATGTAAAAGGTAGATTTGTTTCCACTCATGGAACATGTAAAATTTAGATTTGTTTCCACTCATGGAACATGTAAAATGTAGGTTTGTTTTCACTCACGGAACATGTAAAAGGTAGATTAGTTCATGCCTCTGTTTGCATGTTTATGGTTGCTATCTGGTATTATTCATTGTTACGTATGCATTGTACATAATTGGAAACATGATTCACAGTTGACTATATTTGCTTTTTGTTTTGTTTGTCATTGTTTGGTTTGTCCTAATTGGTGTGTTCCCAGGTGATATAGAAATTATATGCTGAACTTTGATATAATTTAGATTGTCTTTTTTTTCTGTAGTAATATAATGGGACACAGTTGTAAATAGGAATAATTTTATATAAATGTCATTGAAAAATTTTTTGTTTGGTCTTAACTGTGCTTGGTAGTGTTATCAGAAACCTTTTTTTTTTTTAAATTTCTTGTTTACCAAGTTTGTAAATAAGTTTTGTGCTCAAATATATGCATATTATGTAGCAGAAGATATTTTCTGTGCTTTTTATATTATAGCAACTAATCACAAATAGCACAAAAGACGGTTGTCATGTTTTAAGAAGAGGGGAAACTGAAGCATGTAACCACTGGAAAGATCTGTGAATAAAGAGCGAGAGGATTCTTGATAAACCTTTTATCATGGCATGGAGGGGTGTCAACACACGAACTGATACATGCAGTTGCGGATCGCAGATTTGTGGAGAGGCATTATCGCCCACACTTGATGATGATAATATAGTGTGTGTGTGTGTGTATATATATATATATATATATATATATATATATATATATATATATATATATATATGTAAGCTATAAATAGTTTATTTAAAGCATGTATATAATTAATTGAGGAGAGGTTACTACGTCAAGCTTTCTTGCGGGAGACCCAGCTTCGATACACGTTATGGTGATGGAGTTTTCTGTTGGGGGCAAAATTAAACATCCTAAACTGCACAGTCTGTGACTACAGCACTAGCCGGTGTGGCCCTAAATTCTCAGGCTCGTGACCCTAAAAAGTAGCAAAACAGACAGTAGTGACAGTTTTAAAAAAAAAATATATATATATATATATATAATTCTTCTTTAGTGTTTGCCTTTAAAAGACCGTTGGAAAATTGTGTTGAGGTTTACAGCTAGACTGCGACATTTGCTATGGCCCAACACAGATTTACACAAGTTAGTTGCCTCTTATTATGTGCTTTTAGATGGGGGCAGGGGATCCTGGCACCCATTCTTGAAATGTTATCGCCCATCTAGATTAGCTTAGTATAAATTGGATTCCAGAAAATATTCTGGCAAGTGGATATTGACAATATCACCCACCAAATGTAGATTGCTTTTAAAATATGGGGTGAGCATCATATATACCAATTACACCTCCAGATGTGGAAACATTTATTTTGCTTGTTACTTTACTGGTGATATTTTTTTTTAATGTGTAAAAGTAAAGAATCTGATTCTGCGCCTTCAGGTACTAGAACTATCTTCTTCTTCTTCTTTGCGTTCGGTTTCGTATGCTCAGATCAGACCATCAGGTGGGTTGCCTCTATGAACTCGCATGTCAGCAGCAGGTCCTGCATGGTTTCCCATAGCTTGCTCTGCACACTCTGCTTTTGAGGCCAGGTGTCTTTTCAAAGTTGCAGGTAGAGTGGGCAGGTCTGCAGAATGTGCTGAGGTGTTTGGGGTCCTGTTTGACAGGCACACTGTGGGGGACTGTATAACAATCTGCACTTGGTGGGTAATGTGGTCAGCATCATGCCGCGTGCCTTTACCTCTCAGAACTTTACCTGTTACCAGCTCAAGGCTGGGTCAACCTGGGAGCCAAGGTCATTTAAACAAACCACCACACACACAAAAGTCTGACTGCAGACTTTGATAGCGTAAATATGATTAGTGCTATTTTTTGTTTTATTTTAAATATGAACCCAAAACATGGCTCTTATTCGCTTTAAACTGGACATAAAAGAAAGGGAACCAGAACAGAACTGTGTGATATAGTATTTTTGCGTGGATATTGACTACAAAAAGGAGAACAGCAATTAACACAAGAAAAAATCCAATGTCTACAATGAATCCTAATCCTAGATTGGAAATGACTATATCAAATTTAAAAAAAAAATTGGGGATGGGACCCAGTGTTACACCAGGAGACATGTCAAATGGTTCAGACATGTATCAGAGCTGTCACAGGACTGCACCACAGAAAGCTTTGTCACTTAAACACATGGAAGCAGTGATAGAGGTTGTTCATGCAAGCAGAAAGCTGGAATATATGAAGTAATGGATGCTAGAATCTGTACAAAGTGCACACCAAAGCTCGCACCAGTTGCTTCCTGAAAACCTGACTCTGAAAGGCTGTGGAGGCACAAATAGATCATTGTGGTCTGAAGCGAATGATGAGGAAAGTGACAAGGAAATCTGGCTGATATTCAAGCGAAATGCTACCCAAAAGATGAAGCAAGCATTATGTTGATTTTAGCGTTAGTTTCAAGCACATATTATAACTTGTATTCTGTCGATATCTCTCCTCTTGTCATTTTGGGCACATCTCCATCGTTTGCCAGTCTGCTGCTTTTCTGTCCATGGTATCCCATCCCATATCATGTTACATTCCTTCATTTCCCTTTCTGCTATCCTTCATTAGATCATCTGTGTCTCCTTTTTTCATCTGCCAGCCACCAAAGAGCTATACTTGCCAAATTATCATCAGGCATTCTGCAGACATATTGGAGCCATCCTCCTCTTTTTCCTGTGATAATACTTGCCAGTAAGGAACATTTTGTTTTCCGCCTCAGTTCTTCATTTGAGATCTTGTTAGGTCAAAATATTTGGATTCTTTTTCTACATTTATTCTGAAAATCTCTAGCTTATATGTAATTCCAGCTGCCATTTTTTCAACACATTTGTGCAACAGTATTCCCAAAATGTTGCCGCTGAGTTCTGTCTTGAAACTAAGTCCCCTTGACTCCCATATAACGTTAGGCATGTCACACACATAATTTGTATTAATATTTCTCGGACAAAAATCAAAACAATGGCTGATACATGTCAAAAATTTATTACAGAATAGGAACGACTGCAAATAATGTGGGGCTACAACTGCTTATGTATTGCACACTTGATAACGTGTCATGATGGACTAGAAGTTTTCGTATGAACTTTTGGAGAGGACCAGGCTTTGAGAATTTTCCGGAAATATCGAAGGCCTTCCACCATCGGACTCTGCAAGTAGACACAGACATGTGACATAGTTTCATGCAGGTAAACACACACAAATGATAAATGTTCTACAGTCTCCTATTTAAAACTACAATTAGCACAAAGTTAAGACACTAACCAGAAATAAGTTTATTGAAGCCCAAGCATTTGTAATATACTTGTAATACAGAAGCTGCAAATCTACTTCAGTAATAGTAGATATGCTACAAAATAATATGACAGTAGTAGCAGATATGCTACTAATCTTCCATGACTGTAGATGTGCCACAAACCTACCATGACAGTAATGGCAGATATGCTACAAATCTGACATAACAGCAGACTTGCTACAAACCTATTATGACAGTAGAAGTAGTAATGCTACAAATCTACCATGACAGTAGCAGATGTGTAATATATCTACCATGACAGTAGTAGCAGTAGAGATATGCAATATATCTACCTTGACACTAGTAGCAGAAATGCTACAAACCTACCATGACACTAGTAGCAGTTATGCTACAAATCTACCATGACATTAGTAGTAGATATGCTACAAATCTACCATGACAGTAGTAGTAGATATGCTACAAATCTACCATGACAGTAGTAGTAGATATGCTACAAATCTACCATGACATTAGTAGTAGATATGCTACAAATCTACCATGACAGTAGTAGTAGATATGCTACAAATCTACCATAACAGTAGTAGATATGCTACAAATCTACCATGACATTAGTAGTAGATATGCTGCAAATCTACCATGACATTGGTAGTAGATATGCTACAAATCTACCATGACATTAGTATATATGCTACAAATCTACCATGACATTACTAGTAGATATGCTGCAAATCTACCATGACATTAGTAGTAGATATGCTACAAATCTACCATGACAGTAGTAGATATGCTACAAATCTACCATGACAGTACTAGTAGATATGCTACAAATCTACCATGACATTAGTAGTAGATATGCTACAAATCTACCATGACATTAGTAGTAATGCTGCAAACCTCCTATGACAGTAGTAGTAGATGTGCAAAATCTGCCATAAAAGCAGTCGTAGATTAATTTTGTTTCCCAGTTAACTCCTAGTAATTCTTTAAACTGCTCTCACTAATTCCTTAGCAAGCTTCACTAATCTTACTTTTTTTTTAAGCTAATCCCTCAGCCAGACTCACTAATCTCTTTTCTTACACTAATTACTGAATCAGCCAAATCAATCTTACTATTTTCTCATCTAATCCCTGAGTTAGCCTCACCATTTCCATTTTCTAATCTAATCTCTGAGCAAGACTCCCTATTCCAATTTTCTAATCTAATCCCTTTAATGAGACTCATCTTCTAACCCCTGGATGAGTCTCACCATTTTCTAATCTAATCCCTCAGCAAGACTATTCCAATTTTCAATCTAATCCCTTTAACGATACTCATTTTCTAACCTCTGGATGAGCCTCACCATTTCCATTTTCTAATCTAATCCCTCAGCAAGACTCCCTATAATAATTTTCTAATCTCGTTCGTCCATTCATCACAAGTGATGAGGACCCCTCTTTCTTTCATCTGCCATGAAACCGCAGTTAAATGTTTGCGAGTCCGGAGGTGACCTTTAAGTCCAATGTGTGCCCTTCAGTTTAGTTTGCAGACAGATGCCACTACAATGCTAGACATTCATATATAACCTGTCAAATTTTCTAATCTAATCCCATCTTCTAACCCCTGGAGGAATCTTGCTATTTTCATTTTCTACTCTAATCTCTCTGTAAGTTCTCACCGTTTTCATGGTGTTTGCAAATCCCTTGTTGCTGTCCATGAGCCCAGGAGCTATACATCTTAAGGCCACAATCAAAGCTGGGGCTGACTGCTGAGTTCTGCCAACATCACTGTGAGATGATGGAACTGCTGCATTTCCAGGTGACGATGGCAGAGGGATCTCTTGTATCCATGGACACCAGCGATGATGCTCTCCAAGGGGGTTCAAAGAATCCTTCTTGTTCAGCTGTGATTACATAATTACCTGATGTCAACAAGTGATTACATAATTAACAGATGTTAATCAGTTATTGCAAAATCAGGTGATGTTAACCTTCTTCTTATGTTCGCTTGTGTTCTGCCCTCCGACTTCGAAGGAAGCCCCTAATGCATGTTGGGGAGGCGGTGGGTCTATTCTTGTTTTCCCCACAATGGGGCCCCGCAAGCCACACAGGGAAATACAGATTAGTAAAATCATATCTATTGATTACACATATAAAATCAAGTTAAATGTACCAGACAGCTATAGATTTAAAAGAATCAAGCAAAATGTACCACGTAACAAATTGTTTTTAAATCTAGAGTTATTAAACCCCCCCCCCCCCAGTACAATGTACCGAAACATCTATAGATAAAATCAGGTAAAATGCTCCACATCAGCAAAGAAAATTAATGAAGGAATGCAACATACCCAGAGAAAGATAAAACAATAATTCTTCTTCTTTACGTCCTCTTTTACCGCTTCGGGTGTCGAGGGAGATAAAAGGTTCTGCTTCAAGCTCTTCTGGCTGCTTTGACCATAGACACACCGTGGTTCTGTCGAGTTTCTCTGATGTTATCTTTCCATCTTGTTCTTGTTCTAGCTCCTGCCCTACGTCCCTCTCCTCGTTTGGTATACGCCTTGTATGGTATAGCATCAGAAGGCCTTCTCTCCAAATTAGCAAACTAGTTGATTTGCTGTCTTTGTATGTAATTTAGTATTGGTTCTATGCCGATTTTATGTCGAATTACCTCATTCCTGATTTATCTCTTCAGGTCATTCCTACAGTCTTTCTCAGACACCTCATTTCCATGCTTACAAATTTTCATTTATGTTTTGTTGTGAGTGACAGCATATGGTGGGAATGAATATGCTCTGTATGAGATGTTTGCTGATTGGAATTGCCTTGTGCTGTAAGAGGGGGAGCTAGCTGTCCTAAAACTTGGCCTGCCTTACTGCCTCTGATATTAACTTCTTTATTCAATTTACTATCTTCAGTGAATGTTGTTCCAAGATATTTAAATTCAGATGCCTGTCTAATGTATGTATGCTCTAATGCTATATTTAAATTCTGCTTCTTTCTTCCTACTCACATTATTTCTATCTTTTCGATGTCAATCAACCCTGACGAAAGCTTTCTTCTGGTCTACGATGCTTCAAATAAGTTCTGATCATATTCAATGTTTTTTTCTATTAACTGTTTAAATGTGAAGACTGCATCTGGACAGCTTCTGTTTCTTCTGAAACCCATCTGTTCTTCTATCAACTGTTGTTCTATCACTGGTTGCAGCCTTGTTTCTATTATCTTAGCATTCATTTTCCCAACATGACTTAGAAGAGAGATGCCTTGATACTGACTGCATTCTCGCTTGCTTTCCTTGTTCTTTCACAATAGTACAACTATTTCATGTTGCCAGTCAATGGGAGCAGTTTGTTGTACCCACGCCGCATTGAATATTTTAACAGCCATCTAATATTGCTTTCACCTGCTGCTTGGATTATTTCTGTTGTTAATCTATCAGCTCCTGGTGCTTAATATTTGGGTGACATAAAACAAAACACCTACACAAAATTTGCAGACAAATTAGATGCAAGTGTTGACAAATTTAAACATACATTTTAGGATATTCTTTGATACTATACCAAAGTCACATAAGAACATTTTCATAGGGCCATTTACATAAACGTACACATGTGGATTATTTACTCCAGACAAGTCAAAATGAAGTATTATTTTTCTCACAACTATACAATTTTCAGGAGCCACTCAACATTCAAACACAGTTTTCTTGAAACAATGATTTAGCAATTTTCGCATCAACTAGTATCAACTAAATTTGCTGCCAAGAACATACACAAACTTTTCTCCTTTTGGGAGTGGATTGACCATCATCTGTTGCATCCCCATCTCCATTACCAATGTAAGTTTTCTGGTCCACAGTTGAAGAAGACGAAACAAAATTCCACAAGCCAATTTGTCTGCGACACATGCTGCACGTAAGGACATTCTCGTCCGATTCACTGATTGGAAAGAAAGAAACAAAATTAAAAACTTTAAAAAAAATAATAAAAATTGCTACTATAGGCAGCCGCCGTGGTCTAGCGGCTAGACATTCGCCTGCGGATCGGAAGGTTGTGGGTTCGGGTCCTGGCAGTGGCTGGACTTTTTTCAAAAACGACCTTAGCTGCCAGGTCGACCCAGCCTTGAATGGGTACCAGGTGTAGTCTTGGGAAGTAAAGGCGACCGGTGTGATGGTGACCAAATCACCCACCAAGTGCCGATCGATCTATAAAAATATAGATCCAGCCTTATATACCCAACATGCCTGAAGGTGTGGGAAAAAAAGTCCTTTTACTTACTTTTGAATTTCTACCAAAGGGAGCCACTGCAGAGTATCGGCCAGATGCCCACCTTCTAACCTGAAGGTCTTACTTTCAAATCTGCATCGTACTGGATTCACTTAAAAAAAGCCCTTGGCTCTCAAGTTGACCCAGCTGAAAAGATGAGTATCAGGTAAATTCCTGGGAAGTAAACATGGCTAGTATGATGATCACATCACCTACTGAGTACCAGTTGCATACAAAAGTATGAGTCTAGCAGATGTGTTTTTGACATGACAAAGGCTCCTTTACGTTTGACTTTGAAATGAGATATAACCCAGTGCAATAAAGTGAGATCCCTTGACTTTTGACCTCTTGAAATAAAAATTGTAGATAAGTTAATGTTTTACGAATTTATTAGCGACCTGTGTAAAACTGTTTTAGGATTTTTTAATAGAATTCAAATGGGATTACCAACTTTTGTTTTAAAGATTTAACCGGGTGAAAGGGTTAATGAAACAGACGTGAAATTCTCTCTCTGAGGACTACTAACCAACCCTATATAGGAAAGCAAATTTTTTTTTTTAAGTAATACAAGACAAAGAAATGTCTTACCTGCAGGCCCATCCAGAAAATGCCAGAGCTACGACTTGAGGTGAGGCATCAACACCTGGAACCAGATTTCTCCTACAGTAAGCAGCACCTTGTGCCGTATCATAGCCCTGGGTAGAGAGAAAATAATGCAACAAACATCCACATTTTCCAACTGCAAACTAACTTAACTCTTTCAGTCCCGAGGGGGAGGGGGGGGGGGGGTTAGCATCAGAGGCCAAAGAGGTAGTAAAGAGAGACATTCATTGGGCACATCTTGTGTTCACTAGGCTTCTAGGCAGGAACCTATGATGTGTTCTTTGGGACTGAAAGAGTTAAATAATGTTAGGTTAGTTGAATAACCTCTTCAGGATGTTGTGAGCCAACCCTACCATTTATTTGCTGCGTGGTTTTCATCATCATCCTGTAACATTATGTGTCGTTGGGTCACCAGTTTCTGTTGACTGTCTGATCAGCTGCGTGGTTTTACTTAACAATACTACATTCAGTAGTTTGCCATGGCTTTCTGAATGATTCAATACTCATATTGTTGTCGAAAAAGCAGTCTACAGTCTGCAAAGCCTGGGATGTCAAATTCCCTGGTTCTGGCACCCCCCCCCCCCTTTCCCCAAGGGTTTCCAGGATGAAAAGCGTAAGCTACAAAATCCAAGAAACTTTGAACAAGTCTACAAACAGCCTGGTGGGAGTTAGCTCCAGGTCTGCGTTTTACTGGAAAAGCTTCTCCTTTTTCTTAGCACTCACTTGCTGTCAACTCCAGCAGAAAGTCCTGGTTATTGGTGGTCCACTTCTGGACTTTGGTCTTGTTTTAGAACTTGAGTTTTGCATGCACATCCGTTTTACAGATCTGGCTTATTTGTATGCAAACTGCTGGTTCCTAATCTTTGAGGCAGATGCACTCAGACTTTGAAGGAAACACCTCTAATAAGTCGTCCTCCTCAAATATGCTTATTGGGGGGAGGGGGTGGCAGTGGGTCTATTCTTCTTTCCCAAAAAGGGAACCCCCGGAACCCACACGGGAACACTGGCCGATAAAAAGCACAGAAGATGAAATAGATTTGGTACCACTTTTGCAGGTATTAGTACGTTATGGTTTCTTTACTCTATCGCCCCGAGAAGGCTAAATCTAGTCACTTCCGTATGTTACCCAACCCCATAAACCTCAAATAATGACTATTTCTACAGTTAGCCGTTTTCTACAGGATATTTTATTAAAGGGAATTCCCACGGGTTCATTACCATTTTTTTTTTTTGCATTAGCGGTGTAAAAGGGTTAACAGAAAGAGTTAAACACTAATGTAAGTGCTAACTGTTTAAAAGAAATTATCATACCAGTGCTTGTAAATCTGTCTCGTCCAAATGGGGAAGTCTGTCTTGGATCCGACTCAGTGATTTGACCCTTCCAGAGAAACTGGTCATTAAGTTCACAGGGTCATCAACAGGGACATGACAAAAATGCTCTGAGGATGAATTTATGATGTACATAACCAAGCATATACACACACAGAATAGCTTAAAGTAAAAACAAAACAATTCCAGTATATCAAGAAGTGAGGAAAAGACATTGGCACTAAATGTGGGTCTATTCTATTTACTGGGAAATCTTCTCCTTCTTCTTCTTCTTAGCACTCACTTGCTGTCAACTCCAGGGGAAGGTCCTGGTTGTTGGTGGCCCACTTCTGGACTTTGGTCTTGTTTCACTCACAAGGAAAAACAATGTGTACAGGTACCATACAATATTCCTTAGATCCTTGCTTGCAATGTATAGTCATAAAAAAGACATTTAGCCTGTTTTTCTACCTTGATGTGGAGCGGCAATGTAACGGTGTGGGTGGGTAGGGTTTACTGATTACTCCCTTGGTAAATTTATATAAACAGTTTTTTTTAAACTTTTTAAGTTTATATAAACAAATTTTTAAAAGAACTTGTTAAATTTAAATACACAAATTTAAATTTTTTTTTTTTATTACCCCTAAAGGATTTGTGGGGCAAACGTGTTAATATGGTGGAGAAATATGATTTCTTCAGTCTATCCTCTTCTACCTTGACAGGTAAAAGGTACCATAAAGTGTTTTCTGGTCTACACTCCTCTGTCCTGAAGTGTACAAGTATTTTATGGCCCTCATTACATGCTGGCTCAGGTATACACATACACGACGCTCATGGAAAAAGCAAGATGGACGTATAATCAGACTGCTACTGCTACCGTTGGTATTAGAACTTTGCTCTGGTTGCTGAAGATGGGACGGAGCACTTATGGTAATACTCCAAGTGCTGTGCTGTTGGTTCTTGAATCACCTCAACTCAAGTATACATAGAAACAGTACTCATATGCCAGACTTTCAGACAGACATACATATAAGGACAGAAATTTTACCTGGACAAGGATTTGCAGCCAACACACAGAACTTGTCATGAGATGACAGCAAGTTTTTCTTCAGTTTTGAAAGGCTTTCTTCATCTATCAAAAAAGAACGAGTGGGTATGAGAAAGAGAAAGTGAGATATGCAAACTGTTACCAATGTTCGAACTATCATTATGCAACATGCCGATTAGTGTGGCCAGATACAGTTTGCATGTCGATCAGTGCAGTCACACATGGCTCACCATCTCCCACAATCACTAGTCTTCAATCCAGCCTGTTTTTCAGTCTCAATTATAGCACATGATAAAAGATTCAAATGCGCATATCTAGTCTTCCCCTGCTCTCTTCCAAAAAGGTTTGCCATTTGTCGTAACTGTAATAAAGCGACTGCTTGTAAGGCACCGCGTCCTGGCAAAGTGTCTCGAGGTGAATGATTAACGCTTTACCCATACATATGCAAACGTTCTCCAAGTTAACCGTCTTATAACTAACTGGGTTCTCTACCTGAGAGCACATAACGAACACAGTTCACATAGTCGCATCTGTCTCTAACACTCTGTCACTAGTATCACGGCAACACATCAGGAGGCATCTGTCTTAGTGCTTCCGTCATTTTTATTAATTGGCAAACATAATGGGACGACGATCTGTGGCAAACATGTGAATAATAACGCTCACTAAACACTCTAATTTTCCATGGGAATAAACAATACTCATGCCCTCACGTCACCACCCCTTTTATTAACATCATCTAGCCTAGGATCCCGCCTTTGTACTCTGGTACAATTGGCCAGCAAATGAATTTAGCACGTAACAGAAACGTTGTCAAGTCTGTAATCTTGTTATCTTAGTATCAGCTTCATAGCAAATGGGTCACTCCATCATTGCTCCACTCCTGTGCCACTCAAAAACACACAGAATGTCCAGCACTGTCCCTTGTGAAAAAATGGACAACGACTGCTGTCTCAGCATCTCCACCAGCATACACATGATTTAAAAGCATAAGGCAGCCATCAGAAATGCTAACACAAACAGTTCGACATTAGAAATGCAGTTCATTATCTACAGAAGTAGCAGTTACAAACAAATCAGCAGTTGCACACGCGAATTTTAATAATATATGGCACCACAAATTCTCTGGCAACAAGCCACGTGCCTTTTTCTGAGTCTACAGTTCACAACAACCACATTGGTCACAGTCGAAATATATTCCTAATGAAATCTGCGGCTCACAGTGTGACGCCATGCACTTAACTTAGTAGCGGGCGACAAAACTATATCCTTTCAGTCTACAAATGAAGGAAAATGCAACAGCACCGTCTGTCAGATTATAAAAATTACCCCGACTAAAAACAGTGACCCTGGCATCCATTTTGACTGGAACCTCCACTGTCAAGTTTATTTCTCCCCTCATAACAAGTCCAAAGTATGCTCATATTCTATGGTCAATTTCTCTAATAGCTTCACACAGTGTTTCTATATTTAAATCTTTACCTACTGGCAAAACATGCTGGCTTTTGGATACTCTGTCAATTTTTCTTGAAACAGGTTAGGGTTTTTCTCTCTACCTGAGTTTACATACACTCTTCATGTTTAAGAGTATCTCTGTTTTTATCCTGAAGCTTTAATGATATTCAAATTTTTTATTTTTTTTATTTACAGAATTTTAACCAAGATATAATGAAACAAACACTAGACACAAGAACAAGTGACTTCTTCCAAACATTTGGAATGTATGCTTCCAAACACTGGCATTCTGATCTTTAAGAGTTGAAACAAATTCAGTGGTAAGACTTACAAGCAGTTAAATCCAGCCTGCTGGGCAGTTGTCCTGCCAGAAAAGCTTTACATCCAACACACTGCAGCATGTCAGAGTCAACATTCTCCCAGCCGTAGCGAGCACAGATTATGGGGCTCAGTTCTGCAGGTTTACCAAACCAAGTGGCAGCTTGAAAACGTTCAGGAAAATTCAGTAAAATTTAGGAACATCTTCATATGCTGGTTGGTTATACAGGACACAAGTTGTGAATACATCTATGGTAGCCCCGCATGTGGTTCTTTCTCTTCTTTTTCACTTTCTGCATTTACATCATCAAAGTGTTGGGGAAGATGTATGGATGTTTTGTGTGCTCTTTCCAACAGGTTCGAGTTGGTCTTCATTATGTTAAATCATCAAGCTACAGCATTACAAAAAGTCGTCACGAATCTTCATTCGCTGCTGACTCCGTCTCTTTCCACAAATTCTGTTTTTTTACCAAACGTTCTAGTTTTCTCCATCTCAATGGGAATGTTTAATGTTGACTTTATTACATATGTGCATGCACACAAATAATTCAGTAGGAATACATTGATTAATAAATGAAAAAAAGGATATTGAAAAAGTATCAAGTCTTTGGAGAAACTTCTCAAAGCTCCTCAAACTGCCTGTCAAGTTATTTGGGGACTGTGCTGAAGATTCTGTGGTCGAATCGTCAAGTCTGCTGTCGTTACTGATGAAACTGTTCCCCGTTAACCTGTAAATGAAAGCACAAGTTGAGGACATGATTCCACATCACTGAAACTGATGCCAGCGATTAAACAATGTTGTATATGTGAATGTGCATATATGCATGAACATACAAATAAAATGTAGTTTAATTTGTATATCTCCATGCCATCATCTTCATCATCATCCTGTAACACTGCATGTCATTGGGTCCTGTTGACTGTCTCATCAGCTCTCTCCACCTTTGGCGGTCTGTTGCGATGGATTTCATGGCTGCATGCTTGAGGCCTGTCCAGTCAGTGAGGTTATGAAACCAGGTCTTTCTTGGTCTGCCTCTTCTCCTTTTTTCCTCTACAGAGCCCTGCAGTATTTGGGTGAGTTCCAGTGCAAAGTCATTCTAGATATATAATTATCAGTTTTTCTCAACTGTGTCCTATCTAATTACTGAATTTTAAAAACCGATAAACTTGGTGTTCTACCTATCTCAGACAATCGTAGAAATAATCTTCATTTTTATATGATTTACACAATGAGCTATTAGTGAATTTTAATTTGTTAGCTCACCTCTTAAAAATTTCATTAAAGGATGTTGCAGAACTAACTCCAGCATTTATTGATTGTTTGTGACTTAATAAGACAATTTTACATTCAGTTGTTTGCCCCTGCTTTCTGAAGTCATCTCTCTTTACCGCTGTCTGTCAAAAAACAATGCAAGTCAGTCTGCTGCTAAAATGCCTGCAGCTGGAATCGAATAATTTAGAATTATGAAGCTTGTTCAGTGCTTAAGCGAGACACCTCAACTCTCCTTTACATTTAGTTCTTCTTCTTCTTCTTGTGTTTGCTTTCTGATTTACACCGACAGACAGGTTCTTGTGATAAACTTGACTGTTTTAATGAGTTCATTTTTAGTCCCATACAACTTTGTGTACAGTGGTGACTCACTGGGCCAGTATTCCTTTCTTAATGGGCTGAACAAGGGACAGTCTTGCAGGACATGTTCTGTAGTCTGCACACATAGCCCACAAGGGCAAAAAGGTGAACTACTTAGACGAAGCCTGTGCATATGCTGGTTAAGTTTTTTATGTCCTGTCCTGAGATGTAGGACAATGACCTGCCCATGCCGGTCAAGTAAGTGGTAGTCATATGTGGCCAGACTCTGTTCACTTCTAATAGCCTGGATGGCCCTTTTCTTCTCATAGTATGTTACTGCATTCTCTTCCTGGTCACATTCTGCCCCTTTTTCAGCAAGTTTATCTGCGGTTTCATTTCCTGGTATACCACAGTGGAATGGCACCCACTGGAGTACAGTACACTTTTGGGCAGCCACCTTGCCAAGTTTAGATCTCAAGTGAGGGAGTTTGCCACTCTTGAGGGCTTGAAGCACTGAAAGCGCATCTGTGAATATAACCACTTGGTGGCAGTCAGAACTGGTGTTGTGTAACATTTCGGCAGCCTGCTCTAGTGCTACAATCTCTGCTGTGTAGTTGGAACAGAATTTACCAGTGGGTATCCACTTTGTGTGGCGGTGGTTGCCTGGGTATGTAATAAAGACTCCAGCACCCCCATTTTTAACCGCGCTGGTTGCTGATCCATCTGTGTAAACATGTATCCATGACTGTTCGGGATAGTTTTCATGAATCATGCACATTTAGTTTATTCCTACAGAATATGATTCGCTTTCCACATTAAAACCTGTGCACCCCTTAAAATTTACCTGAATAATTGAATAAACAGAAGGACGCAGTGATAAACATGGAGAATTAAGTAATTAATTTATTGGCTATCCTCCGAATACATATTATGTTGGCCAAAAACGGCCTCAGTCACATGTAAATTACAGACTTCCGGGGAATATACTGCCACCGCTGAGAGTATCTCCCGTGCCACGGAGTGAGGCTAAACTAGAATGCTGGGACTCATGAGCAAAGCTGCTGCTCGTGAGTCCCAGCCATCTAGTTTAGCCCCGCTGCACAGGTAGCAGCGCGGGAGATACTCTTGGCGGTGGCAGTATAGTCGCCGGTCTGCAATTTAAATCGCCAAAAGTCCGCAATTTACATGTGACTGAGACCTTGTCAGGGTGTGTTTTTGGCCGCCATAATATGTGGCTGTTATTGATCGGAGGATAGCCAATTGATTGTATGTTTAACTCTCACAATACAACTGATGGATCAGTAGCCTATCCAAGTTTTTTCAATACTTATATATCTCTCCCCTCATTCCGCCTGCTCTTAAAGCTGGCTGGAAGTTTTTATTTTTCTACCACCCTCCCTTAGATCCCTCCAACACCCGCTCTTGTGAAACGTTGGGTCGTTGGCTACTATGATACTACCACCACTCCCACTAAACATGTTTTCCCATTATTAAACGCCTTCGTCGACATCAATAACGGGTAATAAGTCTACCAGACCTGCTACTATGACTACTATGGTCTCAGTCACTATCTCACTGACTAACAAACAGTTGTTACAGTTGAGTAACAGTAACAGAACTGATTATCTTATACTTCAAATACAAAAATTGTAATTATACTGTCCCTGGCAAGAATTAAACGAAGAAAGAAGCATCATGACTTTCGACTGTTACAACTCATCATGACATTGACACTAAAACCATGCTTACGGATTGATCCTGTCAGGGGATTTACTGTCGTTGACAAGGAACGAAGAGAGAAGCGCTTTCACTTTTTCAGGACTTACACCTCCCGCCATGTTTGTTGGTTAGTGTCAGGTTTATTGGCGTGACAGGTCATTTCTTGGAAAGAGAAAAATTATTTTATAACATAAATCTGGAGTTAAATAAATCAATTTAAATAAAGATAAAATAATAATTGTATAAATGACACTATAGTTATTATAAATTACAGTGTGTTTTACTCTATAAATTATTTTGTTTAAGTGATTTGATGTATGATAAATGTATGACGTATGAACAGAAATTAATTACTATATTAAAATACACGAATTGTTCAAGTAAATTAAGACATTAAATTGAACTGTTACATATAGTCGCAACAACAGCAATCAATCAGCCGACACCACATCATTAGTGACGTGCTCTGTCACATTCTCCAGGGAGCAACGATAAATGTTCCAAGCTGACGATATCATGACGATCAACATTCAAGGGACAGGGGAGACGAATACCGAAGCCCATCCCCCACGACGTTCCGTTGCGTCCACAGCCAGCTCCTAGCTCTTTCTCCTGCCTCGCCCACTTGTTTTAGTGCCCGTCTCCATTCCTTTCCTCGCATGCCCCGGTGCTTTAGAACATTGTTTGTGGAAGTGTAGATGAGTCCTCTTGCGCCTACCCCTTTGAGACGAAGAGTTTTACTGTGTATGCCTCATCTCTCCTCAGACTAGCCACCAAATCACAGTACTTTTCGAGCTTTTACAAGTGATTTTCTTCCATCCACGACTCGTACGGCACACTAAGCTCCACCAGGATTAGCTGGCGTTTTTCGCATAGGGCAGACCACGTCAGGTCTCAGCCAGATCTTTCGGGTTGATTCGGGATACTTTTCGAAGCCAAGCAGGTCGACCGCTAGTAACCAGTCCTTCGCAGTCAAGTATAGATGAAGCATATGCGACACTGTTGACTTTACATTTAGGAATCTGCCTAGCCTTGAGGAAGCTCGTGTTAGGGACGTTATTGTGGCGCCATGTATATCATCCCTGGCATAGGACTTTTCAGCACGCGGACAATACGTGCAGGAGCGTCAGCTTAGCTCTCCATAGGGGACATGTCGGGTTAGTGATAGCCCCACTTTGGCCATGTTGACGTCAGAAGTTAGTAAAAGCTGGTATGCGCTCTCAGTGGGTAGAAAACATTCGAAACTCGCACTCAACATCCCTCGCCTGTCTCTACACATGGTCATGCTGCGCGAAACAGACAAGCAATGTACCAACGCATGTACGAAGAAGTATGGACAGAGCAGATATCATCAACGCTGTACGGAATGGATTAGTGGATGATGACGAATCTCTGACACGATTGCGTGACATGGGAGTAAAGCATGGTGAAGCACGTTTATGCCGTCTTCGAGGCCGAAATAGCAGCCATTTTAACCTACCTCTAATGGGAAGAATTAGTAGAACTACCTTGGAGTGGTTGCGGCATGGGAGGACTGAGCACGCGTAGGAATGCCCCGTGTGCAATGACGTTGACTGTGATAACACAGCAAGATAACATAACAATATAACCTGAATATCCTGGATAGAAAGGGGCGCCCAAAAACAACATGGAGACGAACGATGAAAAGTGACCTGAGTGCGGTATCTTTGACATGGAAAACTGCACTGAAGATTGCACAGGACAGGAAAGCATGAAAAGTCCTCTCTGAAGCCTCATGTGCCACTAGGCATAACGAGAACTGATGATCCTGGATAGAAAATCTGAGTCTTATCAATTGATGCAAGCCACTGCGTGCAGGGCGCCAGATGCAATTTTCCGAAGCATGCTCTGCGAGTCCTTGCAATTGCAACATGATGTGCTCCCTACTCTCAAGCTATCAGAAAACTGCCGTTACTGCCTCCACCTCCATTCTCATATATAGTGACCGTGTTTGCGAGGCTTTCTTTTTCAGTCTCAATTTACCTTTATAATAAAATCAACACTTCTTACCTATCATTACAGACCCATGTGTATATAATGATGTCACCTGAATTTTCACTGATTAGCTCTTTCATCGCTGACTCTGTTTTACTAGCTATCCATTCCCGGCACCCTCTGTCTAACGTAACAATCAATCATTCTATGCAAGACATTGCGACCTGATTAAAAATCAGTCTAGATTTTCACCTCTTGTTAGCATCCTTGTGATATTTTCTCCGGTTAATAGAGAAATGGGCAGGTAGATAGACTGGCCGGTTCTGCACCACTTGGTGATGAATTGGTGTATGACAAACTAGATGTCGTAAGGGCCATTTTCGAGCGAGTGAACAGTGCAGAGGCACAGATAGATCATTACGGTCTGAGGAGAATGACGCAGCGAGGAGTTACCAGGGGATCAGGCCGACGCTCAACACTGAAGGAAAAGACGAGACAGATATACAATCAGACAGTTACTGGTGCCATGGAAATTGGAACTCCTCGCTTGCTGCTGAAGATGGGAATGGGGCGCTTATTGGAGTGTCCTGAGTGCTATGATGTCAATTCTCAATCCAACATTCAACCTACGTGTTACTGTTAGGTGTCAGCCTTAATTCTTTTTCTTCGCGCTAAACCAGTCACATCATGTGTGGTTGAATGAATAAATCAAGAAAGACATCATTCCACCCGGGACATTCCCACACGCGCTCAGTACCCTTCTTCAAAAGTTACGCAGAGTCGACAAGCCGATACCGACAGTTATTACCTAATTAAAAGTCCGCTTATGTTTTCCCCCAGTGTTGAATATCTTCCAGAAGTACATCGGAATCAAAGTTGTTTGGATCTCAAAGCGCGAGCTGGGTGTTTCGGGTATATGGTGTTTGCGTACACTGGAGTCTAACTACCAACCCAAACAGACACAACTGGATCATACTATAACAAATGACGAATAGAATAACTGTGCGGCTCCACCTAACATGTCACACCGGATCTATCCAAAACCCAAAACTGTTTTCAGTACTTTTTGACAAAGCAAAATACTCAAAATGTTAAAACTTTAAATGGTGGTCCAGGCCAAACCAGAGGGAGCTGAAACCAAGGAGGAAACACCTGGAAGGAAAAGGCAAGAAGTACACAGCTAACAACTGGGTAGAGAACGAGCGGTCTGACTTGAAGGAAGGAAACATCAAACCCAGAGACGGCGCAAACACTAAAACTTTAGTCATGAAAGTGACGGAAATATAGACGGAGACTGTTAGTAGCCTCGTCTAGCTAGCAGCAGTCTGAAAGTAGTCGAACTTTATATTTTTTGGGTCTTTACTTGTGCTGAAGGTTAGATTAGGCTCCTGTAGCCGCTACAGATGCCCTAATTATAACTAAACTTTTTTATAAGTTGAACAGGATATCTGGAATCTGCTTTGTTAGTCTATCATCAAGATTAGGTTTTTTTTTTAAAAAAACACTCTTGGGGTGACAAATTTTCAGGTAGGGACAAGCTTGTTGATTTCTCGATCTACGCATAGCTCATTCAGTGGAAAGATTCAGGCTTTCGAATTTAAATGCTTCAGACGCATTTTACGAATTAGTTTTTTAGAACACAAAACTAATAAATATATAATTCTTCCCATGTCAGAGACAATACAAATCTGCGGTACATCATGAACCTCTCTTGGCAGTGTTGAAACGTCGCAAGTAAGCATGATTCGATTGCAAAGACTGTACTTCAAGGAACACTGGGGATAGTCGAAGAAGAGGCGAGTAAAGAAGAAACTGGAATGACAAAATCAAGAAATGACCAGGACTAAGTTATCATAGACTTATTCATCAAGCGGAAGACAAAGCTAGATGGCAGATTTATGTGCTAGTGCTTCCATCAAAACACCTCCACGACCTAAATGGGCCAAGGGTTATGTTATGTGATAACTCCCTCTTCTGTTTATACTGATCTTTTTCTTTCGCCCTTAGAAGAAGGTTTGGTAGGTCGTGTTACAATTTACAGTTATGCAGCAATACATTTGCTTTTCAGCGTACAGCACCCGATTTCAGCAAATTCCTAATAAGTCGCCGTACATAAGTTATTGCTCGTATGCTTTTTAAGCGATACTGGTTATAGACCACCCCCACCCATAATAATAATAATAATCATTGGGCTTTCGGAAACCTAGAAGGAATTTATAGAAATAAAATGCAGGGTATGCAGTTTGTCACCTCCAGGACTGCATCTAGCAAGATTAACACCTTCTTCTTTAAGTCCATGCTGTGTGACGTTGGTAATCATATCTATCCACTACATTCTGTATCGTGTACTTTCAGTGAACTCTGATAAAGATGATCCTCCATGCGATGTCAAACTGTGCGGCATCTTTTCTCTCGGTCTCCTCCTGACTCTCTTCCCCTCCAACTTTTCTACTGTTACCGTGAACTCCCGTTTTCTCCCTCTTACGACATGACCAAAGAATTTAGATTGACCTTTTTCTGAGGCGGGTTATCAGTTCGCTTCATGAGTCAGTTTTTTTTTCAAGACATCTTCACTAATTTTTGTATCTGTCTAGTATATTCTCATCATTTGTCTATAAAAACCACATCTTCACAGCTTTCAAATAATTTTTTCACTAATCTGCCCATGATTCACTTCCATATTTCAGAATAGATTTGTTTAGCCTTTAAGGGGTGAGAGTAAAACTGGAACAAATCTTGGAAATTCCCTTAACCGCTTAACACCGTTATAGTGGTGCCGGTGCCCCCGAGGGTTAGGCGGTAACCCGAAATCTGGGACAGACATGAGCGGGAAGTGATTACCAATACATGTCAGGACTCAGGACAATCTGGTCACAAGACAAGGCTTGTAGCGGGATATAACTCACAAAAATAAACCATCTCTTAGACGGTTATCTACCCATTGATAAATATGGCGGAAGTCGGTGACAGAATTGTTCAGTTGAGACAGCGTTCTTAGTTACCATCATGAAGAAGCTTTGGAAGAGGGTCACAAAAAGGTCCCCGTCCCGCAGTGGTGAGACGTCCCCCAGATCAGGTTCTACTCGAGGTTCAGTAGCGTCATTGAACATTGGATACCAGATAAGGGAGAAAGATTTAGGAAAACTTCACAAAGCTGCATGGAAAGGAGATTTGAACAAAGTGAAGCAGTTGGCGAAGAAAGATCCCAGCCCCTTGGATAAAGAGAACAGGTGAGATTATCATATAATTATATCTCTGAGCACTTTTTAAATTCTTGTTGCAATAAAGTGTAGATGTATTTAACCATGGATTCAGTGTTTGTTACTGGGAGAGGCGCCAAACGTATGTGAGGACTACACTAAGTGTTATCATCATCATGTAGCAGGTCCTTTGCAAAGCCAAAACGTCGCTCTCATCACAGTCTGCCTGAAAGAAACTCGGTCTCTCGCCAGCCAGCTCTCCCGTCTCAAGTAGTTTTATACTCAAGGAGTTGTATCATGTGCCCATCTTCCTGTCCGTCGGCCCCTGCCCCTCCTTCCTGGTACCAGGCCTTCTGTTATAATTTTTTCCAATCCATCGTGGAGCTTGATATGACCAAAATATTTCAGCTTCTGAGACAGGATAATGTTTATTATATTAGCCAATCTTCCTCGATATTCAAATCTTTCAAGATGTCAGTATTTCTTCTCTTCTTTGTCCAAGATATTCTGAGAATCTTTCTCTAGCATTTCAGCTCGAAAGTCCCTATTCTCTTTCTTAAGGACTGGGAGATAGTCTACGATTCACATCTGTATGTTGCTACAGGGAAGATGCATGCTCTCAAAATTCTCATTTTGATTTCTTGCTGGTGCTTAACCAAAGACTTTTAATTTTAAGACTAATCTTTGCATTGCTATGGCCATCCTCCTTTTAATTTCTGTCAAACAGTCTCCATTGCTATTTATTATAGAGCCTAGATATTCAAAGTTTGTGACATTTTCAATTTCTTCATCATTTATTGTTATTTTTGGGTGGCAGCCAGTTTTATCTATGGACATTATTTTGTTTTCTTCAAATTCAAGAACAGATTTTGATCTTCACTGTGCTTTTAGACAGACAATATTAAATTTCGGCTATCCTCCGACTAACGGTCGGCAAAGATGGCAGCCGCAAAATATCCAGTCAAGCCACAGTCATGTTCTATTGCGCTCTTGCGGTCACGAGCACATCGCGGCAAAACTAGGACTAGTGTCTGTTGACAATTTCGAGAAACGGAACAAACCGCCGAGTTAAACTCGCCGCTGAGAGTCTCCCCCGTGCCGCTACGTGCGGCGTGGATGGGGCTAAACTAGATGGCTGGGACCCACAAGCAGCAGCTGCCGCAACTCCTGCAGCTTTGCTCGTGAGTCCTAGCCATTTGAAATTGACACATGAGTGAGGCCCTGTTTTTGGTCGACATCTTTTGTGCCCGTTATTCGGTGGATAGCCGGTCTGTGGATGCTACTAAAAAAAAGGTGCATTACCAATGTGGTACGAGCCGCACTTTGTTCAGACTGTACTTAGCCGAGTTTCAGTGGCGTAACAGCCACAAACAGCAGACTTTCGAGCACTATTTAGAACGTCTGTGCCATAATTTCTAGATATAAAGACATACAATTATCGGTAAGTAGTCGATTTGATATAACATTTTTGTCGCTCCTTATTAGTTTTCGTTCCTTATTAGTTTCCACTTCAATTTTTGACTGTTTACAACACATGACATGTGACTGTGGCTCGACTGGATATTTTGCGGCCGCCATCTTTGCCGACCGTTAGTCGGAGGATAGCCAAATTTTCTATTTCAAGTCAGTGTCACCCAACATAATTGGCACACTTTAGTAATTGTCCTCAGTTTATTTTATTTGTATGTGTTTCATTCTTCCCTTTCTGCCTTTTTTTTTAGACCAGCTTTTATGAAAATAGTTAATGGATGAACAGCCAGGACCTTCCACAGCCAGTGAACAAAGAAGAAGAAGAAAATGGTAACCAAGCAGTGTTTATGTTCTTTGCTTATCCAGAAGGCTAGGTGTGTGGGTAATCTTGACTGGATTATTTTTCTTGTCTTTACAGTTCATGGTTGCTTGAATTTTTGCAGCCATAATTTCAAATTCAACAATAGTCACTTTTTCACAAAGCCAAATGATTATCTAAATCTGGTCATAACATCATAATTCTATAACAGATTTCTGTTCCAGTTGATTAATTGTTTTGTGTCCCCACAGAACACCACTCCACCTGGCATGTGTACAGGGGCATGAGCATATTGTCCAGGAGCTGTTGGAATGGAAAGCCAAAGCAAATATTGGAGACAACCAAGCCAAGACACCTCTTATGAGGGTATACTTGTGTTTTTGCTATTTACTGTTATATTTTTATGATAATATTTTTATTTTCAATCATGTCTTTTTATAATCTTCTGTCTTGTTGTTAATTCTTTTCAGTACCTTTTTTGTATTGTAGATTAGTTATTGTCTATGTGTTTCATGGATTATCTTGTCATTTGATCTCCTCGTCATCATCTTGTCCTAATATCATTCATACTGTCATATTGTTATCCCATCATCTTGACATCATACAGTCTTGTAAATTAACCCTTTCACTCTGGGAACACTAAACAAAAGGACCATGAATCCATGGGATTTCCAGAAAAAGCTATAAAAAAAAGATACGTTTTACGCAGATCTCTCTCTCTCGCTCTCTCTCTCTCTCTCTCTTTCGCTCTCTCTCTCTCTCTCTCTCTCTCTCTCTCTCTCTCTCTCTCTCTCTCTCTCTCTCTCTCTCTCTCTCTCTCTCACACACACCCCCCTGACACACACACCCACCCACACACACACACCCACCAACACACACACATATATATATTTATGTCTGTGTGTATGTATGTAGTTTAACGATTATTGATTTACATTTTAAATATCATGAATACAGTGAAGCATTAAATAGAATACATTCCTCAGGGTCTAAAAACATGTGTCTGGTGACTCTTGCCTTGACCTCTACTACTGAGACTTATGGGAAAATTTAAAGTCCACTTAGCTTTAAGAGAGTGTTTGGTTCACAGGAAAACATCCCTACATGCTTTTTTAGGTAATATATTAACATTCTGACCTAACACTTGCTTGTGCAGACACAAAAACAACCAAATGCATCAACTAGATGTCACATAAACAAGTCACTGTAGAAATGCTAGGTAAGTGGCACTCTTAGGGAAATGGAACCTTCCAAAAATGTCAGGTTTGTGGCTGCCTAGGGTGATAAGGTTAATAATCCTATCTTGTCTTATTATTAACTTGTCGTATTGTCATCCAACAATCTAATAATTTTATCATGCCATCATCTTGCAATCCTAGCATTTTGTAGTTTTATCATCCTACTATCTTGTGATCAAATTATCCTGTCATAGTGCCATCCCACCATCTTGTGTTTATATTATCCTGTCATAGTGCCATCCCGCCATCTTGTAGTTTTATTATCCTCTCATCTTGCCATCCTGCCTTTTTATAATTTTATCATTCCACCATCTTATCCTATCATTTTGTAATTGTATCATTTCATCATCTTGTCTTAATATTATTCCGCCATCTTGTCGTCCTGTGATCTTGTCATCACACCATCTTGTCAACTCACCATCTTGTCATCTTGTCTTAATATTATCCTGTCATATTGTCATCCCATCATCTGGACATCTTACCATTTTATAATGTTATCATCATTATAATCGCCCTGGCACAATTATGTCTTCGTAACATCATTTAATGTAATAATACTGTCATCCCATCATCTTGACATCATACCATCCTGTAATGTTATAATCCTATCAGCTTGTCTTATCTTATTATTCCATAATATTTTCACATCCCCATATCAGCTTACTGTATTGTCATTCCACCATCTTTACATCCTACCATCTTGTAATTTTTTTTCATATTGTAGGGGACACGTTAGCACAGTCGATAGGAGACTTGCTTTCAAATCCAGTGGCGACTCGCTGCAGCCCACTGCCGGTGTTCGAAACTGGGCAGTTCCTGGGGTTCACCCAGCCTCTAGGAAATGGGTACTGGAGTTAACACTCTGGGGTAAATGGAGGAATGTCGCTGTAGCTACGGAGTTACGTGCGAACGGCGACACAGGCGGACAATTTCTTATCAGCTGTCCATACAGGTGGCAGAGCACTTGTGGTTTATAATCGCGTGCAATGACACTGGTTCACATCTCTTGACTTTACCTTTATCTTTTTTTTTTCATCTTGTCTTATTATCACACTGATATTTTATCATCTCATGATCTTGTCTTGTTATCATCATGTGATAATGTCAACCCACAACTTTGCCAGTTTGTCATGCCACCTGTTGCGCATCCATCTGTAGGCTATAGAGTTCCAACAAGAAGGCTGCGTTACTCTGCTTCTGGCCTACAAAGTGGACATCGACACAGTTGATGCACATGGCAATACAGCCCTGCACATGGCAGCCGAGGGAGGCAACTCCAGCATTGTCACCATGTTGGTGAGAAGTGGGGCTTCCTTAAACACACGAAACAAGGTAAGTAAAACTTTTTTAAGGAGACATACAAGATGTACATATGGAGTTGTGTCTATTTATGTTGTATAAATGCTGTCAGGATGTAGTTGTTTAGATCTGTAGATAACATCATAAGATGTTATGTAAATGTGTGTGACTGACTGACTGACTTTCTACCCCACCAGGGCATCACACAAGCGATAAACACCCGATGACACACAGTGCCACCATGTGGATGAGGATCGACGTGGAGAGGTCCCAGAAATCGCGTTCAGTCAGTTGGCCATATTGATGGCCTGCCTATATTGCGGCCCCTGGCAAAAGCCAAGGTGGGGCATCAAATAAAAAAAAATTGGTGTGAATCACTGACTGATGTTCAACCAGTACATCACACCAAGTGATAAACACCCGGTGGCACATTTTTGCATATCATAGCTTGATGTTGTATTCTTTAATGGATATCTTGACTGGATACTGTACAAATTCTTGAGAGTCAATACAAGATGCTGTATAGTTACATGGAGGGGGAGAATACAAGATTTTGGTAAGAATGTGCATGCCATCATAATTTATTTTACTTTAACTTGCATTTTGTTCCTTGATTGTTCACACAGGAAGGGTTTGCCCCCTTGCACGTGGCTGTGAAAAATAAACATTTGGAGGTTTGTCACGTTCTTCTTCAGGAGAAGGCAGATGTCAATGTAGAGGATACACATTTCAGGTATGTTAGTGTAGAGTTATATCTTTCTGACTGGTCAGTTTAGAGTTACACATTTAAGGTTTGTCAGTGCAGATTTACACATTTTAGGTTTGTCACTGTAGAGATCACTTTTCAGGTTTCTCAGTGTAGAATTACACATTTTAGATTTGTCAGTGTAGATTTACACATTTTAGGTTTGTCACTGTGGAGATAAACATTTCAGGTTTGTCTCTACATTTAAAGTTTGTCAGTATAGAATTACACATTTCAGGTTTGTCTCTACATTTACAGTTTGTCAGTATAGAGATACACATTTCAGGTTTGTCTCTACATTTAAAGTTTGTCAGTATGGAGATACACATTTCAGGTTTGTCTCTACATTTAAAGTTTGTCAGTATGGAGATACACATTTCAGGTTTGTCTCTACATTTAAAGTTTGTCAGTATGGAGATACACATTTCAGGTTTGTCTCTACATTTATTAAAGTTTGTCAGTATAGAGATACACATTTCAGGTTTGACTCTACATTTAAAGTTTGTCACTGTAGAGATACACATTTCAGGTTTGTCTCTACATTCAAAGTTGGTCAGTATAGAGAAACACATTTCAGGTGCACCTGTGCAGAGATGCAAATGTAGAGTTTGCCCCTGTTGAGGATACCAGACAATTGAACGCAAGAGATGAAAATCAGTATTCCAGAGAGTTTGCAGTCAATGAACAAGAGTGCGTGAAAAATAACCTCACAACAATGAATCAGATGCATGTTTATAAGAAAATAAATTAAGTGTAGAAGAGCACTCTAACTCCATAGATTTGAAAAAAAAAAGGTTTGAAGAAAACTCAGACTAAAACCAGTCATACGGGTTTATTAAAAAAGCAACAGATGAAATGGTTTGGCCATCGGACGCAAATGTCTTGGTACCAACTAAGAAATATAATAAATTCAGAGCAAGGTGAAGATGATAGAACTTCTTCTTCTGCCTTTCTATCCCCCAATGGAGCATAGGCCCTCAACCAACTCATGCCAAGTCGTTCTATCCTTCACCATTGTATGGAACTCTCCCCATGTCCTCCCCATCTTTCTAACTTCATTCTCCAGCTCTCTTCTCCATGTGTTTTTTGGCCTTCCTTTATTCCTGTGCCCCTGTGGGTTCCAATGCAAAGAAATTCTAGTTATGCTGTTCTCCTGTTTTTCATTTCATTTGCTACTTCCATTGTTCTCCCTATATCATAGAGAGTTCTAACATTCCAGGTGCCAATTCTGGAGGTTTTCCTAGCTGAGAGGAGGTACGTCAACGATTCGGACTCCTTACCGCTTTCTCCACACCGTGTCATACTTCTTGTATTTGAAGAGCCTCCCCTAATCTTGGTTGGCTGGGTTTTACTTGCTTCTCTTTTTGAATTATCTATTGTTGGTTGGTTTTTGTGGCTATTGTTTTTACAGGATAAGGTAGCCAACCTCAAGCCCAACCCTACCCTTAGTCGCCTCTTATGACATACCTGGTAGGGTGCAGTGTCACTATTCTTTGCTTCCCGTGAGGGCCCCAGTGACACACGGGCGAAGATAGAACTACAGAGTTAAAAAAAAACAGCCCTAATGAAACTAACATCAGCTTATTTAACATATTGGAAAGAGCTCACAGAGAATTCTCACATCTTCCTCCAACAATTTAATGAAGTGTTTAAAATATGCTCATAAGAATATATTAGAATTGTCTTCCTTTGGATTCTGGGGCTCCATTTTAGGGTTAAAGACAGAACCATCTTTCCTCTAACAAGCATGTCGTCAAAGGTGACTCATTAAAGTTTGCTGAAATTGGATGTGTTAGGCTAAAAGGGAACATATATCACAGCCTAGCTTTAAACCACAACACATCATGCCAACCATCCTTTTAGGGGTGAACAAAGAAGAAGAAGAATTGTTTTTGTTATAAAATAGTCTACTTGTATCAAGTAAGTAAATGTCAGTGAGTAAAGGACCCTTTTTCCACGCTTTCAGGCATATAGGGCTAGACCTATATTTTATAGACCAGTCGGTACTTGGTGAGTGATTTAGTTAGCATCGTGCCAGTCGCCTTTACTTCCCAGGACCTCACCTGGTTCACACTCAAGGCTGGGTCGACCTGGGAACCAAGGTCATTAAAAAAATGCCTGGCTCAGTCAGGACCATACTCATGACCTTCCGATCCGCAGGTTATCGGCTAGCTGCTACACCACGATGGCTTCCATGCTTGTATTAATATGCTGAAATTGTTTTTACAAGAATATGATTGTAACATTTTTTTTAAATAATGATCTTGACAACCTTGACATGTGCCAACTTTGAACCCAGAACCCCACTAATGTATGCATGTCAAGATGGCTCCATTAGTCTGGTGAAACTCCTGCTACAGTACAATGCTGACACCACCCACAAAGATTCCAAAGGTGACCCACTAAATAATCTCCTTGTGTGTCTGTGTGCTTTCATGTATGAGTACTGTAACACTCGTAGAGTTTAATATGAACGTGGTCAGATACAACATTATGTTGAGTTAAACATTATACTATTGAGGGTAAAAGTAAGGAAAAGATCTTTTTCACACCAGCTGCAATTCAGGCATGTGTTAAACTCATATTTTTGTAGATCAATTGGCACTCAGTTGGTAATTAAGTCACCATCATGGATCTTGGATCCCATTGTTGTGGGGGGTGGGGGGGGGGGGGGTTTGACCCACTACCCCTAACAAGCATATCATTCCAGGCAGCTAATTTGAGGTGTTTTCTTTGAAGTGGAGTGCAGCTGCCTGAGACACAAGGAACCAACAATCTGCCTACAAATAAATCAGATCTTTTAAATGAATGTGCTTGAAAAACCCGAGTTCTGGAACATTACCAAAGTTCAGAAGTAAACAAACAACCTGAACTTTCCGCCGAAGTTTACAACAGGTGAACAGGAGAAAGAAGAAAGAAAAAACTGAGCAATAGAGATTCTGGAGGAAGAGGTAGAAAATTGTTGATAAGTGTAGAAGAACACTGTAACATCATTGAATAAATTGCTAATAGCACACAAATGATTGTTTCATGGTGCAGAAAGGCACTTTAACCTTATAAGATACCTAACAAATGATTGTTTCATGGTGCAGAAAGGCACTTTAACCTTATAAAATAACTAACAAATGATTGTTTCATGGTGCAGAAAGGCACTTTAACCTTATAAGATACCTAACAAATGATTGTTTCATGGTGCAGAAAGGCACTTTAACCTTATAAAATAACTAACAAATGATTGTTTCATGGTGCAGAAAGGCACTTTAACCTTATAAGATACCTAACAAATGATTGTTTCATGGTGCAGAAAGGCACTTTAACCTTATAAGATACCTAACAAATGATTGTTTCATGGTGCAGAAAGGCACTTTAACCTTATAAAATAACTAACAAATGATTGTTTCATGGTGCAGAAAGGCACTTTAACCCTATAAAGTAGCTAACAAATTATTGTTTCATGGTACAGAAAGGCACTTTAACCTTATAAAGTAGCTAACAAATTATTGTTTCATGGTACAGAAAGGCACTTTAACCTTATAAAGTAGCTAACAAATTATTGTTTCATGGTACAGAAAGGCACTTTAACCTAATAGTGAAAAGTTGCATATAGCTTGCAAAACATTTTTCATATTTAAGAGCATTGTAGGTCACTAACAACACAAGAAGAGACAGTGTTATGAATACCAGCATTAGAAAGTTGGAATAAGACCATGTCTGGATTATACTGACAAAGAATGAAATGGTTCGGCCATCTAGTGAGAATGCAACCAGACAAAACTGCATATGAGACTTTTTACAGCAGAACATCTGGGAGGAATTCGATAGGAAGACCAAGAAAGATATGGATGAATGGTGTATCCAAAACCTGCAAAAAATTGAACAAATTCATCGCCCAAGCCACCCGAGAAGCACAAGACAAATACAGAAAACCATGACACTGGGCTACAACCTGGTATTAGTGAGACGACAAAACCATGACACTGGGCTACAGCCTGGTATTAGTGAGATGACAAAACCATGACACTGGGCTACAACCTGGCATTAGTGAGATGACAAAACCATGACACTGGGCTTCAACCTGGTATTAGTGAGATGACAAAACCACGACACTGGGCTACAACCTGGTATTAGTGAGACGACAAAACCATGAAGCTGGGCTACAACCTGGTGTTAGTGAGACGACAAAACCACGACACTGGGCTACAACCTGGTATTAGTGAGACGACAAAACCACGACACTGGGCTACAACCTGGTATTAGTGAGACGACAAAACCATGACACTGGGCTACAGCCTGGTATTAGTGAGATGACAAAACCATGACACTGGGCTACAACCTGGCATTAGTGAGATGACAAAACCATGACACTGGGCTTCAACCTGGTATTAGTGAGATGACAAAACCATGACACTGGGCTACAACCTGGTATCAGTAAGACGACAAAAGCAGAAGAAGAAGAAGAGCACTCCAACTCTGTAGTTAAAGTGCATACAGGGGAAGAAGATTTTTGCTAAGTGTAAGGAGTATCTGATATGTGTGAAATTACTGTCTGTAATTCTCGAACATTAACGGAATCCGGAGATTAACCTGCTGAAGATGTAAACATTCTCCTTATTTGACACCTCGAGATGTCTAACTCTGTTGTTTCTCACACAGCCAGCAAGTCTTTGTGACTGTAGTGTCAGTTTCTTCTATGCCACCTCAGTCTCTGAAATTTTCAGTCCCTTTACTTTCATTCGCAAAAGCAGGTGTTTAGTGATTGACTGCTTCATGTTAATCCCATCCATCATACACTGTGTTCTCTAATCATTTTACATTTGGCCAGAGCACTTTTAAGAAATCTGACCCTTCACTCGTAAATTTAGCCTCTTTAAAAGACATGTACTCTTAATTTTCCTCAGTATATAGTTCTGCTCTTGGTAATCTGCTGTGAGAACTTTCTGACACTGAAGAATTCAACTGTGTTTCTAAACTGTCTCTTTCATCTATATCCCATATTTTCTTTAAAATGACTCCAGTCATCTCTTTCTTGCCTCTCCTTAAGCTGTTCTTAAGGTTGATTCAAGAGTTGATTCAAGAACTGACATCACAGCATTTGGGACATTCCCATAAGCACTCCACCCTCATCTTCAGCAGCAGTCGCAGAGTTCCAATAGCAATTGTGCCAGTAGCATTCTGATTATATGTCGGTCATGCCTTTCCTCAGAACGTCAAGTATAGGCCAGATCTCCTTGTCACTCCTCACTGCATTACTGTCACCAGACTGGTGTTTCCAGGGTATCACATATTTCTTCTGTTCCTCCAGTTCCCTCTTTGAAGTGTTGAGATATATGTCAAGATCCTTTGTGTGTTCTTTGTAATACGCTGCATATGTTGATCTCCGTTTCTTGAAGCCCACATTCCATATTTTGTGTGATCTTTTCATTGTTTTTTAATCATTGTAATTCCTCAGCACAGCTCTCTGTGGCATTTGTTACCAGGGCATTCTCATCAGATACCCAGACCATCTCATCAGATACCCAGACCATCTCATCAGATACCCAGACCATCTCATCAGATACCCAAACCATTCTCATCAGATACCCAGATCATTCTCATCAGATACCCAGATCATTCTCATCAGATACCCAAACCATTCTCATCAGATACCCAAACCATTCTCATCAGATACCCAAACCATTCTCATCAGATACCCAGACTATCTCATCAGATACCCAGACCATCTCATCGGATACCCAAACCATTCTCATCAGATACCCATACCATCTCATCAGATACCCAAACCATCTCATCAGATACCCAGACCATCTTATCAGATACCCAGACTATCTCATCAGATACCCATACCATCTCATCAGATACCCAGACCATCTCATCAGATACCCAGACCATCTCATCAGATACCCAGACCATCTCATCAGATACCCATACTATCTCATCAGATACCCAGACAATATCATCATATACCCAGACCATCTCATCTGATACCCAGACCATCTCATCTGTTGCTCTTTAATGCTCTTTTAAATACAAATATATCGAAACACATGTGGTAAAATAAACTTGCTTGCCGTCATACATCAGGTTGGACAGCGGATGACTGCTCCGTCATCCAGGGTCATCATGCCTGTAGCCAGCTTATATCTGAGTATAATCACAAGATGAGCCTGGCAAGCCCAAGATCCACCTCACAGCCCTCCAGTTTACTCAGCACCCCACGAGACAAGAACTCCATTGGGCTTCCTGTATTTGATGGTGGAGGTAATGACAGTATGGTATCCCCCCAAAAAATTTGGATTATTTTTTAAAATTGTCTAAACCAGTTTTTTTCTGTTATTACTTGTTTAAACCAGTTTTGTTTTCCTGTTGTTACTTGTTTAAACCAGTTTTGTTTTGTTTTTACTTGCCCAGACCAGTTTTGTTCTGTTTTTACTTGTGTAAACTAGTTTATTTCCCCTCAGCTTAAAAAAAAATTGTTTGGTTTAAAGCTAAATTGGTGGATTTGGAACACCAGTATTGCACATCCCAGTCTAAGCAAACACGTCCATTATCTTAAGAGCATATTATTGCTCTGAAAACATTAAAAGCCAACAAACAACTGATAATATTGAAATCAGACAAAGGCAGTGGTGTAGTTTTCATGGACAAGTCAAACTATCAGACCAAAATGGAAGAAATATTATCTGATCAATCAACATTTCTGCTTGATTCCAACGTAAATAACGCAAACAAGAAAATGGAAGCGAAAATGAAGAATGTAATCAAATCACTCTTGGAAGGTAAATTCATCAGCGAAGCTACCGCTAAGACGCTCACTCTGTGTAGCTCACAAATACCGCAGCTATATGGTCTTCCAAAAGTTCAGAGACTTGGAATGCCCCTTAGGCCTATCCTGTCGATGATAAATTCAGCACATCATCATTTGGCTAAATGACTTGCTGAATTGCTAAAACCAGTACGGTAATAATTTGAGCCCAAAATACTCAGAGATTCATTTGAACTGGCAGAATTACAAGACAAAATGAATGTAAATCAAAAGTACATGGCATAAATAGATGTAGCATCACTATTTACAAACATCCAGTTGGAAGAAACTGTGAAAATGAAATGTTACTGGTGTTACTGTACAGAAAATAAAAAGCTTGAGGAACTTTTACTGTTGTGAACATCTAACATTAGCTTCAATTTTCTTAAGCAGTCTTAACGCCAGATTGACGGCCTCTGAGTCCTTTTCTAGCTGACATCTTTATGGCACATTTCGAGGAACAGATATCCATTGATATTGATAGTTTGGTATTTTGCCCACATTATGTGGATGACATACTTATCATCACCACTAACAAGCAACAGGCAGAGTCATTTCACACAAAAAGGAACCAAATGCACACACACACATGTACGCAGGCAAGAGCGTGCACACACACACACATGCTCTCACTCTCACACACACTAACTTTTACACTCTGTTAGTTTCTGAGATGGAATAGGAAATTAGAGCTATGTGTAGTAGGAATAAAGTCTTTTTGCCAGCCCCATTCTGTCAATGACACAAAAACACACAAAAATTAGTTCCCAAATACATAAACAGTTCTTATGTGATGTTTTCCATGAGTTGTTGAGTTAGTTGAGAACTGTGGCTTCACTGCATTTGCAGAAGAAAAAGTATATTATGATAGATTACTTTTACAAAACATTTTCCAACTGTCTGTTGAAATGAGCCTGTGTAGATGATGAAAAACTGAAGCTTTTAGAAGATAATTTGACAGAAGTTTCCCCGTAGGGTATGGGGTTTTGAGGAAGAAAAAAAAAAGAATAAAATCCACAGTTCCCCCTGATAAGCATGTCAAAAAGGCAATTAAATGGGGTGTTTTCTTCAAATTTGGGGTGCATCTGCCTGAGAGATGGGGAACCAGATCAAAAAGGCCAAACGTCCAGAAATAGGACAAACAAAAACTTACTTTCTTTTGGAGTTTACAGCCAGTAAACACTAAGAAGAAAGTTTACAGCCAGTAAACACTAAGAAGAAAGTTTACAGCCAGTAAACACTAAGAAGAAAGTTTACAGCCAGTAAACACTAAGAAGAAAGTTTACAGCCAGTAAACACTAAGAAGAAAGTTTACAGCCAGTAAACACTAAGAAGAAAGTTTACAGCCAGTAAACACTAAGAAGAAAGTTTACAGCCAGTAAACACTAAGAAGAAAGTTTACAGCCAGTAAACACTAAGAAGAAAGTTTACAGCCAGTAAACACTAAGAAGAAAGTTTACAGCCAGTAAACACTTAAGAAGAAGACACCAATGTTGTTTTTCAATTCTCTCAGATGAGGATTCAGACAATGAAACAGAGAGCAAGGTTTCTGGAGCGCCAGGGTCAGATTCATGGGCAGATTCACCAGACGTTTCTGTTGCTGATGATAGTGTCAGGCTAAGAAAGGTCAGTGTCAGATTTCTACAAGTGAACGTATGAATGAGCAGACTTTATGTATCATAAATTAGGCACGCAGGCCTGTCTTATACTCTGCCCTTAAAACCAGTCATCTTTCACACGGCAGTTGTATTTTATGTATAAATGCATGTTAAGTTCATTCATACACACATACACACACACACACACACACACGGCTCATGCCTACACACATGCTTTAATCTGATTTCTAGTTCATTGGCATGAATGAGTTTGTGAGCAAAAAAAAAAAAATTTCTAGTCTATTCATATGTAGCCAATTTATGATTATGATGATGATGATTGGTACCTTTCCGTCTTTCCAGACGATAGTGTTATATTGCGCTATGAGGAGGCATGAGACTCATAGCCCATGACGATGGCGAGTGTGACTAGCAAGACCCGCCCATATCAAGATTTATCTGCGTACTAATTGTTACCATACTTTATCCGATCACCTACTTATTGTTACCATGTTGATCTATTATCCTACTAATTATTATGATGTTCTTTTTATTTCCCTACTAATTATTACCATGTTTTATCTGCTCACTTATTCTTATCATGTTTTAATCCTTATCTCGTTTTATCTATAATGTGCCTACTAATCTACATCATATTTTATCCATACATCGTTTTATGTGACCTCAAATCCTAGTCATCTTTTATCCATCTGTATTCTAATCTGTGGGATGTTTGTTTCATCTACTAATACTTACCATATTTTCCAGATTTGTACTAATCTTTAGGGTGCTTTATTATATTCTCTTATTCTTCTCATGTTTTATCTGTATCTTTTCATTTTATGATTTAACCATCTCTTTAAATATCCTTTTGAGGTTATATCCAAGTCCAGTCATCAAGTTGTAGTTAAGGACCCTTTTCAAGCCAGCGCAGCATTGGACATATGATGCTAGGCTTATCTTTTATAGACCCGTCAGCTGCCTTATGTGATCACGTCACACTGGCTGCCTTTACCTTCCATGATTTTACCTGATGCCAGTTTTAGGCTGGGTCCACTTGGGAGCCAAAGTCATTTTTGGAACAAAATCCAGTTCGATGGAAATTTGAACCCAAGATCTTCGAGCTGGCAGGCCAGCGTCTAGCCGCCGTTCCATAGCGATCCAGTTTTCTATTTATAGCTTTCTAAAATGTGTTACTAAACCTCTGTTCACCTTGTGGTTGCTGCACTAGGAAGTTTCAGTCAATGATGGTGAAGAGAAGGAGGAGACAGCAAAGGTTTGTTATCTTGTCGACAGCTACATCTGTTTGAACTTTTTCAATTTTCATCGTTGTGATCCTTCAACTTTAGGTTGCCGTTTATCATTGCATTCTTCCATACTTTTTTCCATACCACTTTTATAATTTTCTGTGGTTCATCTTCTTTGGTTGGTAATTTTTATTCTTGTTTTGATGTGGTCACAATGAATATTTTTTATTTTGCTTTTTTTGTACTTCAGTTTATTTCATGTTTTCAACTTTTATTTGTTTGCTCATTGATTAGACGTGTTCACTTTCGTATAAATATTAACTGTTATTTGTGCTCCCCCCTCCCTCCCCCCCCCCCCCCCCCCCCCCCCCCCCCCCCCCCACCACCCCAAATTTTTTTTTTTGGGGACAATTCTAATTTGTCTGCTTCTGCTGCAATGTCTGAATTATTTATTTTTTTCTATTACAATGCTTAGATAATTCATTACTTTGTAGCAGTGCTTTGATTTTAATTTTTTTTTTTTTTTGGGTGCTTGGTTTATTTATGTGTTTCTGTTTCATTGCTCAGATATTCATGATTATTCATTTATTTTTCTTGCAGTGCTTACATTATTCATTTATTTTTCTTGCAGTGCTTACATTATTCATTTATTTTTGTAGCAGTGCTTAAATTATTCATTTATTTTTGTTGCACTGTCTGGATAATTCATTTGCTTTGATTACAGTCCTCAGATCATTTTTTGGGTTTTGTTGACAGTTTGACATACCTTTTTTTTCCTTGTACAAAGCTCTTTTTTTGTGTCTGCATTTTATCTCCCAACCAAGCATAAATTCTCAACCAGAAAAAACTAACCATTTTAGACTTTTTATGACAGGTTGAATTTCTCCTTAGCGTTCACTGGCTGTAAACTCGGGTGGACAGTTCTGGTTGTTCATCCACTTTGGTCTTGTTCCAGAACCATCACATATCTTTCTCTAACACTTATCAAACTTCTGCCTCTTCCTCCAGAAATTATGCTCTCCAATTCTCAGTCTTCTTCTTTTTTATTTCACGTTCACCCACTGTAGACTCTGGCAGAAAGTTCAGGGTGGTTTGTCCACTTCTGAAGTTTGGTGTTCCAGAACTTGTGTTTTGCATTTATCCACTTTAGATATCTGGCTTTTTTATATGCAGACTGTTGGCTCCTCTCCTCCCAGGCAGATGCGCTCTGATAAATCTCTAATTAGTCACCTTTACAACATGCTTTTTATGGAGGCATTGTCTGCCCCTCCTTCCTCCCAAACCAGAAAAAAATTGAGCCATTGAACTCACACAGGGATGGGTGAATGTTACATATAATATTTTCATTACTTATCTCATGCAGTATATATGGTTGTTACAATGTTACTGTTTGTAACCTTTTTGGACCCTTTGGTTCCTAATAATTTCATATTTCCTGTAATCTTTTATGACGTGGTTATGGGTACATATCTTCCCTAACTCTGTCAGTAGCAAGTGACTATGGTTGAGGAGCCCAGAAGAGTGAGATCCAGAACCATATATCTTCTTTAACACCTTAAGCGTTAAAAGAAGAAGTGAAGAAGAAGAAGAAGAAAAATAATAGTCATTAAAAGAAGAAGTGAAAAAGAAGAAGAAAAATAATAGTCATTTAATTATTGTCTTGTATTATGTTTTAAGCTAGCCAAAGTTTTGAACTTGCTGTATGTTCTGCAACATAATTTGGTTCATAGTCCCATAACACAGCATGTTATTGAGTCAAGATATCCTATTGACTGTCTGACCAGATTCTTCCACATCTGATGGTCAGATGCACTGGACTTAATGTTTTCCTATTTGAGGCCCATCCAGTCAGCCATATTTTAGAACCAGGTTCTTCTTGAACTGCCTCTTCTCTTCTTTCCCTGTAACTAGCCTTGTGGTATCACTTTTGAGAGGCTTGCAGATCTTATTACATGTCCGTACTATTACATTTTCAGTCTTTTAACTGTTGTTAATGGGGATTCATAGTTGCTGTGGTGTTAAGTGATGATATGGTGGCCTTCATCAACAAATTAACATCAACAAATTAACATCAACAAATAATGCATGTTATAAATGTGTTTACGAAGCATCTGTATGTTTGCCCGGGGTGTTATGACGTTGATGTTAAATCAGTAATCAGTAAATATGTTTCAGCTACATGTTGCTTTTGTTTGTCTATTAATATTAATGCCTCTTTCATTGTGTTTGATTATTTGTGTCTGTCCATTCCATGTGAAGATTGGAGCACCAAAGATCAACTTGGCCAAGTTTGCAAAGAACATTCGCATATCTGAAAGTGACACAGATGGAGGTGAGTGAGTTGTAGTTGACACAGTTAGTTAGTCTTTTCTCTTGTGCCTAGGGCAGCTCATAGGGCAGAGTTCACAGCTCTTCGTGTCTGGCGGTTTGTTGCTAAATGTTTTAGGTCTTGGATGTTTGTTAGGCCCATGGTTGAGCTTTTCCTGATGATCATTCTACGTAATCTCTTTTGGTCTTCACCTTTTCTTTTCCCTTCCGATATCCATATGAGGGCTTGATTGGTAAGTCTTGTCTTATTCATTCTGAGTGTATGGCCAATGTAGTTCCAGCAGGGCTGTCTTATAAAATTTACCAAAAGAAATGTTGGTGGATGGCTTAAGACAGTGGTATGGAGGAATACCATCATTGGAATTGATCCACAACACCAAAGACCACGATCTGAGGAGATGCATGAATGAATACGCCAGCTGGCAATGATGATCTGACTAAGTATATACTACAGGGTTTCCACTAACTTGTGATGCAGAAAATGAACTGAAATGTATTTTATGGAGCTAGCGGTTTTAAATACAGTTTCTCAATCCTGTCATTCTGGGCTTTGAAATCGGCTGCAGGCAATTTGGTAACAGACTATTTTGTGTTGCTTGTGACAAGGGAGTGAGTTTTCAAAAACCAGTCACAAACTATTGAATGTAAAATTGATTAGTGAAACAACACAGCAGCCAGTCAGTGTTGAGGTGGGTTGGCCACAACCTGAAGAGGATATGCAACTAACACAGATCACAAAGTTTATTGTTACACTGAACGTCTCAGCATGGAAGTCTTAGATTAGTCACATGATTCTGTATATTACTTTCAGCTGGGAGTCTTCTCCTTCTCCTCCTCCTCCTCCATTTTCTTCTTCTTTTTCTGCTGCTGCCTCTGCTGTTGCTGCTGCTTCTTCTTCCTTCTGTTTACCAGCTGTTATCTTTGGCAGATAGTTGTGGATGTTTGACCACTTCTAGACCTTGATCTTCTTCCAGAACTTGAGTTCAGAGAGTGGATGTCTGTTTTGAAGATCTGGCTTATTTGTGTGCAGACTGTTGGTTCATTGCCTATCAGGCAGATGCACTCCGACTTTGCAGGAAGCACCCCTAAATTAGTCACTTCTTACAACATGCTTGTCAGGGGGCAGAGGGTCGCCCCCCCCCCACACACACACATCCCAAGAAGAAACAAGGGCTCCACATGGAGAAGCTAGGAGCGAACAGAGGGTCTGGACAATTTTCTACCAACGGGGGGAAAATATGAACATTTAATGAGGCTGCAACTGGCATTAGCTCAGTATGGGAACTCTTTGTTGGCTACTGAGGTTGGGGGCGGAGCATGTTTGGGAGTGTCCCACGTTCAGTGATGTCTTTTTCTTTATTTATTCATTCATCCACGCGATCCTGTTGGTTGCACATCGCAGCATCGTCCCTGCTTATTCTGAAGAGAAGTCAGAAGAATAAGACAAAAATTATACGCACCATATTTAAAAAGTAAAGGAACCTATTTTGCACATCATATAAAAAAGTAAAGGAACCTATTTTGCACATCATATAAAAAGTAAAGGAACCTATTTTGCACATCATATAAAAGTAAAGGAACTTTTTTGCACATCATATAAAAAGTAAAGGAACCTTTTTTTTGCACATCATATAAAAAGTAAACAATGGTATAACTGGAGTGATCAGAAGTCAGGTTTTCGCCAGGACATATCATGTGTTTTCTTTAGTCCCAACCTGATGGTCTGGGCCTACCTAAAAAAAAAAAAAACTATACTGTCCCAATGTTATGGTCACTCTATGTGTGACTTAAATGAATAATAATAATGTTTTCCTGTTCAGAATCTTTGCAAGGGCCTACACCTCGGGGAAAATTGACCAAGAAACCAGAAAGTTATGATCCTGGAGCAGAACCTGGTTCTAAAACATCAGCAAACACAGAAAAATCTGGCAGTAAATTGGCTAAGCAGGTGTCCTTGCAGTCGCAGACTTCTGGAGAAGACAACTCCTGGGGCGACTCGCCTGTCACGCCTCGCAAAATCTTACCTCCAAAAGTTTCCTTCAAAAAAGCGGAAGAGATCAGTGATATTGTAAGTGTTATTCTTCTACACATTTTTGGTTTTCAGATTTCAATTTCCCGTTGTGGGTTGGGATCCCAAGTGGGGTGGGGTGGACAGAAGAACCCAGTGCTTCCAGTAAGCATCTTGTGTTGTAAAAGGCGACTAATTAGGGGTTTGTATAAATTGGGTGTGTTGGGCGAAAAAGGCCCAGATAAAGCAGCCTAAATGTAAACCACAACAAGAGGGAATGCAGAGAAATAAGAAGAATTAGGAGGAGGAGAAGAAGAAAATTGCCTTCTGTTATGTTAATTTATCTTTATAGATTGCTTTCTGCTGGAAGAGCTTTCCTGTGTGAATTTACAACTGGCAGAATGTGATTACTTTCCGTTGTCAGAATTTTTTTTTTTATAGATTTGTTTTACCCCTGATTAATTTTTATAGATTTGTTTTACCACTGACTGGATTGTATTCTAGTTTGCTTTCTGTTGATATTATTTCTCTTAAGTGTTTAATTCTTGCAGACAAAATGGATCTCTATGTCTAAGAGGTCAAGCAACTTTGAATACAGAGATAAAGTCAAATGTACACTTGTCCTTCTTCTTCATCTGCATTCAACATCACCCATGTCAAGCATTCAGCTCCCTCTGGGTCGCAGACAGGACGGTTCGCCTAAGGTTGTAATGTAGCTCCACTGAATCAGATCCTCAAACTCTGCTGGGAGAAGTTAGGGCAGCCCGGGGTGATCACCCTTAGGAGTCTGTGCTTCTCATTCACAGGTTGCAATTTTTGTAAAGCATATTTTGTGGAGGTGTGTTCTAAGACTGCAGAGTCCTGTCTGAAGCATAAAAATGTTTGCTGCTGTTGACTTCCTGTAGACTTGTTCATGGTAACTGGAATTTGCATTTAACACTTTCTTTTTTAAAAATAATGTGTAAATGTATGGGGGGGTGTATGGGAACTGGATCATTTTTTTAAAACAGTTAATTGGGGGAGACTGGATCATTCCTGAATTTTCTATGTAAGGAGACCGGATCATTCCTGAATTTTCTATGTAAGGAGACCGAATCATTCCTGAATTTTCTATGTAAGGAGACCGGATCATTCCTGAATTTTCTATGTAAGGAGACCGGATCATTCCTGAATTTTCAATGTAAGGAGACTGGATCATTCCTGAATTTTCTATGTAAGGAGACCGGATCATTCCTGAATTTTCTATGTAAGGAGACCAGATCATTCCTGAATTTTCTATGTAAGGAGACCAGATCATTCCTGAATTTTCTATGTAAGGAGACCGGATCATTCCTGAATTTTCTATGTAAGGAGACTGGATCATTTCTGAATTTTCTATGTAAGGAGACTGAATCATTTCTGAATTTTCTGTGTAAGGAGACTGGATTATGCCTGAATTTTCTATGTAAGGAGACCGGATCATTCCTGAATTTTCTATGTAAGGAGACTGGATCATTTCTGAATTTTCTATGTAAGGAGACTGGATTATTCCTTGATAATCTGAGGGAGAATACTGTATCATTTCTTGATAATTGGGGGAGGGGGGGGGGGGAAGACTGGATTATTTCTTGATAATCTACAGGAGACTGGATCATTTCTTGATAATCCACAGGAGACTGGATCATTAAAAAAAAAAATATGAGGGAGGAGACTGCATTCTTTCATGATAATTTATGGGAGGAGACAGGATTGTTTCTTACACATCTGTCTGAGGAGAGTGGATCATTTCTTGCTAATCTGTGAGAGGGAACTGGAGCACTTACAGATGTGTAGAAACATCTGAGGAAATAGTGAAAAGGAAAACTACAAAACATTTTGCTTCAAAATGTAGAAGTGTTTTATACATGACGGCAAGGAGACAGAACATATTGTTTATGGTAGACATAAATTTCAAAGGACTCTCAAGCATGAGATCATGAAGATAATGTAATTTTAAAAAGTTGTTCACTGCCTTATACCTTTCTAAATGGAGTAAGATTTTCAAGAAGTTTGTGAAATTTATAAGTATTAATTTCTACAGATTGAGTCTGATGGAGATTCAGACATCCTTGAACCAGAAGAGGATGTTCAGAATGCGGTATGATAAATTTTAAAATCTAAATCACAGTTTTAGTTTTATCTATTTTAGTTAATGGCTAATTTCTCACTTCCTGTTTATTGAATGTATATACAATGTGAACATGCCACAACATCATCATCCTGTATGAGTTCTTTGGCCAGAACATGACTTTTATCATTGCCCACCAGGAGGGTTCAGTCTTTCACCTTTTCCCTCACCGTATGCACTTCATCCCTGCCTGGTCCCAACCTCAGATTATTTTATAACCATCTGGGGTCCAGTATAACCTTATAGTTGAATGTAGCTTACTGGGATTTTTACACGCAGGATTCTCATCCTACGGATTGCAGTCCTGGAGGGGGCAAACTGCAATCGTGCATACGCTTTCATGTCTGAAATGTCCTTGTCCTGTGTCCATCTTCATGCTTCTTGACCACTGTCACTTCATCCAGCAGTGCTGGTGCCCACTAGTTATGAAGCTACTGTGGTATTTAATAGGATCAAAGTATTTTTATTCTGAAGACCCAATGTTGTTTGTAGCCAGCTTTCTTCGAGACATTCCCATAAGCACTCCATCACCATCTTCAGCAGGCAGCACAAAGTTCCAGTTCTAGTGCTGTCATTGGGTCTGATTGTATGTTTGTTGGACCCTTCACTTCATATAATGATCTGGCGGCATTTTTAACTTGAATTTGTTGACCAGTGCCATCTTCTTCCAACATTGTTGGCTTCCATTACTCCTGATGCTGCTGTGACAATTAATGGGATTAGTTTTACTACTTTTAAAACACACCTCAGTAGTCATATAAATTTGTGTTCACAAGCATATCCTGGGAGGAACAAAGCATAAACTTGATCACCTTATTCACACCAGGAGAAACGGCTAAAAAGCTTTCACATGTGATGCATGAGAAGAATACTTGGCATTAAGTGGCAGAACAAGATCACACACAATGAGGTAATAGAAAGAGCAGGCATTACAACAGTCTTCTCAATGCTCAGTCTACGAAGGCTCAGGTGGCTAGGTCATATCTGGAAAATGGAGGATGGCAGAGTCCCTAATGACATTCTCTAGGGTGTATTAAAGATAGGTAAAAGATGTTGAGGCCGACCTCTACTACAATATAAAGATGTTTGCAGACAGGACATGAATGATATAGGTATTGAGGTGGACTCGTGAAAACAAAATGCCATAGACCCTGTTGGGTGGAGGGCGCACATAAGGAAGGGAATGAGAATGAAGGAAGAAATGATTGCAGAAATGATGAGAGCTGAGCGTCTGAGAAGAAACAGACTTAACACAAGTGTTGACAACAATGGTCCTGACATCCCGTGAACTTATTGTGGAAGACTTTTCTTAACATGCTAGGCATGGGCAGTTAGTCTCATGCCTCCTAATGGCACAGTATAACACTATTGTCTGGAAAGACGGAAAGGTGCCAGTCAACAAGTATACAGAGATAAATTTGCTGTCATAAAACCTGTCATTCACAGACTGACCGTAGCTGTCATGAATCCTGAAGTTCCCAAACTGGAAAGCACGGTTTTTCATGAATACCACCATTTTAGTTGTACATTCTTTTACAACAGTAAGAATTGGAGGAGCCGTGGTGACTTTGTTTCTGTCCCTATAGACACACACACAACAACAAAACCCATTAATTTTGGTCATGCGTATTAGCTCTATAGTTATAGAGTGGTCATAAGTGTTAGGCCTGAAGGCAAAAGCTGGTCATATGTGTTAGGCCTGAAGGCATAAGCTGGTCATATGTGTTAGGCCTGAAGGCAAAAGCTGGTCATATGTGTTAGGCCTGAAGGCATAAGCTGGTCATATGTGTTAGGCCTGAAGGCAAAAGCTGGTCATATGTGTTAGGCCTGAAGGCATAAGCTGGTCATATGTGTTAAGTCTGAAGGCATAAGCTGGTCATATGTGTTAGACCTGAGGCAAAAGCTGGTCATATGTGTTAGGCCTGAAGACAAAAACTAAGACGCGTGTACTGAAAAATATCAGTTTTGTTTTTTAAATTAGACTTCCATTTGCATAAAGCAAACTTTTGGTGCATATACTTGTTTCTGTTTGAATGGTTGCCAGGTTGCCCGTCCTTCTGTATCTGTGTCGGTTCCGAAGACTTTATTAGCAGCAGGAGATGACGGATATGTACCATCAGTGCTAGTCAACAAGACACAGTCTGCCTCAGATGTGGAGAAAAGGAAAGGTCAGTCTGGCCTACGGGTAACAGAATTTCCAGACCACAAGCAGATAAAGTATTATAGAACGTACATGACACTAAGTGTGGTGTGTATTAAATATGCTCTTCCTGTGTGGGTTCCGGGGCCCCATTATGGAAAAAACAAGAATAGACCCACTGCTCCAAAACAAGCATATCGTAAGAGTCATTTGATTAGGAGTTTCCTTCAAAGTCACAGTGCAGGGGCTTGGGAGGCAAGAAATAACAGTCTGCATACAAATAAGCTAGATCTGTAAAACAGATGTGCACACAACACTCAACTTCTGGAATAAGACTAACGCTCAGAAGCGGACCAGAACTTTCCGCAGGAGTTTACAGCCGGTGAATGCAAAGAAGAAGAAATATGTTCTTCCAGGTAATACTGTCTTGTTTTTTTTAAGATCTATCACATTTACAGTGTTTGTTCAAGCCATCATTTCTAGTTAGAGTACAATAATTTTGCATTAAAATAGTTAATGTTGCCATTAAAATAGTGAGAATACATTACATTTACACTATTCATAGAGACAATCTTTTCTTTATATGCATCAAGTTACTTTTTATTTGTATTTTTTAAAATATCCACATACTATACTGTAAAACTAAACTTCTACGACTTAATGGATTGTTTTGCATATTTTTTTATTTTCTAGGATTTAGTTGTATGTTTAAATGAGAATTATTATATGCAGTAGTAAGAAAGAGACAAAACTTATTTTTGTCTGTCAGGAGAAGAGAGGCGTTAGAAAAAATGGTGACAAGTGGAAAGAGAAGTACAAGAGACAGAGACCGATCAAGAGAGATAATGAAAGATGGTCGGCGATAGTGGCTTTGAGGGAAATCGCCAACACAATTTATCCACACCTTGGGATGCCGTGTTGCTTTGTTACTTCCAGGGGTTCAACAAGACCAGGGATTACATTGGTTAGATATATCCATACCTCGGCCAGTACAATAGTCCACTGTGCGTAACGTCGTCTTTATCTTTGTTCCGGGGCATGCTGGCGTCGATGGAAACAAAAGGGCTGATAAGTTGGCTGGATCAGCTATCACTGCTAAAGGTCAACCCAGTGATCATGCTGATATGATTAATGGCCTCAGAGAAGTGGGAGGAATTTTGAGACAGTAATTCCACATCGCTCACCAGAATGAAAGGCTCAGAAGTTAAGATTGGCATAGCCAAAAGTGAGAAACACATGGGGCATACAAAGTCTTATCATTTAACAAAGAACTGGCACTATTAGTCAGAGGACGCTAGTGTTCAAACAGAGGGAAGGATCTGAGGACTTATGTCCGAGGTGCAATGATCATATCCCAACCAACTAACTAACTAACTAACTAACTAACTAACTAACTAACTATCCATAACTCTATGCCAGTGATCTCCAACCTTTTTCGGATGCAGCACCCCCCCCCCCCCCCCCATCCTAAATATATGGCAAGACCAACCCTCCCCCACCCCAACATAATAACAAAATATGATTAAAAAGAGGAGGGAAAACATAATTATTAACAAGAACTGGGAGAAAAACACACACATAATTGAAAGTGTCAAGTAACAACAGAAATTATCACAAACAGTTGGTAATCTACTGTCCAAATATCAATGTGATGGCTGACACAGTTTTGTGTTGATGATGTCTGTTATTTTAGATGATGTTTGACAAGGCACAACAGAGATTACTCTCCACCGGAAGATGGCAGCACTTTTTGTGTGTGTTTTTTTGTTTAAAGATTGTTAAAGTTGAACATCTGAAATTTTACAAGTAGGAGTGCACTCAGTTTAAAAATGACTCCATCCTCATTGGAGAACACTGCTCTGCATGGTCATCCTAGAAAATGGTTCCTTAATGGGCACCTGGCCAACATTAGTAGAATTGAAATTTTTTTCAAAGTCTGTGCACATCTGCCTGAGAAGTTGAGTTGATTCAAGAACCGACATCACAGCACTTGGAGCATTCCCATAAGCACTTTGTCCCTATCTTCAGCAGCCAGTGAAGAGTTCCGATACTAATGGTGCCAGTAGCATTCTAATTAAACATCCGTCTTGCCTTTCTTCTTAGCCTCCAGCATCTACCAGAACCTCTTGTCACACCCCTCTGCATCAGTCTCACCAGACTGTGGTGATCCATCTGCTCCTGTATAGGCTCTTCCACAAGGAGAGCATATGGATTTGCCTGAGAAGCAAGGAACCACCAATCTTTACACAGTAACCAGAGCTGGAAAATGGATTAACTTGCAGCACTGAACTTTGTATTAGTTCTGATGTTGATCATAATGTTAAAATTGATTGTTCTATCCATAGCTTTAATGGAAGAATTTGGCATCAGTGATGTTGATGACATCAGCGAGCTATCAGATCCAACACCTCCGGCACCAACATTGTTGCTCCAAAAAACATCCAAGACTGGCCCGGTTCAGGAGGACAGTGAGTGGGATTCCTCGGTTGTCTCTGGTGCCATCAGTCCAAGACCTGGCATTCTGAAGACAGGGATTCTTGTGAGTATCATCATCATTGGATACGATACTATGCCAGCTGGCAGTCCTGCTGCTCTACATGTTGCCATTTCTAGCAGCATGTATCAGTTCTTCTGCTGGCACTGTTCCATTCCATTTCTTTTTCTTCACTAGCTGTAAACTGAGGCGGAAAGTTCTGGTTGTTTGTCCACTTATGGACTTTAGTCTTGTTCCAGAACTTGAGCTTTACCTGCACATCTGTTTTTGCAGATCTAGCTTATATAAATGCAGACTGTTAGTTCCTGCCTCTCAGGCATATGCACTCCGACTTCAAAGGAAACTCCCCTAATGAATTGCTTTTTACAATAATGTTTGTTAGTCGGCAGTGGGTCTATTACCCCCCCCCCCCCCTCTCTCCCACTCCAAATGGAACCCAAAACCCTTACAGGTCAGTTCTGTTTCAAAAGCATATCAAGAATCTTCTCTCAATGTCTTCCTGTATTTCTTTTCCCATCAAATATTCCCATTTGTCACAACAAACTAGTTTTGTGTGTGTGATTATATGATGGTTTAGTGTTATAGAAGTATCATCATCATCATCATGTCGCATGTCCTTTGCAGAATGTCGCTGTCATCACGGTCTGCCTGAAAGAAACTTGGTCTCTCGCCGGTTCTCCTGCCTCATGTATTTTCATACTCAAGGAGTCACTTATATCCTGTGGCCATCTTCGTGCTGGTCAGCCCCTGCCCTTCCTTCCTAGTACCATGCCTTCTGCTGTAATTTTTTCCAATCCGTTGTGGCGCTTGATATGACCAAAATATTTCAGCTTTCGAGACAGGATGCTGTTTATTAGCCAGTCTTCCTTGATGTTCAGATCTTTCAAGATGTCAGTATTTCTCCTCTTTGTCCAAGATATTCTGATAATCTTTCTTTAGCATTTCAGCTCAAAAGCCCCTATTCTCTTTGTTAAGGACTGGGGGATAGTCCACGACTCACATCCATCTGTTGCCACAGGGAAGTATACAATAAAGAATTAACAGACAGAGACAAATGAAAAATTGTTATAACCAGGAATAGACTCACTATGAATAGATTACAAAGAAATTAGTTTTCGATCAAAGATAGAGATAGACTATCTGGGATAGCAAACAGAGACAAGCTAAGACTCAGCACTGATTTCACATTTTCCTTCTATCCTCTTTGATGTTACTGTTGTGTTTCATTCTGTTTGTTAGTGATTGTATTTGCAATGTGTTTACACTAGATTGCTTTCTCTCTGAATGTGCATGTGTGTATGTTCGCATATGCATTTGTCAAGCCCCACCCTACCCTTAAGTTTAGGTTGTCTTAGTTGTCTCTTATGACATGCCTGGTAAGGTGTAGTATTACTAATATTTGCTTTCCATGATGGCCCAAGTAACACATAGGCAACTTTTTTCCCTACAGCTAACATTTCTTTGAATGTACAAGTTGCCATCCACCCCTTTGTATTTTTACTTAAAATGCCTGTAATATATAATATCACATGAACGTAACATGCTTTATAGAAAGAAAAAAAACAATTGGTGTATAAAAGATAAGTGTTTGGAAGGGCTTAATGTTAGACAGGCCTGTGTGCCTAAATTATGACCTTATTAAAATAAAGTTCATTCATTCATTCTGATTTCCAGTATCTCTGTCTCTGTGACCTTTGCTGTCTGTCTCCCACTCTTTCTCCACTCAGATACTTTCTCCCTCACATCGGCCCATAGAGTGCCACTGTCTCATCTTCTTTATCTTTAATGAATTTAGCATAGGACAGTTGCTAGAGGTGACGATTGAAGAGTATCGAAACTGGGCTTTTTTTTTTATTTCTACATTCATTAGTGGTGGCTTTTCCATGAGGCAAACAAGCCACTGACAAGAAACGTAGGAATAGAAAAACATCCTAGTTTCCATACTCCCGAACCATCGCACAAGTAGCAGAACGTGAAAATAATCATACATGTGAGCGGTGAGAACACGAGAAAAAAAAGAAGTTAAAGCTTTGACAATAAGGAATAAGGAATACGTGACACCCTCATAACATAGGAGATGCCTTGCAGCCCGACAAGGCATGAATGGGAAGGGAAGTCACTCTCTTTTTGCGGACCAAAATGTTAGTTGTTCCCACTTTACAACACAAATCACTGTGGGCACAGACAAAAAAAACAAAAGCATGTCACATGAAACCAAAAGCCCTCAGTGTTGAAGCACACAGTCCGTAGCTGGAACTATATGCTATCAAGTCCAGATTAAAAAAAAATACATAAGTAAATGATGGTCAGAACAAAGATTACTCTAAAGCACTCACGCACTGCCTGCCTATCCACCATACTCGACTGGCATTTTCAATGAATTCATGTTCACAAACTTATGTTTTGTGTTTTCTTATGCAGGACAGGAAGAACATGGAGTATACTTTACCCAACATTCATCGACAGCAACAACAACAGTCTCAAGCTATGACTGCTGATTCAGCTGTAAGTACTTTAACTCTCTGGGTACCAAAGTATACATCACACCCTGATTTCTTCTTCTTCTTCTTCTTTGCGTTCGGTTTTGTATGCTCAGATCAGACCATCAGGTGGGTTGCCTCTATGAATTCGCATGTAGCTGCAGGTCCTGCATGGTTCCCCATAGCTTGCTCTGCACACTTTGCTCTTGAGGCCAGGTGTCTTTTTGAAGTTGCAGGTAGAGTGGGCAGGTCTGTAGAATGTGCTGAGGTGTTTGGGGTCCTGTTTGACAGGCACATTGGGGGGACTGTACAATCTTTATTTTATGCATGTGGTAGTTGAGTCTGCAGTGTCCTGTTCGCAGACGGAAAATTGTTGTATGTTGCTTTCTGTTGAGTCTGCTGATGGGGTCTTGTGGATGTTTACTGTTAGTTTGTTCTCTCCACAATCCCTTGTATTTTCCTTTGATAAGTGTTTTGATTTCTGGTAATGACAATGAGTGGGCATGTTGTTTCTCCTTTGTTCCATTTTTTGCAAGTCGGTCTGCTAACTCATTTCCTGGTATGCCGCAGTGAGCCAGGATCCACTGGAGAACGATTTGATTGTTTTCTGTGAGTTTGTTTAGCTGACGGGTCAGTTCTCTTTCCATGTTGTCTCGTGGATCCCTATGAGTTGCCTGAAGGACTGACATGCAGTCCCAAAGGAAAGCAATTTTTGCTGTTTTTAATTTTTCTTTCCTCAAGCACTTTGGCTGAATCATAAAATAATATAACTGTTCTTTGGGAACAAAAGATGTTACTATATGATAAGCTTCTAAGTCTCTTATGAAAAAATTGTTTTGGTCACATCTTTTCTAAATTTCTCGATTTATTAAACTTATTTGTAATGTGTACTGAAAACAATATTTCTGATATTTAAATATTTCTATTTCTATTTTATGTATGTGAAGATCTACAAAAAGTCTCCAAACATTATTCAGATAATAGTTCCAGATTATAACGGGATAAATTCTTTTAAAATGTTACGATTATAGCATTTGAAAAAATTGAACTTTTTTTTAAGGAAAAAAAAAATAAGTTGCCTGTGATTCTTGCCTCAGACCCTTCACTGTTTATTACTGCTCATTTACTAAAAATTCTACCTGCAATATTGCATTTGTACCATTAGATATGGTACAATAACTGTTCTACCTGCCCTCTCATAACACATGAACACACTTTAACAAAGGGAATCATTTTTACAATTTAAACCAGTTTAATCAATGACAATATTATAAACAATTCTTCTTCCTCTTCTTCTTCTTCTTTTTCTTTTTATTCTTGTTCTTGTTGTTGTTCTTGTTGTTCTTGTTCTTCGTTTGATATCATCATCTAACATTCAGTCCTGTTTGAATCACAAACACATTGGTGTTTTTCAAATGGCTTTTGTTTGCTGTGTAGCTCTTTTGTGCCAGATATTTAAGCTATTTAAGCTCCAGAGTCTTTCTTTTGGCTCCATAGTCCTGATTATTTTCTGTCTGTTCTGTGTAGATGGGCTCTATAACTTTAGTGTCCTGTCTAGTGCCTACAGATTATTGCTTGTTTCTTTCTGTCGAGTTTTATAATGCTGTCACTCTCTGGTCTTTAGTCTCCTCATTTTAACCAATGAAATCACTTTAACCAACAAAACCAGGTTGAGGAGGACATACAGTGGGACTTTTCAGTTGTCTCTGGCTATCTGAGCTCTCCAAGGCCTGGCATTCTGAAGACAGGAGTTTTTGTGAGCATGCAGTAGCTTTGATCTCACTGTAGTTAACATAAAGACTAACCACAGATAGAGATTGGGATATAGTTAATGAACCTAGGCACTAAGACTAATCCAGCCTAAAATAAGAACCAGGAAATTTCCAAGTCCAAGTTAAACAAAAAGTAAAGGACCCTTTTTACACCAGTGGGGTATCTGGCATATGATGCTAGGCTCACAGTTTATAGATCAGTTGGCCCTTGACTGTTCACCGCTTGCCCTTGCCTTATTGACCACATTGGTCATAGGATTCTTCCAACAGTCATACAGTCTTTTAGTGCCACACACAGCTGTTTATTACTCAGTTATATCGGGACATAAAAGATGTGGGTTAGGTAACCTAAGTATAGGTCGTGGCTATTCAGTTAAGTTTACTTGGGGGCCAGATTATTGAAAATGGGGATCCTCATGGGCCAGAGAGCCGAGCCCCAGCATAAAAGATCATTAATAAAATACAACTGGCAATGATCCATGGGCCACTTGTTAGGACATTTTTTGGCCAGATTTTGCCGCCGGCCGCCAGTTGAAAGGCCCTATAGATGATGTTGAGAAGCAATTTTTATAAGGCATTAAACAGCTTATGCTCCAACATCCACTTAAGACAATCGGAAGAAGAATGAGCTCTTAAAGAACAAGAACTGGCATCCATTAAAAATAGAGAATTCTCTTTGAAAGAAAAAGAGTGCAAGGACAAGCGGAACTTGAAGAAAAAAGATTGGAATTGGAAAAACAAAGATTACAAACCCAATTATAAATATACAAATATGAACTGAACACTACAGAATTAGAGAATTAGACGGAGATAGAAAAACTAGCTGTTTGAAAGCAAGAACTAAAAGAATTAGAAATGAACCGTAAGAGATACCAGTGGATTGTGAGAAATGTTTAGCAGGGCGATGATTTAGATGTCTGGGCAAACTCATTTGAGCTACTCATGGAACACCGTAATGTTCCAAAACCAGAATTTCATAACTTATTTTGTAAGCACCTAGTATTCGAACCTCTGAGAATATTGAAAACAAACTAAGAATATTTAATTTCCAGTTTTGATTATGTCAGAGAAAGGCTACTACATTTAAGTTTTGATAAATTTGGATTTTGTGAATGAGGAACTAATTGTTCGACTGGGACCTTTACATTAAATTATGGTGTCCAAATATAGGTATCATTTTTTCCCAAACTGATTTAGTTATTTCTCTTGTTATGTTAGTTGTTTGTTGTGGTTCTTATCTTATGTAGTGGTTTTCGTTGTAAACTGCACAAATTTCAGCTATGAGTGTTTGAAGATTTAATGATTCAACTGTTTGATTGTTGACTAACCAATGTATGAACTAACCACCAGTGGAGAACCACCAGTGAACTAACCAGGTGTAGACTAACCAGGTATAAAATAACCCAAGGTGGACTAATAAAGTATTTGCTAACCAGGAGAAACAGGCTAACCAGCGATAGGGTCACCAGGTTCAGATTAACCAGATTTAGGCAAACCAGGAACGGACTAACCAACAATATACTAATTCTAGGTAGAGTAACAAATGATGGATTACCTAGAGATCACATGACCAGCAATAGATTGGGCCTAACCATTTTGTCAGTTTACTGCCTGTGTAGGTTAGCAAATATATTCCTGTCTTCCCTCCACTCTCTTTCCTCATACAACATTATTCTTGTCTGTTCTATTTGTGCTTTGTGTGCAAATTCAGTAGTCAATCTGCTAACAGCGTGTTTGAGCTTATAAATTTTTCAGGCAGTAGCTTTCTTTTTCTCTGCCCTTGTATTTCATTCTTTCTTCAAGACCTTTGTGCTTATGTTATATTAGTGGGATGCAATTTTTTGTTATTTTGAAGCCCCAATTTGGCTTTTGCCAAGGGCCCTGAATAAAGCCCGGGGTTTAGATATGGCCTAGCCATAGATATGGCCTAACGACTGAAAGGGGTTTCTGGGACCTCTATACAGGTGATCCTTATCCTCATGGTGGCACTTTGTGTCACCGGGTGTTTATCGCTTGTGTGATGTCCTGGTGGGGTACAACTACCTACCCACCTTTGTGCTTATCTTTCCTCCTAATTTGTGCCTCTCTGTTTTTTCCAGTCTCTCTTGGTCACTCTCTGCTTCTCTTGCTCTCTGCCTCTCTCTCTCTCTCTCACTTTCCGTCTCTCTCTCTCTCTTTCTCTCTCTCTCTCTCACTTTCCATCTCTCTCTCTCTCTCTTTCTCTCTCTCTCTCTCTCTCTCTCTCTATATATATATATATATATATAGAATATATATATATATATATATATATATATATATATATATATATATATATATATATAGAATATAGAATATATATATATATATATATATATATATATATATATATATATATATATATATATATATATATATATATATATATATATATATATACATCTATTTCTCTCTGTGCCCTTATTTTGAAACAGCTCATTCACCTGATAGTATTCCTTTATGTGTATGTATGTACATGTGTGTGTGTGCATGCATGCACGTGAGAGAGAGAGAGAGAGAGAGAGAGAGAGAGAGAGAGCGTTATTTTTCAAAGACTGAGTACATAGAGGAAATAGGCATTAAAGTGGCCAGATTTCTTGAGAGTATTTTGACCATCTTTACAAGCATGCTTATTACGCAAAGGATTTAAGGGAAAGAACCAAATTGTCACATTAAGGATTGAAGGAGCTAAGGGTTAGCTAATATGTATTTAGAGCAAAATAAATAGAAGAAGACTTTAAAACACAGAGAGAGAAGAGTTTGGGACAATAAATAAAATGGTGAGGATAACTGCATGAGCTAGCGAGTAAGCTGAGTGCATATGCTCCTGTGGAAGCTAAACCACAAAAGCAGGAAAAAAATGTGAATTTGATTTAGCCAAATTAAGACCTGACATAGCACCTGGGACATTCCCATAGGTGCTCTGCCCCCATTTTCAGCTGTAATTTCTGATGTTAATATGCTACCCCAGATTACGTCAAAGGAGAATTCAACATTTTAGAGGGTGGTAGACTGAGTTTCCCAGATTTCTGATGCTTTTAATGACCCCAAAACATATAGAACTGGCCCTAACCCCAACCCACCTACATCCCACGAGAGAGTGCAGCCTAACTCCCAAGACTGCATGCAGTCTAGGTCCCATGACTGCACGCAGCCTATCTACCACCCCCTGAAATATTAGACTGTCCCGTGACCTATGGATTTTCCCTGTTTGGGGTAGATATTAATAAAGCACCGTATCACCATCTTCCCTTTCCTTGGAGTGTTGATTGTCAGCCACATCATCTGATCACTTTCCAACAGCACCATTTTGTTCAGACCTTTATGATCTGTTCATGCTTCAGCATTGTTTACTTGCCCCGAGAGACCATATCTAGTTTGGTGTGCATCTGTTCACCACCCATTGGTGCAGCATCAGCCAGTCTGTCTACTAGTTCATTTCCCAACACACCTACATAACTTCGGTAAAAGATCCAATGAATGTCAACCGCCTGTGACCTCTGAAGTAATGCTTGCCACTCTGCACGCAGCTTGCTTGTCTCCACCTTTCTGAGCATGCTTTGTGAGTCTTTCACAGTCTCAACATGTGTATTTATTTTTGTTGAATATGTTTTGTGGCTAGGTAGGGGCAGGTCAGGCACCACCCACCTGGAAGAACACAGAAGGGGAGGGTGACCACAGTTTTGTACTGCCGGCAGCAGTGGCCACCGGTCAGCACAAGGAAAGTGTAAGTACATTAGGAAACCAGTTTTTAATGTTCCTCTGCCTAGCACTGAGTTAAGTGCAAATTGCAACCAGATGGGCTATGCATTTCTTTGGAATGCTTTCTGACTGTATCTAAGTTAGTTTGTGTTGTGAGCAGCAGAAAAATAGTGTGGCTTATTGCCACAGAACTGGTGGTGCCTTACACAGTATTGTGTGTGCAGCTGCTCTTCTCAGCATTCACCGGCTGTAAACTCCAGTGGAAAGTTTTGATTGTTCATCCACTTTTGCGTGAAAATCCATTTTACAGCTTATTTGTGTGCAGGCTCTCAGGCAAATGCACCCTTTCAAAGGAAAATCTCTAATTAATTGATTTTTGCTGCATGCTTGTCTCTCTCCCCCCCCCCCCCAATCCCAAAATGAGGCCCCAGAAACCACTGTGTGATGAATCATATGTGATTGTCAGTATAAAAGATAGAAGTCAGCAGCTGGGGTGTAGCAGCTAGACCCTTGCCTGAGGATCCAAAGGTAGTGGGTTCAACTCTGATCGGATGTAGACATTTTTAAATTTCAGAAATGGCCTTAGCTCCCAGTTCGACCCAGCCTCAAATGGGCACCAGGTAAAAGTCATGGGAAGTAAATACGGCCGGCATGATGTTGACGGCATCACCTACAGAGTGCTGATTGGTCTATAAAATATAGGTCTGGTACTCTAAACCCACTATGACTGAAAGCATTTAAAAAAAGGTTCTTCTACATGTAACAAAAGACTAAGCAGATGGGATGATCATTGCTATGGGACATAAACTATCAGGAGAAAGTCATCACTGTAAATAAACTTTGCTATGTCGAAAGCAGTGAAAATTGTAATAGTTGAAATCTCCTTAGGTTTCTGAATGGGACAGTGACCTTGAGGATATGGTTAATCCAGTCTCTCAGTTTGTCATTACCAGCGCTGCTCCTTCTCTACCTGTGCCAGATTTTGCTGAACAGGTTAGTCAAAAACAATTACCGGTGAGAGAGAACCATATTACTTATATATTTATTTCATAGATCTGTTGTTTTCATTATTTATTTAACATTTATTTAATATACTTTATCATATTTGCATAAATAGGCAGATTTATTGTGTTATATATACTTTATCAGTACTGTACAAACAGAGAGATTGGTTTAAATATACTTTATTTAGAAGCCATAATGTTTTATTTTGGCGGTGATGTAGCGGCTGGACGCTCGCTTGCCAACCTGAAGGTCCTGTGTAAAATCAGCATCGAGTCAGATTCTTTTTTTTCCCCAAATGACCTTGGCTCCCAGGTTGATCCAGACTAACTTGGTAAAGTCTTGGAAAGTAAAGGCTGCCCGTACGATGTTGACCACATAACTGACTGAGTGTAGATTGGTCTATAAAACATAGGTCTATCACTATATGCCTATAGGCATAAAAAAGGTCCTTTACGTTACTGTTTCTAATTTATTTAATTAATTTATGGATTGAATCTCAGGACGCTCAGCAGTGCTAAAGAGCCTGTGCACTGCGCTGAGCTTCTTCGGACTCAGACTTGAGTTAGAAGAAGAATAGAACACTTATGGGTAACTACCCGTTGCCATGATGTTGATCCGTTGTTCAAACCTCAAACCTCTGAGTTTAATCTGTCTCAGAGGGGACTGATTCATCAACAGACAATCTAAATACAAGAAGCAATCGATTGGGTTTCAGGCTTTGTTGCACTAAGTGATGTCAATTTCATAGTTCTTATTATCATCATATTCCATATCTTTTGTTCAGACAGAAAAAGGTGATGATGTGTGGGACTCAACGGTTGAGATGGCAACTCCTCGAGGAACCCACAGTACATACTATTCTGAGGTAACACAGACTTTCCTGTTGTATGCATCAGTTGAACAGGCTAAGAACTGACATCAGCATACCCGGGACATTCCAATAAATGCCCCTTCCTCATCTTCAGCAGACAGCGATGAGTTCCAGTGCCGATTCTTCTCTGAGAGAGCACATGTGAAAACACGAACCTAACCCAAAGACTAACAAAGTCAGAGTCAACAAAAACCAAAAAAAAAAAAATGCCTAACTATCTACCCAGTTTTTTGCAATGACAAAAAAATTCATTCAGCTCTGCAGCTCTGATGCTTGTTGGAGATATCTAACCTGTCAGTCCTTTATTAATAGTCAGGAATTATATACACCCATTGTTTCCGATTTCAACCAATGAGTTGATATTAGAGATTGATCAGTGAGTAAGATGGTGGTTGATGCTATGATTATAGCAATAACCTCAACACATGATTGCAATGACAAGAAACAACCTGAAGACAGTCCTCTAAAGGATACTCTTCCATATTCAGTTTGATTGGGGCTACCATGATTGCAGGTCCACTCATTTAGGCTCATAAACAGTCCTTTTTCCTACAAGTAGAATAGCCTGGAGAACTCTGTTTTCTTGAAAGAGAACAGACGTCTTTATGAAGGATTCCAAATAGTATCAGCTACTAACAATAAATATGTTCTTCTTAAGCATTGCTATCGCTGTCTGTCATATGAATTTTCTCCCTGTCCCCTTTCTAGACTAAAGAGTCATTCAGCTCTGTACTTCTGATGCTTGTTGGAGATTTCTGACCTGTCAATCCTTTATCAAAAGTCAGGAATTCTATACACGCATTGTTTCCAATTTCAAGCTCTACCCCTGAGATTGCCTAATATCTTGAAACATGACATCACATGTTGCACGCTGCTGCCGCTGATAGCGTCCAGTGGTTAGCTTTCTCACAAACACCTTACTGTCCCACCTAATCCCAGTGACACCTGTTCCAGGCCCATCTGCCTCACACCTTTCCCTGACAGGTGTAAATACTGGCTCTGACCACTAGATAAATGTATAACACCTTAGTGTTATAGACAAAACCTACAGCCAAGTAGTCTGTAACTTTAACTCCATTGGTGCCCTCCTGTCTACCCTGTTCAGCCTTATCTGAGCTTCTTGACACCCATACACCATGCAGGGATACTGATGTTAAATTCCATTACAATAAAGACTTTGAAAACTGCTCAGTGATCTAAACAGATCTGTAAAACAGATATATACATATAAAACTAAAGTACTGGAACAAGACTAAAAGTCCATAAGTAGATGAAAAAAACTAGAACTTTCTGCTAAAGGTCACAGCCAATGAACTCTAAGAAGAAGAGGGTATGCTGTGCTAGCTCAGTTTTTTAGACCAGTTAACACTTGTTGGGTAATAATTAGTTAATTAATCCATATTTTATCCTCATTGTACATCGGACAAGTCCATAACCACTTGGATCCCATCTCCAGTATGGCTCCCAGCTTGTGACAATTGATAACAGCAATTCTGCATTGGTTTACTATTCTTCTTTGGCTACCTGTATAGCGTTCATGTTTGATAACACTTTTTTTGACCTGAAGTTTTTGTAGTCTTTTTAGTGTTGCTGACACCGTTGTCTTCTGAATCATCTTCTCATCCTGTCTTCTTGAGAGCACTAAGAATGTCGGCCCAGTCCATTGCTTTTCCTGTACCTACCATAGCCTTCCAGCAAACCAATCCGCTCCTTCATTCCCTCCTACCCCAGAGTGTCCCGGCACAAAAATGAAACTGATTCCTATCAGGTAAGATTTCCTCAGTGACTCCAACCATTTTCTTTGAATCCATCCTGTCTATCTTCTTAAGCATGCTCACGGAATCACTTAAAAAGCACGCATGGGAGAACTGCTGTGTCTCTAGCTGCATTATTGCTTTTGTTACCACCATCACCTCCATAGTCAGACTGCCTGTAGTCGAGGTAATCCGTGGTTGATACAAGTTAGGAAAGTGGGTAAAAGGACCTTTTTTTTTTTTTTTTGACTTTTACAACATGTTTATTAGGGGGTCGGTGGGTCTGTTCTTGTTTACCCCCCACAATGGGACCCCAGAACCCACACAGGGATAGTAGACAATTGGTTTTTTTGCACGATATTACTAAAGCTGCTTCCTCACATCAGGTGAATGTAGTCAAGACAACAGAAGTGCCAAAGTCTGACAGAGAAATTCATCAACAAGATCATGTCTTTGATGATGTGATACCAGCTCCTCTCATTGCTGCTGTTGTGGAAGGGGGGATGCTAGCACCAGATGAGGAAGGAGAGGATGAATCTGAAAGTGACTGGGATTCAAAGGTAGAGTTCTATTTATTTTTTTTCAACTTCATCTTTTGCCTTTTGTCTGCCAGTAAAAGAGACAGAAAGTTAAGCCGCCGTGTAATGCTTTAGCCACATTTACTTCCCAGAACTGTATTTGATACCCATTTAAGGCTAGGTTGACCTGGAAGCCAAGGTCATATTTAAAAAAGTCAGTGTTTTTTTTGGAAAGATACAAAATAGTGAATTTTTTTAATATTTGGTTTTTGTTTGTTTATTGCCAATGCTTTTACATTTTGGTGACATCTTGATGTTGATGAACACTTTCAGACAGATGAGCTACCTCCAGATGCTGGAGCAGCACATGTATTCACTGCATCAGGTAGCCCGACATCTGCAGGCAGACCTCAGCCAAAGCCTAAAGCAGTTGATAGCCATCTCCAAAGTCATGAGATTCAAGATCCTGATTTAGACTCTGATGAGGACACAGAGACAATGAGTTCCTGGGAGAAGGAAAGAAAAGTTAGTCATGTTTTTTCAGTCTCTTTATCAACTGTTGGTTTTCCCCATGTGGGTTCTGGGGCCCCATTATGAGGGCATTATTAACAAGAATAGACCCACTGCCTCTCCGGTCAGCATGTCATAGGAGTCGACTAAATGGGAGCTTTCTTCTTACTCAGAATGCACCTGCCTGAGCGGCAAGGAAGAAACAACTGCGCGCATATAAGCCAGTAAAACGATGTACTCACAAAACTCAGACCCTGGCACAAAGCCATAGTCCAAATGGATGAACAACCAGGACTTACAGCTGGTAAACAAAGAAGAAGAAGAAGAACTGTTGATGTTCAGCTTTGTTTATCTATATCTATATCCTCTTCATGTTGTTGACACATGAAGCATTCTCAGGTGATCTCCATTGCTGCTGGTCTGCAGTTGTTCTGCCTATGGTATCCCATGTTATTTTACATTCCTTCATTTCCCTTTCTGCTGTCCTTCTCCAGGTTTCCTTAGGTCGTCCACATCTCCTTTTTCCATCCATCTGAGAGATACCCTTTTCTAAAGTGCTGTTTGACTTTTGTGATGAACATTCACATTTATCATCATCATCCTTATCCAATTGTGCTTTTATGTGTTGTGCTAGTATATTTCATATGAAGCTTGCAGTCTCACCCTTCATTCCATTCTGTCCTGTGTAATCCTGTCGATATTATCCATGGAATCTAGTCCAGTGCCATTAGTCTTTCTCAACAACATTTGTCTTAGGTTTTCTCTAGGATGTCCTTGTTTCCACAATCCATTTTCTTTTCACATTTCAGTGCTCGTTTTGTGATTGTGTCTGTGTCTCCTGATAATTAATATGTATCTAAAATATATGACATTGGAATTAAAAATACATAACCTGATTTTAAAAACTATAATTAGAGTTTAATATTTGGTTCATACTTTTAACAGCTGCTGTTGCCTTGCATTTCATGGTTTCTTTCTTTGTGTTTTATAGCAATTAAAAAAAAAAAAAAGCAATTTTTCTGTTATCTTTCAGTCTACAAATAACATGATTTGTTCTTTTTTCTTTTTCCAGCAGTTAAAATCAAACCAAATGACACTTTCCTCTTTTACCCATCGGGGTGTCTTAGGAGAAGAGACAAGCAAAAAACAGGAGGAGAGAATTCAGAAGGAGCTTTGTTTTGAACAAGAAGTGGAAAGTAAATTGAGTGTAGAGGTGAAAACACAACATGAAAGGACATTTGAAGAAAAAATAAAAGAAGTAGAGAGGATAGATAGATTACAGAAAGAAGAAGTGGACAAAAAAGCTGGGATTACTAGAGTACAGAGAGAAGAAGTAGAAAGACAAGCAGAAATGAATAGATTACAAAGAGAAGACATACAGAGACAAGCAGAGGTAGATAGATTGCATAAAGAGGAAAGAGAAAGACAAGCAGAAGTAGACTTGAAGTTTCAGAGAGAAAAAGTAGAGAGACAAACAGAGATAGATAGATTACAGAAAGCTGAAGAGGAGAGACAAGCGGAAATGGATAGATTACAGAGAGAAGAAATAGAGAGGCAAGTAGAAATAGATAGATTACAGAGAGAAGAACTAGAGAGAAAAGTACAGTTGGATATGATAATTCAGAGGGAAAACACTTTGCAGCATGAGGAGATGGAAAGACATTGGACGGAAGAAATTGATTTGCATGAAGACATTGACAGAGAATGGAAGGTAGATGAAGCAGAGATGCAGGAACGATTGAGAAGTGAAATGGATGGCTTTTTCCAGGTAAGATATGTTACATATTTTTCCATCTTCACCCAGCAGTGAAACTTTGATTAACCGTCACTCATTTAACTATCAATTTCTGTTATCCATCATTGCCTAAAAATGAAAAAAAAAATGTTTGAGTATCAACAAACAGACACACAAGTATTTTAAAATATTCTTACCAATTCTATGTTATCAATGTCAAACATGGATACTGTCTTCAGAAGGTAGAAAAATAGCCACAACAGAAATGAAATGTTTACGTACTATGCTAGGTGTAAGGAGGAAAGATCAACTTATGAACCATAATATCAGGAGGAGAGTTAACACAGAATGAACTTTATTGGTAGACAACAAATCAGATGGTCTGGCCATGTAACAAGATTGACATCAGACAGGGCACCACAGAGAGCAATGCTATACACATACAGCAGTAACAGATGGACCACACAAAAGATGGACTGCAGAGATATTAGAGACACTGAAAAGTACTTTAATCCTTGAGGCATTCCAGGAGTAGAGAAAAGAAGAAGAACAAGAAAATATATTTTAAAATAAAACAAGTTTATAGTATTGCAGTACATTTCTGTACATTACTACTCTTGTATTGAAGTTTATATCAAACAAAATATCAATAAAACAAAAAATGAAGTGTAATATGAATATATTTTTGACTTTTAAATGGTTTTATTTTCATTTTCATTCCAAGCCTGTAGTGAGATCAGATTACTGTAACATCTGTAGTAAGAGATTTCTGCTGTTTGTCTTTTAGTTATCCTTCACAGCCCTGGTCTGGATGGGGATGGTTAATCAATGTTTTACTGTATTCTAATCAGGCTAGTTCTTTGCCACTTGGTGGTAAATTTATGCATGAAAAGCTAGGTTAGGTCAAAGTCCTTGGGGGGTGGGGGGGGGGGGGTGGGGGGGGGGAAGAAAGGGGGGGGGGTTGAGCATTGTAGAAGCACATATAATCATCATCATCTGGCAAGAATGGTGCAACAGGAAGTGGCCAAAGGTTCTGGCCAACATCAACACTCAGAGGAAGGGTCAGTCAGACATAGTTCCAGACTGCTACTATACTGTGGAAATTGGAACTATGTGCTGGCTGCTGAAGCTGAGGTTGGAGAGCTAATGGGAATGTTGCTGGCTGCTGAAGATGGGGTTGGTGTGTTAATGGGAATGTCCTGAGTGCTGTGATGTTGGTTCTCAACTTAACTTAACTGAGATTTAATCTGCTTGTCTGTGATAGTTAACGAGAGCATTATAAGGATGTCTGTTACTTTGTTAAATGAACACTTTGAGTCCCAAGTAGTTGCTACTACAACACTTCTATTCCAGAAGTCTGTGTACAGTAGAGTACCAATCTTAGAGTCTTCATGCATTAAAAATAGTTATCAGACAGAACTAATTGAAGTGAGAACTAAGACATATTGGGGCCATGTAATAGTCTTCTTCTCCCCCTCCCCACCCTTTCCTCCTCCCCTCCCCCTCCTCTCCCTCCCCCTCCTCTTCCTCCTCCTTCAGTGATCTCAGGTCATGGGCTTAATTAACTGTGGGTCATAAACTTGGATGTCAGCTCAAGATCTGTTAAGTTTCTCCAAAGCTGAGTTTTATTTTATTTTCCAAATGCATGCTAGTTGAGGATTCAGGGATTCTAGTTTGAAAAATGACAAAAATACTTCTACACAGTTTATATATAAGATGTAAAACAAGTGTCTCTGCTTTGAGTTGCTTGTAGGTAAAGAAATGATTCACATATTAATTTTAAAATAAAAATCTCTATTGTGCATGGAGTTACCTCCACCTTTGACCCCGGGGACTTTGGGTCTTGTTGCTGCAGATGGCCATGCTATGGATTGCGCTGCCATGTTATTGCTCTGGTCATGTTATTGCTCTGGAAGAGTTAGGTCTATTGAAGGATTTTGGTGCAGAACCTCTATTTCACTGCTAAGAATGCAAGAATTTGGAGTAAAGATCTGCACAGTCAGGCACAAGAGACACATTGGACATACCAGATGTCAGCCAGCATAGAACTGGTCCTGTTAACCAAAGGGAGCTGATGTATATGTTGTTGGGGGAATCTGAGCACCTGTGGGTGTGTGCTTAACTGAGGGAAACTGATGTATGTATTGTTGGGGGAATCTGAGCACCTATGGGTATGTGCTGTTAACTGAGGGAAGCTGATGTATATGTTGTTGGGGGAATCTGAGCACCTGTGGGTGTGTGCTGTTAACTGAGGGAAGCCAATGTATATGTCACTGGAAAGGGGGGAGGGGTGGGGGGGGGGGGTCTAAGCACCTATAGATGTGTCTTGGGTGCTGTGTAAAGGACCCTTTTCCAAACATTCAGGTGTATTGGGCATTAGGGCTAGACCTTATTTTATAGAGTAGTCAGCACTCGGTGATCAGCATCATGCAGCAGCCTTTACTTCCCAGGACTTTATCTCATACCCATTTAAGGCTGGGTCGACCTAGGAGCCAAGATCATATTTGAAAAAAGTCCAGCTCCATCAGGACCTGAACCCACAATCTTCAGATCTGCAGGCAGGTGTCTAGCTACTACACCACGACAGCTTCCACTGTGTAGAAAACCCATGCAACACTCCTAACTGATAAATTAATTATCTTTCCAGGAACCAGAGAGCCCAACAGACACAGTTGACAGTGTGTTTTTCCAACAGTAAGTGTTTTGTGTGTGTGTGTGTGTTTTCTGGCTGTTGGGTCATGATGCTTTCATACCCATATCTTTATCACTGTCTGCGATATTAGTACATTATGATCTCACAGCTCTGTGTTTAAGGAGCATAGTTAGCTCCTAGATGTCTGCTCCTCAAGAAGATCAAATGGTTTGGTCATCTCATCAGAATGCAGCCACAATGCCGACCATCACAGGCACTACACACGAAAAGATCTGGTGTGAAAACAAGAGATTGCCCATGGATCGCGGCTGTTTGTGTAAGGTTATTTTCAGCTGCACATAAAAAGCACAGTTTGCAGTTAAAGATTTCAGGTCATCATGCCAGAGTGGTCTCCCAGAATTCAGTATGATATGCAGAAGAGTTATATCAAAACAGAAACAGTTAAATTGACTGGTAATGAAGAAAAAAGATATATGAAATTTGGCGGGGGGGGGGGGGGGGGGGGGGGGGGATACAGGTTTTAATGGCTGTTCTAGGTTATAAAGAGGCACAGAGTTATAAATTCGACAGTATTTTTCTACAAATAAAGATTTGCCAGATAGGTATGTCACAATTGGAAGCTTCTGGTAGCCATTAGAATTGATATCTTGGGAACATTTTTTTTTGTTCATTGAGTTACAAATAGTTGTATTCCTTTATTCTTCAGGCAAGAATTGGCACGCATTGATGAACAGTTTCAAAAAGAGAGAGCTGAACGAGAGAAGAAAGAAGAAGAGGTGAACAGGTACAAAAGAGTAGAGGAAGAAGCAAGACAATTTAAAGAAAAACAAGAAGAAAATAAAAACTATCAGGAAAACTTGCCAGCCATGTTGAAATCAGCGCCACCTAACTTGCCTTCACAAACTTCTTTGCCCCTGAGAACACAAGTAGGTGTTGATACAGTCAGGTCAAAGTTTATATGTAATTATATTAGTAATTTCACAGGCTGGTAAAATTTTGCATTTTATTACTCCAAGTAGCTTTTTTCCATAATAAAATTCAATAAAAGTTAGATGCGTCTACTTTACAGGACGCTACAGAAACAACCCCAGTATTTTTTGGCTGTTGGGGTTTTTCTAGGCAAATTTTACATTCAGTAGTTTGACTTAATCCATGATTCTGCTGATCAAATAGGATAGCGTATAATGACCATCTATGCTTGTTTGGCATGGCATATGATGATAGTGATGATATTTTTCGAGGGGACAAAAGAGGAGAAAAAAAGGGGAGGGGAGCAGAGAGTAATTTTTTCATTGAAAAAGGCGCCATGGAAAAAAAAGTTTGAAAAGTTCTAAACTCTAGGTATCATTTGTTTAAGCCAACAGGCAAAGACACACCTAACACAAATTAAACATTAATTGCAGAAAACAAAATGGAGAGTACAAAATAATGTATAAAGGTAAAAAGGTGAAGTCAGGAGATGTGAACCAGCCTCATTTCACATGGTTATAAACCATGAGTGCTCTGTCACCAGTACAGATAGCTGAAAAGAATATGTCTGCCTGTGTCGCCGTCCGTACGCAGCTGTGTAGTTACAGCAATGTTCCTCCATTTACCCCAGAGTGTTAACTCTGGTACCCATTATCTAGAGGCTGGGTGAACCCTGGGAACTACCCGGTTTCAAACACTGGCAGTGGGCTGCAGTGAGTCGCAGCTGGATTTGAAAGCGACTCTCCTATCGACTGTGCTAACGCGGCCAGTATCAACACGCTAGACATAAACTAAAAATAATGATGAAAATAGGAGTGACTGCGGTCTAGTTGATATCAAGAATTTTCTAAACAAAACAAAATTGACTAAAAAAGAGGGTAAGGGGGGGGGGGGGGGGGGGGGGGGGGGGGGTGGGGGGGGGGGGGGGGGGGGGGGGGGGGGGGGGATGGGGGGGGTGGGGGGGGGTGGGGGGGGGGAGGGGGGGGGGTGGGGGGGGGGGGGGGGGAGATCTACTGATATAGCTAAAATGATATTTGATTGAAATGGTTTCTGGAATTTATCTTGACCAGCAGCTTTTCAATCCTGAAGAATTTTGATGTTTTATAATTTCTTCTTTTGAGTTAAGTGTTGGTTTTTTTTTTTTTTTTTTTTTTTAATGTATCGTAATTTTAGCTGTTAAGTCTCATAGGGTGATTTCTTCTTCTTCTTCGCGTTCACCAGCTGTACACTCTGGCGGAAAGTTCTGGTTGCTCGTCCACTACTGAACTGCAGTCCTGCTCCAGAACCTGAGTGTTGCATGTGCATCAGTTTTACAGATCTCATTCTCTTGAATACAGACTATTGGTTCCTTGCCTCTCCGGCAGATGCACTCCGACTTCAAAGGAAGTTCCCCAATTAGTCGACTCTTACGACATGCTTTTGGTGAGGCAGTGGGTTTATTCTTGTTTTCCCCACAATGGGACCCCGGAACCCACAGGGGGGATAGGGTGATTTAATTTTGGCTCTTTATCTACTGTACATAATTAAAAAGCTGTCCTGTAATGAATGGTATATTTCAGCCATCAATGTCCGGGGTGTATGCAAATGTGGGAAGTTCAGCCATTCAAGAGCTCAAACAAAGGTTGCAGGTGATCCCACCAACTCCAGTTCCTGCTGTGGCTCCATTATATTCTGAACTTGATGATGATGAGTCTCTGCAGTCAGATACACCAGGAGAGGAAAGGTTTGTGGCTAATCTTATATTTCTTGAATTATTGTAGTTACAGTTTTCTTTCTGTTCCAGATAGATGCATCAAATATCTCCTAACTTATTTTGCTTGTCTCAGTTGGGCATTCTGTATGGATCAATGGAGGTCATGTGTCATGCCACAGCCTTCATAGGGACCTGTGGCCTTGTCGTCTGAAAATTACTGGCATTGACAGCGAAAACAAGATTTGTATGCAGACTGATGGTACCTCACCTCTTAGGCAGATGCACTTCAACTTCAAGGGAAAACATAGCCAAATAGTAGATTCTTATGACATGCTTGTTAGGGGCAGTGGGTCTATCCCCCCCCCCCCCCACCCACCCACAGTGGGGCCCCGGAATCCACGTGGGAAATACATTATGAAATATATTAGTAACAGTTGTCAGTTGTCAATTATCAGAAAAGCAGGAATGCCGGAATACTTCATACTGAAGCAAAGAATGCCAGAAGTGTACTTCATACTGAAGCAAAGAATGCCAGAAGTGTACTTCATACTGAAGCAAAGAATGCCAGAAGTGTACTTCATACTGAAGCAAAGAATGCCAGAAGTGTACTTCATACTGAAGCAAAGAATGCCAGAAGTGTACTTCATACTGAAGCAAAGAATGCCAGAAGTGTACTTCATACTGAAGCAAAGAATGCCAGAAGTGTACTTCATACTGAAGCAAAGAATGCCAGAAGTGTACTTCATACTGAAGCAAAGAATGCCAGAAGTGTACTTCATACTGAAGCAAAGAATGCCAGAAGTGTACTTCATACTGAAGCAAAGAATGCTAGAAGTGTACTTCATACTGAAGCAAAGAATGCCAGAAGTGTACTTCATACTGAAGCAAAGAATGCCAGAAGTGTACTTCATACTGAAGCAAAGAATGCCAGAAGTGTACTTCATACTGAAGCAAAGAATGCCAGAAGTGTACTTCATACTGAAGCAAAGAATGCCAGAAGTGTACTTCATACTGAAGCAAAGAATGCCAGAAGTGTACTTCATACTGAAGCAAAGAATGCCAGAAGTGTACTTCATACTGAAGCAAAGAATGCCAGAAGTGTACTTCATACTGAAGCAAAGAATGCCAGAAGTGTATACTGAAGCAAAGAATGCCAGAAGTGTACTTCATACTGAAGCAAAGAATGCCAGAAGTGTACTTCATACTGAAGCAAAGAATGCCAGAAGTGTACTTCATACTGAAGCAAAGAATGCCAGAAGTGTACTTCTTACTGAAGCAAAGAATGCCAGAAGTGTACTTCATACTGAAGCAAAGAATGCCAGAAGTGTACTTCATACTGAAGCCAAGATGCCTGTGCTAGTGGGGACATGTCTCCCACATGGAGGATGGTCACATTTCAAAAGGTCTGTATGGTGAACTGGAAACAGGGAGAATATCTGCAGATAGGCCAAAGCTACGCTATAAGGACATATGTGGAAAAGATCTACAGGAAGGACAAAGCTACGCTGTAAGGACATATATGGAAAAGATCTACGGGAAGGACAAAGCTACGCTGTAAGGACATATGTGAAAAGATCTGCAGGAAGGCCAAAGCTACACTATAAGGACATATGTGGAAAGGATCTGCAGAAAGGACAAAGCTACGCTATAAGGACATATGTGGAGAAGATCTGCAGGAAGGACAAAGCTTCACTATAAGGACATATGTGGAGAAGATCTACAGGAAGGCCAAAGCTACGCTATAAGGACATATGTGGAAAAGATCTGCAGGAAGGCCAAAGCTACACTATAAGGACATATGTGGAAAAGATCTGCAGGAAGGCCAAAGCTACACTATAAGGACATATGCAAACATGACCTGAAAGATACCAACATTGACACAGACACTCAGGTGAGATCAGCTGCAGATCGACTCTTATGAAGGCAGACAGTGAAAGATGGACTGTTCCACTTTGCAAGCTATGGAGAGGAGACGTCTTGAGTGAGAAAAAAACCAGCCTTAGAATGATAGTGTATCTATATTTTTGCGAGTCTATTTGACAAAATCTGCCTCTCCCACATAGAACTTTACAATCATAGCAGATGCTTGCACTAATGACAAATGGTTGCCTAGTAGTCTGGTATCAGTGTCTTATATTGTTACATAGTATAAAATCAGTATAGTCAAACAGTGCAGTTTCAGTGTCTTATATAGTTACATAGTGCAAAATCAGTATAATCTGACGGAGCCGTAACAATGTTTTATATTGTTACATAGTACAAAATCAGTAAAGTCAAACAGTTCTGTAACAATGTTTTATACTGCTACATAGTAAAAAATCAGTATAGTCAGACAGTGCTGTAACAATGTCTTATATTGCTACATAGTACAAAATCAGTATAGTCAGACAGTGCTGTAACAATGTCTTATATTGCTACATAGTACAAAATCAGTATAGTCAGACAGTGTTGTAACAATGTCTTATATTGTTACATAGTACAAAATCAGTATAGTCAGACAGTGCTGTAACAATGTCTTATATTGTTACATAGTACAAAATCAGTATAGTCAGACAGTGCTGTAACAATGTCTTATATTGTTACATAGTACAAAATCAGTATATTCAGACAGTGCTGTAACAATGTCTGCCCTCCAGACCAAGCATGCCCAAGTACTACCACCCAGCAAACAGCTTCTACCGCCCCCACGACCCACTTGATGATGATGCCTTGAGCTACACATCTACTGAGTTTGAAGACCACATGCAGAGCACAGCAGCCTACGGCAGAGAGAGGGACATCCTAACCAATATCAACATTTCAGGTAAACTCACATAATTGTTTCTGAAAGGAAAACATGCATGCTTCAAGCTGATTGGCTTGCATCACTTCAGGAGCTGAAAGTAGTGAGCATCCTTTGGATTATTCTGCCCGGACATGCCGGTATCGTTGGCATCTTTCCGTCATTCCAGATGATATATTACACTGTGCTGTGAGGAGGTATGGGACTCACAGCCCATGGTGATTGTCAGTGTGACTATCAAGACCTGTCCACCACGTTAAGAAAAGTCTTCTGCAATTAAGAGCATGGGATGTCAGAACCGTTGTTCTGTCAAATGTATTTATTGTTACTTCTCAGGCACTCATCTGTCATTCTTTCTGCAATAATTTCTTCCTTCATTCTCATGTCCTCTCCAGGCAACATGGTCCATGGCATTTTGTTCCTGCAAGTCTACCTCAGTACCTGTATCATTCATGTCCCGCTTGCACACATCTTTATATCGTAGAAGAGGCTGGCCTCAAGATCTTCTACAGTATATGCCAGTTTATTGGGAAATAGATAAGCAGACAGATTGGCTAGTTCAGCACCACTGGGCGGGGAATTCATACATGTCAAATCAGATTTGGTAATGACCTTGAGTATGTGAACAATTACAAGAGCAAATAAATCACTTTGGTTTGGAATGAATAATGCAAAGGGAAGTAACAAGAGCATCTGGCAGACGCTCACTGTTCTGAGAAAAGGCAAGACAAACATAAAATTAGACTGCAACTGATACTGTTAGAATATAACACATAATAAGAACAGAAGATAAAAGGGAACAACCAATTCAATGGAATAGTAAATAAACATGCATATACTTCAGTAATGGCTAAACAACAGGAGGGTGTTCAGACAGAAGAACCATAAAACCCGTAACAGGACCAAGACCCAGACCTGGACAAGCGGGAAAGGACACCAAGAAACTAACAGGGATACTAAAGCCATTTAATATGGCACACAAACCTAATCTTAGCCAACAACAGTTGGAGCAAGAAACAAAGTCACAATTATAACCCAAAGCTCCTTTTTCAAAAGGAGCTGGTTGAGCTGTTTTCTCAAAAAAGGATGAGGATAATGATGATGACTGTTAGAATGTATACCCTGCTTTGGTTGCTGAAGATGGGGATGGAAGATTTATGGGATTTTCTAGGGAGCTGTTATGTCAGTTCCTAACTCAGTTTAACTCAACTTTTTGTGATATTTTTTACTTTTGAATAAAAAAAGTACAAACAGTACCTGTAAAATGTATTGCGTGGAACAATGTATTGTAATCTCATAGATTGCTTACTACAGAGATAAATTAACCTGAAGCAAAACTGTCGACCCATGCTTGAGTTTGAAAAACACAACTATACATGTAGGTAGCCCCTTTTTCTCTGTGCTTATATACTGAAACTACATATAATGCACTCAGGGCAGTCTTCTGTATTTAAGACATAAAGAACTTTTTTTTTTTTTTAACCTTGCACTAGAGTGGAAAATCTTCTGTGTCGCAGATATAAGAAATTTTGTTGTTGCTTACATTACATTAGAGTGGAGAATCTTTTGTATCTCATATATAAGGAATTATTTTTGTGTTTAACTTGCATAAGAGTGGAAAATCTTCTATATTCTGTATTTCATAATATAAGGAATTAATGTTTTTACCTCACATTAGTAGACAATCTTCTGTATTTCATTTATAAGGAATTAATGTTTTTACCTCACATTAGTAGACAATCTTCTGAATTTCATTTATAAGGAATTAATGTTTTTACCTCACATTAGTGGACAATCTTCTGTATTTCATAATATAAAGAATTAATGTTTTTACCTCACATTAGTAGACAATCTTCTGTATTTCCTATATAAGGAATAATGTTTTTTTAAACCCCACATTGGATAAACACTGTTACACTGATTTCTTGCATGGTAGAGTACATTGATTTCTTACCTGGTAGAGTGCCTTAGTCCAGTTTGACTTTGATGTGCATGCATCAACAGATGCCAGCTCGCTCCTGAAGGTTCAAGAGTATGTGAGAGAGACTCGCAGTGGCTTGGAGCACGAGCGCAACCAAAGAGTTGTGCTAGAGAACAAACTGAGGCTATCCAACAAGGAGAAAGATGAAATTGTCCAGTAAGTGGCTGCCATTTTTTTTTCAGTCATTGGGCTGTTGTTACAAGCAAGATGTTGCTACCAGTGTGCTTTTTTTTTTTTTCAAACAGTATGATTTTGTTACAAACAAGATGTTACAAGTATTACGCTGGGTTGACCTGGGAGCCAAGGTTATTTGTTTGGTTTCAAATCTGCCTGGTGTGGATTCAGACCCATAACCTATAGGCTGGCAGATGAGCATCTAGCCACTACACCATTGCAGCTCCCATGCTGATTTTTAACTGGTTCCCAACTCATTCAGTTCCAAACAGTTGCTTGTTCAACACTGTCTGTGCCAGAGTTTGTGTACGTTAGAATAACTTCTTACTTGTTGTCCATTTTGATGTCTCGGCACATTGGCCATTCATGCTCCATTTTCTGCTGCAGCAGCCATCTGTGTCTCCATACTTAACCTACCCAGGAGGAGTTGAATGGTGTGTCTTCATTCTTTGCCTCGCAACCAGTTTCTCTATGCTCGTCCCCATTTAATACCTATTTCCAACATGTGGTTCATCGTCTCTGGCTCCTTCAGCTCAGTGTCTGTGGAACACAGCACATTCATAATGTCTGCCCTGTACATATTTATTCCTCCCATAACCACCACAGATGTGGCCAGTCTGTCAACTCTTTCATTTCTTTTTACACCGGCATATTCTGGTGTGTACAATCAAGATGGTTCCTTGAGATGGGACTTCTGGATGTTGTCAACCTTGTCTAATAATGTGCATTTGCAGGTTTGGATTTTTAAAAGCCTGTTTATTGAGTCTGTCACCAAAAGTGCTTAAGTTGCCTTCTGTTCTAACAGCTTTACAAGTGCCCCTGAGACAGCTGCTATCTCCTTCATCATGCTAGAAGTAAACTGAATGCCTGGCTGTTTTCCTTTACTGTCTTTTCATTCACCTGTGCATTAGGGTATCAGTCACTGAGTATATGGGGGTGAAGCTGATGCAGATATGGGACAGAGGGAGTAAAGTAACCATAGGAATTCATCCAGTCATTGTCCTTTGGTGTCATATGGGCTTCCTTATTCCATTCTATCCTGTGCATTCAGTTCAATATTATGGATTGAATCCAGTCCAGCAGACTTGGCCTTTCTCATCAACATTTATCTTAGGGTTTCTTTTGGGTGCCCTCACCACCCTACTCCATTTATTTCCCATTTTAATGTCTGTTAACCATGGGATTAGAATGGCTTCTCCCCCTGTGGGTTTATGGACCATATTAGATCCACTAGCCCGTTAACAAGCATGTCGTAAAGGTGACTAATCAGAGATGTTTCTTTTAAAGTCAGAATATATCTGCCTGAGCGGCATATAAATGAGCTGGATCTGTGAAACAGACGTACACCCAAACTCAAGTTCTGAACAAGACCAAAGTCCTGAAGTGGAGAAACTATGACAACTTTCCGCCAGAGTTTACAACCAGTGAACACTAAAAAGGAGAAGAAGAAAGAATAAAAATCGATTATCATTACAGAGCAGCTGATGAGAATGGATTTATAATTGCACAACCTTTACTGGGTAATCAGTAACAAACTGAGTTGCCTTTTACTTTTATTTACAAACATTTTATGAGTAATTTAAATTTTATTTTCTTAAACTTAATTTTATTTTAATTATGTGAACATAATTTGTTTCTTTATTTTTGACTGGTATGTTTTGTACATTTTTTAATCAGTTTTTCTGGACTGGTTTGTGTTTTTATTTGACAGAAAGCTTGAGAGTTTGAGCCAGCAGAAATCTACCTTAGAACAAACTAAGCTGGAGCTGGAGGCTAAGATTCGAACTCTGGAGTATGTAGCACATGTTTGATTTGTGTTTAGAGATTATCAGGAACAACTGGCTATTTTTTATGAATCAGTGAAGTGAGGTACATTACATTACAGAGCTACCACCTCATTTAAAAAATTTGCCTCGTTTTTTTCTCTATTGCCTGGTGCCACATCACTGGATGGTAAATTGATCCATAACAAGGTCATCATCAATCAGCATATCCTTTATAGAACATCACTATCTTCATGTCATGCCTAAAAGTCTCTCTTTCAGTAGCCAATTCTCCAGCCATGTGTGCTTTCATAGCCAGTGCATCTTCAGTGTCCTGTATCCAGCTTCGCCCCGTGCGGGTTCTGGGGCCCCATTGTGGATAAAGCAAGAATAGACCCACTGCTTACCCAACCAACAAGCATGTTGTAAAGGTCGACTGATTGGGGGCTTTCTTTGAAGTCGAAGTGCATCTTCCTGAGCGGCAAGAACAACTAACTGGATACAAATGAGACATTCTCTTTACGGATGTGAGAGTTGGGCTCTCACTGTGGAAATGGAAAGGAGGATTCTGGCTTTCGAATGTAAATATTACAGACGCATTTTACAAATTGTAAATTTAGAATACAAAACTAACAAAATATACAAATTTGCAGGAAATCAGGAGCCTCTCCTGGCATTGATGAAACGTCGCAAGCTAGCAAGGTTCGGGCACGTTATGAGATATGATTTGATTGCAAAGACTGAACTTCAAGGAACCTTGGGGGTAATTGAAGAAGAGGAGAGCAAAGAAGAACCTTGAATGACAACATAAGAAATGGACAGGACTAAGTTATCATACACTTATTTATCAAGTGGAAGACAGAGAAAGATGGTGGGTTTTATGTGCTAGTGCTTCCATCAATGCACCTCCACGACCCTAACGGGTCAAGGGCTACATTAGGTTAAATAAACCATTAAAACAGATGTTCACGCAAAACTCAGAGCCTGACACAAAACCAGCATCCAAACGGATGAACAACCAGGACTTTCTGCTGGAGCTTACAGCCAGTAAAGAAAAAAAAAAAGAAAGAAAGAAAGTCCATCTTCGTAAAGGTCGGCCTCTTCCTCTTTTTCTAGAAACTGTACCCTCCATAACTGCTCCATAATAAGCCTCTTCTTCTAAAGTCCAAGCTGTGTGGCGTTGGTATCAATCAACTCTGACACAGATGATCTTCCATAGTCCATGCTGTGTGGCGTTGGTAGTCATGTCAATCCACCTTCTGTCTCGTGTACTTTCAATCACTCTGACACAGATGATCTTCCATAGTCCATGCTGTGTGGCATTGGTAGTCATGTCAATCCACCTTCTGTCTCGTGTACTTTCAATCAACTCTGACACAGATGATCTTCCATAGTCCATGCTGTGTGTCATTGGTAGTCATGTCTATCCACCTTCTGTCTCGTGTACTTACAATCAACTCTTTCACAGATGATCTTCTATGCCAATGCCATGATGTCAAACCCTCTGCCTGTTCTTCTCTCCAACTTTCCTACCGTCACGATGTACCCCAGTTTTCTCCTTTTTATCACATGACCAAAGAATCAAGATGGTCTTTGTCTGATGTGGGCAATCAGTTCTCTTTGTGAGTCGGTTTCTTTCAAGACGTCTTCATTACTCTTTTATCTGTCCAAGGTATTCTCATCATTGGTCTATAAAACCACATCTCCGCAGCTTCCAAAAAAGATTTCACTAATTTACTAACTGTCCATGATTCACATCTGTAAATCAGTATATGACTGAATCCATAAATAGATCATTACAGTGTGGAGAAAATGGGACAGCAGGGAGTGACCAGAAGATCTGACCGACACTCAAAAGGGGAAAAGCAAGCCAGATATACAGTCAGACTGCTACTGGTACCATTAGAATTGGAACTTCATGCTAGCTGCTGAAGTTGGGGACAGTGTGCTTTTGGGAATGTACCAAGTGCTGTTATGTCAGTTCTTAAGTCAACTCAGCTCATTTACTTTGTGATGTGTCCATGGCAAGCTGAATGCTACAGCATACCACCTGGCTTGTTGCGTCATCTTCAGCACCTTATCTTGCCGATGTAGACTGGTCTTACCCAATTTTAGATAAGGAAGAAAATAGTTATCAAAGTCCAGGGATGCACTATGGAGATCAAAGAATAGACCCACTATGGCCCCCTTCCCACCAACAAGCATGTCTTAGGAGGCCACTAAATAGAGGTGTTTCCTTTAAAATTGGAGTGCAACTGCCTGAGAAGCAAAGAACCAACAGTCTGCATACAAGAAAGCCAAATCTGTAAAACGAATATTCGTGCAAAACTCAAGTTCCAGATCAAGACCAAAGTTCAGGAGTGGACGAACAACCAGAACTTTCCGCCAGAATTTACAGCCAGTAAATGCTAAGGAGAAGTTATCAAAGCCATCTGGTATGTGTTATATTTTGTTTGTTGATGTTATATTTCAGGTATAATGTAACTGAAGAGGCAGAAAAATGTAAGAACATGGAAATTTTGTTAACTAAAACAAAAGAGCAACTAGCAAGGAAGGAGGCACAGTTCTCAAGGTAGGACTTATGTGTCCATCATGTTTAGGACAAATTGTTTTATAGTGAGAAATCTAGATTGCTTCCTGTTGTAAGAATGTTGGAGGGCTGGTGTCTGATGAGAATGTTTGATGTCTAGATGTCACTGTCTTGTGTAAGTTATGATATTGTTAGATGTCTAGATGTCAGTATCTGGTGTAAGTTATGATATTGTTAGATGTCTAGATGTCACTGTCTTGTGTAAGTTATGATATTGTTAGATGTCTAGATGTCAGTATCTGGTGTAAGTTATGATATTGTTAGATGTCTAGATGTCACTGTCGTGTGTAAGTTATGATATTGTTAGATGTCTAGATGTCACTGTCTTGTGTAAGTTATGATATTGTTAGATGTCTAGATGTCAGTATCTGGTGTAAGTTATGATATGTTGAGTGTCTGGTTTATGTTGTGAAAATATTGGGAGTCTGCTGTATGTTGTGAGAATGTTGGATGTTTAGATATCAGAATATGGTGTAATTTCTGAGAATGTTGGATGTCTAGTCTATGCTGTGATAATGTTGGAAGTCTTGTATAAGTTGGGTAAATATTGTGTAAGTTTGGAGAATGTTGGATGCATATACTAACAGTGTTTTGTCTATGTTGTCAGAATGTTTGAGTTTTAGACAGAAAGTCTGTTTAATGTTGAATGTTGAATTAAGAATCAACATCATAGCACTCGGGGCACCCCCATAAGCACTCTGTCCCCATCTTCAGCAGCTTCAAATGAAGAGTTTCAATTCTGATGGCACCAGTTACTGTCTGATTGTATATCTGTCTCACCCTTTACCTGAGTGTTGAATGTCTGCCAGATCCCCTGGTAACTCCTCGCAGCGCCATTCTCCTTAGACCATAATGATCGATTTGAGCTTCCGCACTGTTCACTCACTCCCAGAGGGCCCTCTCAACATCTGGCTTGTCATACATCAGTTCACCACCAAGTGGTGCAAAACCGGCCAGTCTATATGCTTGCTCATTTCCCAACACACCGGCATGACCTATTTGATGTTTAAGAGTCTAATAGAATGTGCACAACTGTTGCTGTCTGTATGTTGTATAAATGTTGGGAGTCTGGTGACCTTTATGACAAAAATTAACCTTTTTTTTTTATTTAAGTGAACTGGAAGCCAAACAGAAAGCAGAACTGGCATTGCGCAATGTTCAGATAGAAATGAGGACAATGGCTAACACTGTGAAAGAGGTAAGTAAATTATGTTTTGTTTCTGTTATGTCAGTTAAATGTTGGGATGCCCTTGAATTTATCAAAGTAAAATGATAAATAAATTTACAGATATGTTATGTAATTTGTGTCACTGCACATTAGGCATTCTCATGCATGCTCAGGCCTCTGATGCAACAGCCACCCCAAAGTACCTCTACTGTTTGTTCCATGAGAAGTTGGTTACAATGTCTCCTATCTCAAACTTGAAGATGGCACTGGCATGCTTAACTCTGAGTCATGTAATCATGTTAACATCAGAGATTCGCCATTATTCGCCAATGTAGTCCATATTTTACAAGTATTGATTGGCACTCAGGAAGAGGAAAGAATTATGGTAAGAGGGAATAGTAAACAACAAGCAAATTAAAAGCTATAGAGATGGCATCAAGATTCATAGCTGCCGCCTCCAAATAACACCATCCGAACAGTCATATAGATACTAGTTGTTTTGACTGTCAGCAAAATCTTGTTTGTTTGTGCACTCAGAGTATCATTTATCTTCTGTGTGAGAACTGAGTCTGTATAGTCTTGCATGTCTGCATTCAACAGTCCACGTTATCATCTGTGCCTCTATATTTGGAATTCCATGTTGTATTCTGCATATTTGTTCACAGAAATCTGTGTTGACTTTTGTGTGTCTGCACTCAGAGGTCCTTGCTGTTGATTGATTGATGTTCAACTCCACCAGAACATCACACAGAGCGATAAACACCCAGTGACACAAATCGCCACCATTTGGATGAGGATCACCCGGCGAAAGGTCCCAAAAACCCTGTTCATCCATTAGGTTATATTAGGGCCCCCTGGCCACAACCCGGGTGGGGCTATTAGAACAACAACAAATTGCATCCTGTGTTGGGATGGTGGTATTAAACTCCTTGCTGTTGTGTTGGTTTCTGAACTTAGAGCCTTGTTTTGTGCCTTCTGCTCTCAAGAGGTCCACTAATGAAGCCAGTGTTGTTTTATTTATGTATGCACTCAGATATCTGTATAGTATGTGCTCTAGTGTGTCAGCATACAGTGGAATACACTGAGCAGATAGATCTTCAGTATTTTAAAATAACAAAAGGTTTTTTTGTTCTCAGTTGGAGGAAGAAAAGAAAGAACTTGAGAGGCAGCTGACCCATGCTAATAGCATTCGAGTCCTTCATCAACAGATCAGCGATGACCAGCAGAAGTTGTTTCTCAAAACACAGCAGGTGTCAAAGGTAAGAAAGAACATGTGTACATCTGTGGCTGTACAAAGGTGAGATAGAACATCTGTGGCTGTACAAAGGTAAATTAGAAGATCTATGGTTGCTCAGAGATGATAGAGAATATCTGTGTCTGTACTAAGGTAAGAGAGAAGATCTATGACTATACATAGAGATCATCTGGCTGTACAAAGGTGAGGTAGTACATCTGTGGCTGTACAGAAATCAGTTAAAACATTTTTGTCTGCACAAAGGTGAGATAGAACATCTGTACACAAATGAGATAGAAGATCTAAGATTGTACAAAGGTGAGATAGTTTATCTGTGAGTATACAAAGGTGAGATAGAAGATCTATGATTGTACAAAAATGAGATAGAAGATATGTGAATTTACACAGGTGGGATAGAACTGCTGTGGTTGTACAGGTGAAATAGAACATTTGTGGGTATACAAAGGTGAGATAGTAGACCTATGACTGTACAAAGATGAGATAAAATAGCTGCAGATATTCAAAGGTGAGAACATATATGGGTGTACAAAGGTGAGATGTAACATTTATGGGTGAACACAATGAGATAGAACCTCTGTGACTGCAAAGGTGATAGAGAACAACTTTGGGTATACAAAGGTGAGAAAGAACATCTATGGGTGTACAAAGATGAGATAGAACATCTGTGACTGTGCAAAGGTGATAGAGAACATCTGTCAGTATACAAAGGTAAGATAGAACATCCATGCGTGTACAAAGAAGAGATAAAACATCTGTGACTGTACAAAGGTGATAGAGAACATCTGTGGGTATACAAAGATGAGATAGAACATCTATGGGTGTACAAAGATGAGATAGAACATATGTGACTGTACAAAGGTGATAGAGAACATCTGTGGGTATACAAAGGTGAGATAGAACATCTATGGGTGTACAAAGAAGAGATAGAACATCTGTGACTGTACAAAGGTGATAGAGAACATCTGTGCGTATACAAACGTGAGATAGAACATCTATGGGTGTACAAAGATGAGATAGAACATATGTGATTGTACAAAGGTGAAAGAGAACATCTGTGGGTATACAATGGTGAGATAGAACATCTGTGATTGTACAAAGGTGATAGAGAACATCTGTGGGTATACAAAGGTGAGATAGAACATCTATGGGTGTACAAAGATGAGATAGAACATCTCTGACTGTGCAAAAGTGATAGAGAACATCTGTCAGTATACAAAGGTGAGAGAGAACATGTGTTGGTGTATCTAACTATGAAAGAAAAGGAAAAATAATATTTATGGTTTTATAAAGGTGAGATATCCTTGGCTATACAAAAGTGAGATGTACGCAAGTGAAAACAGAAAAAGAAGGAAAGAACAGAGAAAGACAGAATTTAAAAAACAAACAAAAATGGAAAATGACAGGTATACAGACGGGAAGACAACAAAGAGAGTATGGAAGGAAAAGATCCATATGATAGACACAGAAAGACATAGAAAGACAGGAATGTAGACAAACAGAAAGAAAGAAGGAGATAAAAAGAATGTGTTTATAATGACCATAAACAGTTTTTCTGTTCATTTGTGAAAAGGACGAGGATTTCTTGGACTCAGCCATGGAGTTTCATGGAGACTCCAACAAACTGCAGGCAGAGCTATATGCCCTCAAGGTAGGATATGGCTATAGTTTCCTTCTCCTCCTCCTCTTTCTTCTTCTCCTCTTCTTTCTTCTTCTTCTTCTTCTCCTTCTTCTTCTTCTCCTCCTCCTCCTCCTCCTCCTCGTTCTTCTTCTTCTTCTTCTTCTTCTTCTTCTTCTTCTTCTTCTTCTTCTTCTTCTTCTTCTTCTTCTTCTTCTTCTTCTTCTTCTTCTTCTCCTTCTTCCTCCTCTTCTTCTTTCTCTCTCTCTTTTTTCTTTGTCAGTTCCATAAATCTTCTTCTTTGTTGTCAGTGACGTTTTTATCATCATCATCACCATAATTCTGCATGATAATATTCATCAGCATTATCATCTTCTGTTCTTCCTCCTCCTCAGCCTCCTTCTCCTCTTCACCCTCCTTCTCCCTCTTCCTTCCTTTTTCCCTCTTCTCCTCCTCTTCTTTTCCCTTTCTTCTTCTTATACTCTATCACTCTAGCTATGAAATTGCCTTTGGTCTCTGTTCCACCAATTCTGGTGATATGTCTCATTAATTAAATTTATCTTTAACTTATTGTTTTTAAGAGCAAACTAGTTAACTCTTGCGGCTTCCAGTAGCACAGCTTTCTTTTCTGTCTGTGATTATTTCAACAGTGTTCTAAAAAATTAATCCCTGCAACCTCCAGTTCCACATCATTTCTCCTTCTTCTTCTGCATTTCTCTGAGGATGTAACTGTATTGCACCTGTTTAAAGCAAGGCTACTGCAGCCTTCCTCTTGCTTGGAGACCAGCTGTACTGGCATATTATAATTGTAACTGACTCAGAGCACGCAGGTGGTATTCCAAACAGAGCTTGTACGCCAAGCAACAATTTTTACAAGCAACAATTTTTTACGTCTAAATGTGACATATACCAAGTTGGACTTCAAAAAAATAACGTATACTAAGGTACCGCTATATTTCTTTCAGTAGCTCTTATTCTCAGTCTCCCAGAACCTCTGTATTTAATTGTTTTTGTTTCCAAAAATACTGCCTATTTTCCTGTCCACCTCTCCCTAGCAGTTTGATATTCTAGTTGCTTGTTCATTGTCCAGATTTCTGCGCCATGCAGAATTGAGTGTACATAACATTTGACAATTTTCATTTTGTATGTTTTTCTTTCTCAAGATGTGAGTAATTTATTTTCTTCTTACCAAAGATATTTTTGGCCATTTGTATTGTCTTTTTAAATTTTTTATTTCTGTTTCATTTTTCGCAGTGTGGTGGGGGGAAAAAAAGGGGGTGGGGGGTGTCATGATTTGGTAATTTTATAACCAGTCACTGTTTTACTTAAATATCCACAGATGGAAATGGATCGACAGAGGTCAAGGTTCAAAGATGAAATTTCACTGATGGGTGCTGAGAATGAAGAACTGATGAGCAAAGTTGAAGAACTGAGAAATGATATTGTAAGTATCTTTAGCATGCTAGCAATTTGTTGTTCATCTGTCACAAGTGAGGATGACTAGTCCCTTCAGAAGAGGGAGGTTTATAAACTCACAGCTGGCTAATAAGACTCCTTGCATCTTGTGCGGTGTGGGTATGGAGTTTGGGCCACAGCAGTTTGAGGATCCAGCTTATGGTCTTTTCTGACTGTCTTTTTTTGAACTTCTTCTTCTTCTTATTATTATTATCAATAATTTGCTTCTTCATACACCATTAAAATGACAGCAGGTATAGTTGTAATATGGTTTTCCCTGTGGGTTCCAGACCCACAAGGGAGGAAAGGAGGAGGAGGGAAGAATAGACCAACTGCACCCCCTAACAAGCATGTTGTACAAGGTGACTACTTTCAAGTGTTTCCTTCAAGGTTTGAGTTCATCTCTCTGAGAGGCCAGGAACCATCAGTTGGCATACAAATAAAATGGATGTGCATCAAAACTCAAGCTCTGGATGGAACAAGACCAGAGTCCAGAAGTGGACAAACAACCAGAACTTTCTGCTGGAGTTTACAGCTAGGAAATGCTAAGAAAAAGAAATGATGTGGTTTACAGCCTATAAGGCTGCAATGTCTGCAGTTTTCAGCCCATCACAGCCAAATTCAGCAAACCCTTTATTAGTCAGTTAGTCACCATTTATGACATGCTTGTTAAAAAACAGTTTATCTCCCCCTTCCTCCCGCCCCCTTTTTTTTTAGTCCTCTAAAATATCTCCCGGGACCAAAATTTATGCATGACTCCTCACCTCTTGAAGCAAGGTTACATCAACAGAGATTGCTTTATCATATGCCTGCATATTACATCCACCTTAACATTGGAACAGCAGCATTAACTACAAAAACTGTTGTAACCACGATGTCCATCTACCGTTCTGAAGAGGATAAAACAGCTACCACAGTCATAACAAACCAATAAGCCCTTTAGGGAGTTCACCAAACACCTGGAATCTGACTCAACAGTGCCCAGAATTCCTGGTGAACATCCTCTTTCAAACCGCTACATCGACTGTCTCGCAGTCCTCATCAATAATACTGTAACATAGATGATAAAACTCCAGCTTAGGTTTTCATTGATCGCCATATTTAATACACTTAACAACAATGAGTATAAGGGGGTCCAAGCAGGGCTGACCCGTGGGGAAGCAGGTAGAGAGGAGTGCTGCTGCCAAAAGACCCGCAAGGTTTTATAAACTGCCACTGGCACTGACCAACATTATAGAATATAATCAACCAAATCACAGTGGTGGGATAAAGCATCTGGATCTAGCCGTCTCATCTCCATAGCTACCATCATTGATAGCATTCAGAATAATACACCAAATTCTACTTCTACAGTTGAGGCGCTCCTGGGAAATAAAATATTACACATTATTATGAACAAAGTCACTCATGTTCACGCATGTTCGCTCTGTCTCACTTCCAGTGACCAGTCACACCTGGCTCTCACAGATCCCGTGGGGGCCGCTGTGACTCGTTAATCTCTAAACACATGTCTAACAACCTTAAGCAGCCTAAACCTTTTGCACTCGCCTTTGTAATCATCATCAAACGCCTTGACGACTGGCGTGGACGATGATTTCTCTGACTTCAGGCACACTTTAATACTGAAGTGAGTTCAGCACACAGCAGAGGCTAACATTGGGAGATGAGCACACAGCAGTCTCAGAGATAAAGGTTAACATCGGGAGATGAGCACACAACAGTCTCAGAGATAGAGGTTAACATCAGGAGATGAGCACACAGCAGTCTCAGAGATAGAGGTTAACATCAGGAGATGAGCACACAACAGTCTCAGAGATAGAGGTTAACATCAAGAGATGAGCACACAGCAGTCTCAGAGATAAAGGTTAACATCAAGAGATGAGCACACAACAGTCTCAGAGATAGAGGCTAACATCAGGAGATGAGCACACAACAGTCTCAGAGATAGAGGTTAACATCAGGAGATGAGCACACAACAGTCTCAGAGATAGAGGTTAACATCAGGAGATGAGCACACAACAGTCTCAGAGACAGAGGTTAACATCAGGAGATGAGCACACAACAGTCTCAGAGATAGAGGCTAACATCAGGAGATAAGCACACAACAGTCTCAAAGATAGAGGTTAACATCAGGAGATGAGCACACAACAGTCTCAGAGACAGAGGTTAACATCAGGAGATGAACACACAACAGTCTCAGAGATAGAGGTTAACATTAGGAGATGAGCACACACCAGTCATAGAGACAGAGGTTAACATCAGGAGATGAGCACACAACAGTCATAGAGACAGAGATTAACATCAGGAGATGAGCACACAACAGTCTCAGAGACAGAGGTTAACATCAGGAGATGAGCAAACAACAGTCTCAGAGATAGAGGTTAACATCGGGAGATGAGCACACAGCAGTTTTAGAGATAGAGGTTAACATCGGGAGATGAGCACACAGCAGTCTCAGAGATAGAGGTTAACATTGGGAGATTAGCACACATCAGTCTCAGAGACAGAGGAACATCGGGAGATGAGCACACATCAGTCTCAAAGACAGAGGTTAACATCAGGAGATGAGCACACAACAGTCTCAGAGACAGGGGTTAACATCAAGAGATGAGCACACAGCAGTCTCAGAGACAGGGGTTAACATCAGGAGATGAGCAAACAGCAGTCTCAGAGACAGAGGTTAACATCGGGAGATTAGCACACAACAGAGGTTAACATCATGAGATAAGCACACAACAGAGGTTAACATCAGGACATGTGCACACAACAGAGGTTAACATCAGGACATGTGCACACAACAGAGATTAACATCAGGACATGTGCACACCACAGAGGTTAACATCAGGACATGTGCACACAACAGAGGTTAACATCAGGACATGTGCACACAACAGAGGTTAACATCAGGACATGTGCACACAACAGAGGTTAACATCAGGACATGTGCACACAACAGAGGTTAACATCAGGACATGTGCACACAACAGAGGTTAACATCAGGACATGTGCACACAACAGAGGTTAACACCAGGACATGTGCACAACAGAGGTTAACATCAGGACATGTGCACACAACAGAGGTTAACATCAGGACATGTGCACACAACAGAGGTTAACATCAGGACATGTGCACACAACAGAGGTTAACATCATAAGATGAGCACACAACAGTCTCAGAGTGTCCAGCCAATACACAAGACAGAGCAACATTAAAGATTCATTGCAATCAACTTTAATATGGAAATAGAATCAGATTGATTGATTGATTGAATGATATGAATGAAAGATTAATTGAATGTATAGACAGATAATATTTCAGTGTTTCCTCCACACAGAAACTGAATGAAGAGGCCTTGGCCCACGCCACCATGCAGTACAACATCCAACTGTCTTCACTGAGAAGTGACATCAGCACTGCCAACTCTGTCACAGAGAGAGAAAGAGCTGCCAAGGAAAAACTGGAGGCTGAGGTTTGGATTCGTGTTTTTTCACAGACAGATTGACATGGGGTTCACATACAGATTGACAGTAGGTTTCACAGATGTATTGACAGTAGGTTTCACAGACAGCTAGACAATAGGGTTCACAGACAGATTGACAATAGGGTTCACAGACAGATTGACAGTAGGTTTCATAGACATATTGGCAGCAGGTTTCACAGACAGATTGATTGTAAGGTTTCACAGACAGAATGACAGTAGGTTTCACAGACAGATTGACAGTAAGGCTCACAGACCACTAGACAATACGGTCCACAGACAGATTGACAGTAAGGTTCATAGATAGATTGACAAAAGGGTTCACAGACAGAATGACAGTAGGGCTCACAGATTAACAATAAGGCTCACAGACCACTAAACAATATGGTTCACAGACAGATTGACAGTAAGGCTCACAGACCACAATAGAGTTTACAGACAGATTGACAATAAGGCTCACAGACTGCCTAACAGTAGCATTCACAGACAGATTGACAATAAGGCTAACAGTCCGCTAGACAATAGGGTTAAAAGACTGCTTAACAGTAGGGTTCACAGACAGATTGACAGTAGGTTACACAGACAGACAGTAAGGCTCACAGACTGCCAGACAGTAGGGTTCACAGACAGATTGATAATAAGGCTCACAGACATAAAGACAGTAGGGTTCACACACAGACTGACAATAACGCAGACAGAGGCAGTCTGTTGTACTGTATTTCTTCTGTGTGGGGGAATTGGCATATTGTAATGTGGTTTACAGTTAGGTTGTGATATCTACACCTTGTGGCCCAATTTTGACTAATCCTTAATCAGTTACATTTAACGCTATGCTTGTTAAGAAGCTGTGAGTCTATTCCTAGACAACCCCCCCCCCCCCCCCCCCACCCTTTCATTCTTTTTAAAAATTAAAAAAAAAACAAGAAAACTGGCGCCTCAGAACTCACAAGGGGAAAACTGCTGCTACTGCAGAAATATCTCCAAAACTGTCGTATGGGAAAATGTTTCTCTAAATCACATATGCTCCCTGAGTGGATTCCAGCGCCCTGTTGTGGGAGAAACAAGAACAGACCCACTCTCTAACCAACAAGCATGTCATAACAGTTGACTTAACTGGGGGCTTCCTTTGAAGTCAGAGTGCATCTTCATGAGAGGCAAAGAACCACCAATCTGCATACACTTAAGCGAACTTGAAGAAGAGGAGAAGATAATATGTGCATCTTTGACAGTTGTTATGATTACTAAAGATAATCAAAATTAACAGATTTAAAAGCTTGGAGGTAGTGGAGATGTGGTAACTAGGATAGATATAATGAATACCTTAAACAGCAACAGTGAGAGTGACAAAGCTGATGAAAGTAAACATCCTCTGCATTCACTCTTAAAAGAACATTTGGCCCATTATGTTGTGGTTTACAGCTAGGCTGCAATATTTCTGCCTCCTGTTTCAACACATCTGATTTCATAAAACTTCTAGTCACCATTTCAAGCTTGCTTGGTAAGAGGTAGTGGGTCTTTCTTTCCCCCCCCCCCCCCCCCTTCAGTGCAGTTATGGGACCCCACAGGTTTTGAGTAAGACATTGTACGCAACTATAAGAAAGAGACAGTTTTCTTTGGTAATGTGATACAGGATGTAAACATTATGACAACTGGAAAGATCAGCAGTAGTCGAACAAAATGTTGAATGTGGAATTAAGAATTGACATCAAAGCACTCGGGACACTCCCATAAATCCTCCGTCCTCATTTTCAGCAGCAAGTGAAGAGTTTCGGTCTCACCAGTAACTGTCTGATTGTGTACCCGTCTCGCCTTTTCCCTGAGTGATGAGCACTGGCCAGATCCCCTTGTAACTCCTCATAGCGCCACTCTCCCCAGACCGTAATGATCTATTTGTGCCTCCTCATTGTTCAATCACTCCCAAAGAGCCCTCACAGTATTCATCTTGCCATACATAACTTCACCACAAAGTGGTGCAGAACTGGTCATTCTATCTGCCTGCTCATTTCCCAAAACACCGGCATTACCTGAATAAAATATCCAAAGGATGCTAACTACCTAGGACCTCTGAAGTGATGCTTGCCACTCTGCACGGAGCATGCCTGTCTAGGCGAACAGAGGCAGATGAGAAAGCAAAACTGGATAACTGAGGGCAAATGCATGAAAACATTTCTGTAGAATTGATCCAGAACTGCTTAAACTAGAAGTTAATCCTATTTTGATCCGCTGGATTGCTGCGGTCCTGTTCCAGAGAAAGATTGTACCAAGATGTGGTAGCTGGTCCTCAGAACCGCAAACGATATGTCCAGGCTTGCCACAGGGATCACCGCTATCACCAGTCTTATTCAACGTTTATATGGTGATGATCACTGAGCAGCAGTTGAATGGAAAGGGAAGGACTTTGTCATTTGCTGATGACATTTTGATTTTTCGACGAGGGCGTGATAGACAGGAGATCGCCAGCACTATGCACAAAGAACTCGATCGAATTGCCGCCTGGTGTGATGGTTCCAATGCCTATGTCAATCCTTCGAAGGCATCAGTGTCATGGTTCTCTTTGAACAATCACATTGTCAAGTCGGACTTACCAGAAGTGAAAATGCGTAATAATGTATTGATCAGAACCAACGTTATGACGTTTCTCGGGGTGAGGTTCGATCGCAGCTTGTCATTCAGGGAACACGTTGACCATGTGATAACAAAAGCACGCAAAGGTCTATCTGCAATGTGGATTAAGGCTGCTTCCAATATTGAGCAAAGATTACTAATACTTCTATTCTACGGTCTGGTCCTTTCCCCCATTGAATACGCTCTGGCCATCCTCACTGTCAGTGCTACCCAGATTGAACGACTCGAAAAGGTGCAAAATGAAGACATGCACATTATTTTGGGATGTACAAGAGACACATCCTGTGGAGCAATGAGGTATATACTTGACTTTCCAACAATGAACCAAAGGATCAGGATGTGGAGGGCTCGGGCATATCTCAAAATATGTGCTGATAAGAAACACCCACTGCATCAAGCGCTTTTTAGTGAAAAGGGCGACAGACTGAAGAGGGGGAAATCGTGGCTAGGTCGGGCAGAAGATGTTATTAGGCAAATATGCAGCCTAACCGACATCATACCTGGTGCAGAATGGATACCTGTGCCTCAGGCGTTTATTTGTACATTTTCCTGTATTGTCACACTCAACAGGCGATGTAGAGAAGAGAATCCTGTTGCTGTTAATGCAGAGGTCAACGCTCTCATCGATGAAAATTCAGACGAAGCAGATGCAATAATCTATACAGACGGATTCGTTGTACGCCAAAGAAGAAGCGCATGGGCATTTACAGCACGCTCAGCGGGCAGAACAGTCAAAAAAGCCTTCTCCATGACAACCAGCAGCATGACGATGGAGGTGATGGCAGTGACGCAAGCGTTTGCCTGGTTTGAAACACAAAAATACACCCGTGTATGTATACTCAGTGATTCAGTGAGTATGATCCGGAGGGTTCAGGCAGGTTCAGTGCAAAGACAATGGCTTGAATCATTACAAAAGTCCACTGTGCGTGGAGTCACCTTTATTTTTGTTTCCGGGACACGCAGGCATCGATGGAAATGAAAGAGCTGACAGGTTGGCTGGATCCGCTATCACTACCGACGGTCAGCCTATGGATCATGCTATGGATATTATCAATGCCCTCAGAGAAATGGGAAGGATAGAGGACTTTGGTGGCAGTGAATCCACATCACTCGCCAGAATGACAGACTTGGGAATTAAGATCGGCACTGCAAAAAACGAGACGCACACCAGACACGCCAGAAGACTTGTTAATCAACATAAAACTGGTACTATTAGCCATCGGACATTGGGGTTCATACTGAGGGGAGGATCTGAGCACCTATGGACATGTCCGGAGTGCAATGAGGATAACCCAACTAACTAACTAACTAACTAGCTAACTAACTAACTAACTAACAAACTAACTAACTAACTAACTAACTAACTGATCCAGAACATCACATAGTGGAGCTCTCATTGAGACATGAACATCTACTGGTACGGCACATGAAACTGATGATTACAAGAAACTCTAACAAATGTTTAACTACACTAAAAAACGATTGTCAAGTTTAAATTTTTTGTTGGGGGGGGGGGGGGGGGGGGGGGTGGCTTGGTCTCTCAGACAGACTATCCCTCAGTTTTGAGAATGTCATGCAATGCACAAACTCTGTTGCCTCAGTGATTATCCTCAGGGATCTCCATAAAAGTTGTCCTGTTATGAACAGAAAGGTATATTCAGTTAAGGCAACTGTGGTTTAGCAGCTAGACACTGGCTAAGGATCGAGAGGTCGTGGGTTCAGGGCCTGATGCAGCCTGACTTTTTTTTTGTTTTTTTGTTTTTTGTTTTGTTAAATGACTTTGGCTCCCATGTCAAACCAGCATTAAATTATATGTTGATAGTTAAATCATTGTCAGAGATCATATGTTGATAGCTATATCATTGTCAGAGATCATATTTTTATAGTTATATTATTGTCAGAGATCATGTGTTGATAGTTATATCATCGTCAGAGATCATGTGTTGATAGTTATATCATTGTCAGAGATCATGTGTTGATAGTTATATAATTGACAGTGATCATATGTTTATAGTTATATAATTGTCAGAGATCATGTGTTGATAGTTATATCATTGTCAGAGATCATATTTTGATAGTTATATCATTGTCAGAGATCATATGTTGATGGTTATATCATTGTCAGAGATCATATGTTGATAGTTATATCATTGTCAGAGATCATATGTTGATAGTAATATCATTGTCAGAGATCATGTGTTGATAGTTATATCATTGACAGTGATCATATGTTGATAGTTATATCATTGTCAGAGATCATATGTTGAAAGTTATATCACTGTCAGAGATCATATGTTGATATTTATATCAGAGATCATTGAGTACTGCAGATATTGCCCACCTCTATTCATCTCTGTGATCGGCCTGCTCTTGCCATGCATTTGTAGGTCTGCCTATATATTATCTCCTGTTATCAAGTGTCCAGGAGAGATATGCCAGTGGTAGCATAGCTTACAGCAGCGCCTCCCAGGCTGGACAGGTTAAAGAGCAGAAAACAAAGAGAGACACCCTTGTCTTCAAGATGGGGATTGAAGCGTGGGCCAACCTCCACCCACCACCCCCCTCCCCACCCTCCCACAAACTTTTTTAAAAACTTTATTTCATCATGAAATAGATATCTAAGTGTCAGATATGGATGGATTTAAATGGACAATACTCATCTTTATCGTCATCAAATACCTTGCTATCTGACGGAGATGGCCATGCTTCTCCACACCTCCTGTTCTCTAGCATAATATCACAGATTGTGTGCTGGGATTTTCCCATGCCATGATTCTAGGCTGCCAAGAATTGTTTTCTCTCTGTCTTCCACTACCTTATTTTTCCTAATTATACTGCCAGTTGTAAATTCTTTTGCTTGCATGTAAATAACAGAAATTCAAATCAGTGATTCTCTATCTTTGTTGAATAAAGAGAGTTGCAGACAGAGAAAGAAAACTTCAGCCGAGAGCTGGACAAAAAGAATGGTGAGATTGCAGAATTGAAAGAGAACATTCAGGTTTGTTTATTCATACAAACATTTGTGATATTGTTATCATCACATATTGTTATCATTACATATTATATATATAATACATCTATTGGCAGTTATATGATTCTCTTACTGAGTGCTGACCATACTAAATGTTATATGAGATTTTCTATTGGCAGTTATATGATTCTCTTACTGAGTGCTGAACGTGTTAAATGTTATATGAGATCATCTATTGGCAGTTATATGATTCTCTTACTGAGTGCTGAACGTACTAAATGTTATATTAGATCATCTATTGACAGTTATATGATTCTCTTACTGAGTGCTGAACGTACTAAATGTTATATTAGATCATCTATTGACAGTTATATGATTCTCTTACTGAGTGCTGAAAGTATGACTCTGTTAAATGGGATCATCTATTGGCAGTTATATGATTCTCTGAGTGCTGAACGTACTTAATGTTATATGAGATCATCTATTAACAGTTATATTATTCTCTTACTGAGTGCTGAAAGTATGACTCTGTTATATGCTTAGTTATACAACTCTCTGCTACATACTGAGTGATATGTCTCTCTGTTTTATTAAACATACTGACAGGCTTGCAGGTAAAGCTTCTATGGGGGGCTTATGAGGATTGGATAGGGTTAACATACTGAATGCTCCACAAGACATAAAAACTTTGTGAGGATCAGATGGTGATTTTGAATCTGCAACCATGATCAGACTACAAGAATATTGAGTGAAAAGGGACGAGGGCAGACAAGATCACTATTGAGGAAGCCAAAGAAGAAGAATAAACCAACACAGAACTGGTGTCATCAGCCGCAACATGCTTGGAGATTTGCTGAGGAGGGGATCCAAGTACATATGGGCTGATTAGTGCAATAAGGATGATCTGTCAACTAACCAACTAATCTGTTAAATGATTCTCAGACAGAATTCATGTATTCTAATTTGTTCACACAGCTGGTGAACCTTCGTCTGACAACTGCAGATTCCAAGCTGAGCTCGCTGGAACATGAGGTGAGGCTAACACAAATATTGGTGTTCCTTTCCCGCTTACATTCAGTATTTAGTCTTTTAATTAGAAGAAGACCAAAACTGTAACAATCATCATCACCATCATCATCATCATCACTGTTATGTGTCATTTAGAGTTTGCAGTCTAGTCCTCCATTCCATTCTATCCTGGTGGGGCGGGTGGAGGGCTGCATGGTCTCGATGTATGGCATCTGCCTCAAGTGCTGGAGGTCCTGGGTTCAAGCCTTGGTGAAGGCTGTAATTTTGTCATGTGGACTTAACAGTAATTTCAAAGAAAAAGAAGAAGAAACCAGTCATGCAGTTCATTGAGAAGCAACAAATGGTTTGGCCATGTGATGAGAATGCCCTAGTGCCAACTGCCACAGAGAGCCAGGCTGAGGAAATATAATGAACACAAATCAAGGGAAAGACATGCAAAATATGAAATGACAACATCAAGAACAACCTTAAAAGAAATAAAGACCAACTTATTTTATGCATTAGAAAAAACACATATATAATTGTTACATCTTCCTTAACACTTCGTTATTTTGGAAAAAGAAGGAGACTAAAAACTTTGACATTTCTAATTTTATCATGAGTGGTCATTTTGGTTAACACAAGGCTTTGTATCAGTGTTATTTTTGTTTCTTTTGAATTCAGAACATGTACTTATCTTCAACATATTTTCTGACAGAAAGGATTAAGTATTCTAATGAACATGCTTCACTGTAAGGTTAAGTTATTTGATGTATTCCTGTCTATAATTGTATCATTATCTGTTTGTGTCAGATGCTGATGAAGAGTTTCTGGTCACAGCATTCATTTTTGTCATTCATGATTGTAGTATTCTTCTTCTTCTTCATGTTCACTGGCTGTAAACTCCAGAAGACAGTTCTGGTTTTTCATCCACTTCTGCACTTTAGTCTTGTTCCAGAATTTGAGTTTTGTCTACGCATCCATTTTACAGATCTGACTTACTTGAATGCAGACTGTTGGTCCCTGGAGCACCACACAGAGATTGTTGGGGGGGGGGGGGGGGGACTCATATTAGGGCCCTGGAGCCCACACAGAGATGACCATTGTATTCTGAAGCTGATAAACTTTGCTTTTTGTTTGAATGTATTTTTCATGATTGCTACATGTCTGAGTACTTGGATTCTGGAAGGTATGTGTAATACCTGTGTTCTCCCACAGTTGCATGTCTCAGCCACTTCTCTGGTGGAGAGAACATCCAACCTCCAACAGCTTCAGCAGGAACTTGAGAGACTCAAGGCTTCTGCCAGTTCCCTGGAGCAGAATTACAGGTTTGAAAAGGTTGGTATCATTCTGCAGGTGAGAAGGAGTAGATAAATAAGGGTCTATAAAACTGCCTCATATGTTGACTAGCATATGTTGACTGTCTCATATGTGGACTATCTCATATGATGATTGTCTGAGAGACTGTCTCATGTGTTGACTCTTATATGTTGACTGTCTCATGTGTTTACAATCTCATGTGTTAGCTATCTCATATGTTGACCGTTTCCTATGCTGACTATCTCATATGTTGACTGTCTCAGACATAGACTGTCTCATGAGTTTACTAGTTCATGTGTAGACTGCTTCAGTCATTCGCTGTCTCATATGTAGTCTTTTACATGCTTTGTCATTTTTTTAAATTGTCACATATTGACTTTCTCATGTGTGCTGTTATACTGTATTCATCACTTTATTTGTATACTATTGCTAGATTATGATGTTGTTCTGTTGTAGAAGTCTTGCATTGGGTTTGTTAAACAGAACACAACAAATTTGTACCAGATAGTGAATGTAGTCAGAGCCAGATTTAGACTTGATGAGGCCTTAACCTATTCAAAGCCCTGATGCCCTGAGGCCCTTACCATTTTAAACTACATCAGCTAATCTCAGAAAACTTTAAAACATAAATAAATCAAACCCATGACCTTCCTATCTGCTGGCGAGTGTCCAGTCGCTTAACCACCGTGGCTTTCTTAAAACATATATGCCTTTTAAGTATATGGATAATGGAGATATATTGTTGTTGTTTAATTTGTATTCAAAGAAATAATCAAAAAATGTGCAAAATCACAGAAAATTCTATAATCTTTTAAAGGGCTGAGAGTGACTGAGGTGACCCAAGTGAGGAGAAGGTGAACGTTGACATATATCAAACTGTTTATTTTATTTTATTTAAATAGGCTACAACAAGTTAAAATAAATAAAAATATGAGCTAATTTAATAATATATATAAAAAAAGTATGAATAATAAAATTATAAAATTTAAGGGAGATTTGGATATATTAATATATGTAAATTTAATTGTATTTGTGAAAAACTAGGAATTTGTTTATCCCCTAAGCTGCAGCTTAGTTAGCTTATGCCTAAATCCAGTGTGATGAATGTTGTCTGTGAGTGCCCAGTCAGGTCTCACCTTTTTTTTATCTACAGGATCTCAATGTCAAGCTACAGGCCAAAGTTGACAGCCTTCAAGAGAAGTAAATGCTGTTTGTGCTTTGTTTAAATAGTTTTGATTGTTCGTTCACCGCACACAGCACAGATTACACCATACCCCCTCCCCCACACACACACACACACACACACATTACTCCTCACAATACCACCAACACACTGCTACATCACTTGTACCACAACTAGAGTGATGATGATATATTGAGCTGAAAACTGGGCATCCTGTTAATATTAGAGATAAAAACGGGACATCTCATTAATAACTGAAATAAAAACGGGACATCCCATTGATATTTGAGATAAAAATAGGAAAATGGGACATTTTGTTAATTTTTTAGGTGAAAAGAAAAAGGAGACATCCCAACCAAGTCAGTCTCCCCCCCCCCCACTCCTCACCTTGTCCTTGTCTTTGTTTGTTCGTTTTTTGTGTGTGCTTAGCCACGGGATTGAACAGGTTAATTATTTGCTCTACAATCGTTTTAAAACCAGAACTATTGACACCAAGAAATAAACAAAACAATACGCTTTTTAACTGCAATGGGGAGGAAGACATTACTACAATTATTTATAATTTTCATCAACACAGGTATCTACGACCATGAAATCTAATTAGGTCTACATATATAGCTATAAGTGTATGTTCTGTACATATTCCTTGGTATTTATAAAAATTGGACAATTGACACTTTTTTGGAGTACCGACGGGTCGGCCGGGACACACCTAAAGAAACAGGACTGTTCTGGTGAAAACAGGACTCATGGTCACCCTAACCACAACTCACAGTACCAGCAACATTTCTGACCACTCTCACAACACACCACACTATTGCAAACAGCACATACCTGTCATTTGTGTGCAAGCTGAAACATTCACTGACATCTGTGAGCCACACACACACACCCATATTTGCATGCACATTCATATATACATATACATATGACCCTTTTCCACAACTTCAGGCGTTTTGGACATTCAGTGCCAGACCTATATTTTATGAATCAATCGACTCTTGCTGGGTGTTGTGGTCAACATCCTGCCAGCCGCCTTTACCTCTCAGGACCCCAGGGAGTGGAAAAGAGTCCTTTGCTTTACTTTACTTTTGATGTTAAATACAACAAAGATAGCACAGTGCAAACTACTTATGCCGACAAGTGAAGATATTATATGTCTCATAATGTTCTCTCCCAATCTTCTTCTTCATGTTCACCAGCTGTAACTCCAGCAGAAAGTTCTGGTTGTTTAACAAACTCTGCACTTTAGTCTTATTCCAAAACCTGAGTGTTGTGTGCACATTTGGTTTACATATCTGGCTTAGTTGTATGCAGATTGTTGGTTCTTTGCCCCTCAGGCGGATGCACTCCGACTTCGAAGAAAGCCCCCAACTAGTCGACTCTTACAACATGCTTGTTGGGGGGGGGGGGGGGGCAGTGGTCTATTTTCCCCCCCCCCCCCCCCCCCTTACCAACAATGAGGCCCCAGAACCCACAGGGAACCCAGATGTCACCCAGGCTAAATTGTCTCTGTCCATGACAGGTTGAGCCAGCACCAACATGAGAATCTTTCCTTACGTCAGCAAATTGACAGTCTCCGCGTGAACACAGGAGGTCAGCCAGATGCCAATGAAAAACTGAACAACATCCTCACCAGTCTACGAGCAGACAGTGACCGCGTAAGAATGTTCATCATCGTTGTTGTGGAAGGAACCAAATGGATATTTTTTTATACGTAGTGTTATTTTATGAACATCATGTGTAATTGGGTCTATGATATGCATAGGAAGTCTGAAACTTTACAAGTGGTGTTTATAATATGAACATCTTGTCTCATTCGATAAACATACAATTCCTAAAACTGAACAAATGTTTATAATATTGAAAACTTTTCTTGTTGGGACTATGTTAAACATAGAATTTCTGAACTTGTACAAGTGATGTTTATAATATGAACATCTTGCCACACTGGATTATATTAAACAAAGAACTCCTTAGTTTGAACAAATGACCTTTATTCTATAGACATTTTGTCACCTGGGGTGTGCAGTGTTGATTTGGAACAGTTGCAACATCTAATGCAATATCCCTGTAGAGATTAAAACATGAATCTCCATGGAAAAGTTACCTTTTACCAGATGCACAACATTTTCACAAATACAGAGTTGTAGGTGCAGGGAGAAAAAGTAACTTTTTGCAAGATGTAAAACATTCTGACAATTACAGAGCTCTAGATGTAGGGAGAAAAAAAAATAACCTTTTGAAAGATGCATGACATTCTGATAATTACAGAGGTGTAGATGTAGGGAGAAAAGTAACCTTCTGAAAGATGCACAGCATTTTTACAATTACAGAGTTGTAGGCGTAGGGAGAAACAGTGTTGACGTGCTGTTTTTAACTTAGTGTCATATGTTAAATTTCAATGTTGAGAAGATTGACCTTATTGCACCGGGTTATCTCATGTAGCTTATAGTGTCTGCTGTCCTGTCTCTGAAGACGGACGGCATCAGCAGGCCTCACCAGCTCCTTCTAGGGAAAAATAACTAGAGGTCTCGGAGATTTAGCAGGCATGGGAATGCCAAATGTGCACCAATATTGATTGTTATAAGATAACATATAGCTCAAACTCTCTCAACATAGCTAGATACCTGCCGAAAGCATTGCACGAACTTTGTAGCTGCATAATCCTGTATGTACATGAAATGCGGGCAGTACGTAGTGAAATGGAAAGGAACTGTGGGTTCTGAGGAGAATGTTCAAATGCCATTGACTGACCGAACATTTAAAAAAAAAATGAGGTCCTCCAGGGAATAGATTAAATAAGGAAATTAGATGTAAAAAGTCAGTTATTGGCATGGTATAGATACAATAATTGCTCTGATAATTTGAGCACCAGCTAACCACATCAAAGCTACAGTCTTCTTCTTCTTTCCTCCTCCTTCTCCTCCTCCTCGTTCTCCTCCTCGTTCTCCTCCTCCTCCTTCTTCTTCTTCTTCTTCTTTTTTTTTTCCTCCTTAAAAGGATGGTTAGCATGTTGTTTTGTGGTTTACAGACAGGCTGCAATATCTTTGCCTTTCTGTGTTTTGTTGTTGTGGCTCAGCACATGTGATTTGAAAAAAACTCATTTATCACCTGTTACAGCCAGCTTGTTAAAGGGGAGATGGGTCTGTCCCCTGGAACCCACAGGGGGGAAAGCTACACTGACTGCATCTTTATAATTGAAATTGTCCTCTGTGTTTTATCCTAGTCTCACCTAGCCTTTCATTGTTGTCAATGGCATGTTCTCCAAATGCTATTTGTATCTGTTTCAGGCCAAGGCCAGCCTTGAAGAAAAGAATGGCCACCTGCTAGAACAGGTGGCCAGGCTGAAGGAGGAGGTCAGAGGGTCAGAGACACGCCGGGTCACAGTGGAACAAGATTTGCGTAGACTGCAAGACGAACACAACGAGATGGTGAAACAGTTGTCCCAGACCGAAGCGTCTCTGCAGATTGCCCTTAAGGTTTTTGACATTTGTTTTCATTGGTTGCCATGTTTCTAACCATTTATAACTATCTCTTAAAATGTATACTTAGCATCTGTGACTTACGGGTTGCAAGCAACGTTTGTAATTCTGAGATACCCAACTAAATTTCATCTGTATGCGATTATGGCAGCAGAAGGAATTGTCTTGATTTCAAACAGCCAATTATTGCTGAGGTTGGTTCTTCAACCTAAACAGGCTACACAAGAAACAATTTGTGTACATGTTTGTTACTTGTACTACTGATCATAACTTTCACTTAGAAAAACACAACAGCCGACAATTTCTTGGGTTGGTTCTGCAACCTCTAAAGGCTACACAGGGAACATTTTGTGTACAGATTTGTTACTTGTACTGCTGAACGTTCAATTTGCCAAGAAAAACCACAATAGCAAAAAGAATGCTGGGGTTGGTTTTGCAATATCCTGCGAAGGATACACAAGTAACCTGTTTCTTGTAATTGTCTGATCTTTTGTCTGTCCTGCTTCCCTTTAAAAGGTTAGTTGCGTATCCTTTACAGGACCTTGCAGAACCAACCCAAGCAGCCCCTGGTTGTTGTGTGGTTTCTCTAGGCAAATTTACGTCCAGTGGTTTGCCATTGCTTTATGGACGGTCGGCTTCTTGATACCACTGTCGAAACCGATGCTAGGCGCATGGCCCACAGCTGGGATCGAACCCGGCACCCCAACATTACAAAGCTTCCCTTTAAACATCATCTAAAAATGAGTCTGTTGGCACTTTTTTCATTGTCACCTCTTTCACAACCTTCAGAAGTTGCTTTGATCATTTTCTATCTTATCTTATTGACTACCGCTCCTTTCTTTCATATCTTTCTCTTGTTTATATCTATTTTAAGTTTCTCTCCTTGCCACGACATTTAGGCTACAGCTAAAAGATTTTTGTTGTATCCCTCATGAAGTCAGCAAATTGTTGGGATACTCGTTACTCCTATCACCCTGTCATTGTGGGTTCTATAATAATATCCTACCACAAACAGGGTAAATACAAGGGTCACGGTTCAGTCTAATATTTCAGGTGGTGGTAGATAGGCTGCATGCAGTCGTGGGACAAGGCTGGACTCTCTCATAGAACGTAGGAGGGTTGGGGTTAGGGCCAGTTCTAGATGTTTTGATACGTTAAAAGCATCAGAAAGCCGGGAAACCCAGTCTTACCACCTTATTAAATGTTAGACTGTCCTGTGATGTCATCTGGGGTAAGATATTAATGAAGAACCTCCTTGTGTATTAGTTTGTTGTCTTGTTATACTGTTGTTTTCTTTCTGAACATTAGGTTGCATTTTGTTGACAATAAAATAATTAAAATCTGTGGAGCAAACATCACCACAAGGTCTATTCTCAGCTGGTCTGTATGGTGCTGAATCAGGACCTGGTTATAATTTAACAAGCATCTTCATAGATGTAAAGTTTTACTACCCATCTTGCACACCTTACTGGCTTATAAGCTTATCAAGGGAAAGGTTTGGGTGGGGGGGGGGGGTGTTTCTGCAGTACAATTCCTAGGGATTCGTAACAGGCTGGGAAGAAAGCTTTTGGACAAGCCTGTTTGATAGACAAAGTTCTTTTCAAGGATTAGACTGTCTCAGGGTTTAGACTGTCTCAGGGTTTAGACTGTCTCAGGGTTTAGACTGTCTCAGGGTTTAGACTGTCTCAGGGTTTAGACTGTCTCAGGGTTTAGACTCTCTCAGGGTTTAGACTGTCTCAGGGATTAGACTGTCTCAGGGTTTAGACTGTCTCAGGGTTTAGACTGTCTCAGGGTTTAGACTGTCTCAGGGTTTAGACTGTCTCAGGGTTTAGACTGTCTCAGGGTTTAGACTGTCTCAGGGTTTAGACTGTCTCAGGGATTAGACTGTCTCAGGGTTTAGACTGTCTCAAGGATTAGACTGTCTCAGGGTTTAGACTGTCTCACGGTTTAGACTGTCTCAGGGTTTAGACTGTCTCAGGGATTAGACTGTCTCAGGGATTAGACTGTCTCAGGGTTTAGACTGTCAACTTTTGTGCCTCAGACTTATTAAGTCTTCCCCATGTGGGTTCGGGGGCCCAATTTTGTGGGGACAGAAAATAATAGATCCACTGGCCCCCTAACAAGAGCATGTTTGCAATGTGCTCTGCTAGGGGTATGTTTTGGTAAGCCACATTGCTATCTGACGAACAGTAAGTTGTTACGACACAGCAGAGACGAATGTTCAGTTACATGCTTTGATTCGATGAATCACAAAACATCATATGCACGCATTCTCTCATCCTCGTGTTCGTTCTGCTTGGCTGATTTCCGACGGCCTGGTCAATCTTCTCAAATCTTCTCACACACTACTTTGATCCATCAGCGTCTTTCGAATCGCCCATCCATCCTGAAACGAAACCTTGTGCTCGGTATTAAGACATGTAGGAAACATTCATATCTCCTCTCGAAACATAACAAGTATTCACAATTCCTTCATTCTCCTCATGCGTCCATTCATACGACCTCTCGCAACCAGGTCCGAACTTCAGCTGTCTTACTACTGTCTCTCGGTTCACGTCTTCCATTCTGGTCTCACGCTTTTCTTGTATCCCTTATTTCGCTCACCGTGGGAGACATGAGACCCACTTATCTCGTTTTTCTCTTGTATCACTGGTCCTCTGACCTTGTCCTCCCCATCGGGAACTCTCTGGGATTTCCCTGGAAATTCACAACATTACAATGTTGTACAAGGCAACTAATTAGGATTGTTTCCCTCGAAGTCTGGATAAATCTGCCTGAAAGTTGAGGAACCAACAGTCTGCATATCAATAAGCCAGATCTGTAAAACAGGTGTGTATACAAAAATGAAGTTCTGGAACAAGAACAAAGTCCTCAAAGTAAACTAACAGCCAGAGTTTATAGCTGATGAAGGCTTAGAAGAAGAAGGAAGAGTCTTCTGAAGATTCACAAGCAAACAGTCAAATAGTCTAGTATAAGAGCTGTTCCATTATGTTATGGTGCGCACACTCAAAGGTCATAACGATAACTTTCTCTCCTCAGACAAAGGAGCAGCTTGAGCAAGAAAGGACTCAGCTAAAAATGGACCTGGAGAAGCTGCAGCACCGCTACCAGATTACACATGATAAGTCTGTGGAAGCCCAAGCCAGACTGTCGGAGCTCGTGGACAGACTTGAGAAAGCTGAAAACAACTCAGTTTTCAGCCGGCAACAGTTGGTAGATACGTCTGCTAACATGCAAGGACTTGTTAGGTCAAAGGTGAGAATCATAAATTGCATGACTGAGTTTGCATATGATATGTCTCCTCCTCCTCCCCGTGTTGGTTCTAGGGCCGCATTGCATATGTGTTTGTTTGTGGGTTGGGGGGGGGGGGGGGGGGGGGGGGGGGGGGGGGGGCAAAATAGATCCACTGCCCCTTAACAAGCATGTTGTAAAAGACAACTAAGTAGGAGCACTTTCTGTGAAATTGGAGTGCATCTGCTTGAGAAGAAAGAAAACCCACATTCTGCGTATAAATAATTGAAATCTGTAAAACCGATGTGCCTGCAAAACTCAAATTCTGGAACTAGGTGAAAGTCCAGAAGTGGACAAACAACCAGAACATTTAGCTGGAGTTAACAGCCGGTGAATGCAATGCAAGCAAAAGAATGCCCTGGTACTATCTGCCACAGCGAGCCACACTAAAACGTTACAACGGGTATAAAGCGAGTGGAAGACCTAGGAAAAGATGGAGTGATGGCATTAAGAACAGCCTTACAGAAATGAACATCAGTCTTAATAGTGCTTGACAGAGCTCATCAACGAACATTACATCTCCCCCCGACACTTCGATGAGGTACAAGGTGGAAGAGAAGAAGAAGAAGAAGAAGAAGAAGAAGAATGCAAGCAAGAAGACATATAGAAACATAGTTGGTGTAGTTTTACGACTCATCACAAAATAACACCATTGTTATTGCCATATGGAACCGTGGTGGTGTAGTGGCTAGATGCTGACCTCCAGCCTGGAGGTCTTGGGTTCTTCTTCTTCTTCTTTGCGTTCAGTTTCGTAAGCTCAGATCAGACTTGCGCACGTCAGCAGCAGATCCTTCATGTGTCTTGGGTTTGATTCCACATCACATCAGATATTTCTCCAACTATCTTGGCTCCCAGGTCGACCCAGCCCAAACTGGGTGCCAGGCAGAGTTCTGGGAGTTAAAAGTGGCCAGCGCAATGTTGACCACATCACCCACCCAGTGCTGATTGGTGTATACCAGTTTGAGTCTAGCAGCATTTATCTGGCATAGAAAGTGTCCTTGACTTACTTATATGTATTTATATTTGAACACTTCACAGGGATGAAATATTATTATTCTCTCTTTGTGGGAGTATGACATGTTGGATAGGAATATCCTTGAATTTCTTTGTGAGCTTAGAGAACACATTTTTCCTATTCTCAAATCGCAGTTGAGTTAATTCAAGAATTGTCACATCACTCGGGACATTCCCACCATCTACAGCAGCCAGTGCAGAGTTTCAATTTTATTGGTGGCAGTTATATTCTGATTATACGTCCGTCTTACCTTTCCTTTCAGCGTTGAGTATGGACCAAAACCCCTTGTCACTCCTGGCTGCATCACCCTCACAAGACTGTGGTGATCCATTTGCTTCTTCAAATTGTACACTCTATCCCACAAGGCCCTAACCATATTTACAACTCATTGAACAAGCTTACCTAATTAACTCTGTATTTATATTTGAACACATCATGGGAATGTAATATTATTATTTCTTAATGTAAGCCTGAAAAGGTGGATAAGAATGTCCTTGAAAGCATCATCATCATGAAGTGCCTTACTGACTGACGGGGCAATCATGCCTCTCCACAATCTGCAGTCTTCAGCTGTTTGTATCAGTTTGTGTGCTGACACTCCTCCATGCCACGACAAAAGGCTGTCAAGAATCTTCTCATTTTGTCTTTCTCTGGCTCCCTTTCCACAGATTTTTTACAGTGGTCACAATATATTCCAGTTTCTTTCTTCTCATAACATGACCAAAAAATGATGACTTTCTCTTTCTGATGTTTATGATGAGTTGTCTTCGAGCCCTCACCTCTTTCAAAACATCTAGGTGTCTCTTTGTTTTATTTGTTAGTTTTTTCTGTCCAAAGAATTCTAAGAATTCTTCTGTAAAACCAGATTTCCAAGGACATTGTCAGCATACAGACAGCATTTTTCTTTCTATTCACAAATCAATAAACTGTTACAGGCCTGCCTAATTAACTGTTTGACTAGTAAAACAAAGAGAAGTAACTTTAGTCATTGTGTAACAGGTAGAACAATGTCTGTTTTTTCATGCCTGCCTAATTAACTGTTTGACAAGTAAAACAAAGAGAGGTAACATTAGTCATTGTGCAACAGGTAGAACATTGTCCATTGTTTCAGGTCAGCCTACTTAACTGTTTGACTTGTAAAACAAAGAGAGGTAACATTAGTCATTGTGTAACAGGTAGAACAATGTCCGTTGTTTCAGGCCACTACAGACATCAGCCCTAAGAATCTTCTGTAATGGAGTTAAAATTTATCATGCCTACAGAACACAAGATTAAACATCAGACCAGAAATAACCCCCAACATGAATCAGAAACACATGCCAGTAAATGGTTGCACATCTTTAGAACTACAAAGTTGAAGTTACTCTTGCAGGCAGATTAGATGGGTGGAATTCATCCAAAAATTAGAAGGAATTATAAACTATTTAAAAGTCGATGTGTGACCCTTGTCAGAGTCATTGTTTTCATTAAAATCATGCTTCTCTTGGCATCATTGTTTCTTTTCTTTTCTTTTCAATTCTTTTTTTGTTTTTGTTTATTTTATGCTTAAGTTGCCCACATTCTTCACTTTATGCAGCTTCTTCCTATATCTTACAATTGTTTATTCATATAATTTTGTTTGTTTGTTCGAAGTAGACTTTTTTTTTTTTTTTAAGCAATGGAGGCAAAAGGCAGGAAGATAGAAATATAAAAACATCATAACACTAGGAAATCTTTGATTGTCAAAAGAAGTTAAACTTGAAACTAAATTTTGAATATTTAGTTCTGACACAAATTATCATTATTGTATGGTTCATAAATATTGAGAATGCCTGGAACAGTTGCTAATAAATTACAACAGTTCATTAACTGGTGCCTGCACACAAAAGAAGGAATTAAACAGGATGATATAATCATTATTGTGAAGCCTTTAGATAGAATGAAACCAATTCCTGAGAACCAAGAGGTGAGGAAAAGATACTGGTGTATGATAAGACCAACACATGTTTACAAACCATATGAGGATGTGGGGAGAGTTGTAGGAGATAGCAAAAACTGGATAGCTTGATGGAGTTTACTGAAGGTCATTACTGCGACTGAGGATTCGTCTTCTTCTTCTGAGATCATTTACAAGTAATTTGAGGTCTAAAATGGGATAAATGGTCAAAGAAGGAGAATTGTTTCCTAAACATAAAGAAAGTTTACTGTTTTTTGACTATGTTTTAATCAGTTGCAGTTGAGATGTTGTGTTCATGTGTTCGTTTTTCTGATTCCTCTGATGTTAGTTTGAGCAGGATGAGAGTCTGCAGCAGTTACAAATTGACAACACAAAACTGGAAGCAGAACTACGGTTTGAAAAACAGAGGGCAGACATGTTGTACCAAGATCTGCAGGACTCACAGAAGGTAACCAAAACATTGATTGGCTGGTATGTTAGCCAGTTATTTTCTCAGTCTTAAAAGGAACTAGGTGACAGGCATTCATTGGCTTGTATGTTAGCAAGTTATTTTCTCAACCTTGTGAGGAACTAGATGACAGGCATTGATTGGCTTGTATGTTAGCCAGTTATTTTCTCAGTCTCGTAAGGAACTAGATGACAGGCATTGATTGGCTTGTATGTTAGCCAGTTATTTTCTCAGTCTTGTAAGGAACTAGATTAAAGGCATTGATTGGCTTGTATGTTAGCCAGTTATTTTCTCAGTCTCGTAAGGAACTAGATGACAGGCATTGATTGGCTTGTATGTTAGCCAGTTATTTTCTCAGTCTTGTAAGGAACTAGATGACAGGCATTGATTGGCTTGTATGTTAGCCAGTTATTTTCTCAGTCTTGTAAGGAACTAGATTAAAGGCATTGATTGGCTTGTATGTTAGCCAGTTATTTTCTCAGTCTTGTAAGGAACTAGATGACAGGCATTGATTGGCTTGTATGTTAGCCAGTTATTTTCTCAGTCTTGTAAGGAACTAGATAACAGGCATTGATTGGCTTGTATGTTAACCAGTTATTTTCTCAGTCTTGTAAGGAACAATATTTAATACACCCTCTGATCCTGTGGTAGTTAATCAGTTATCTCTTCTTCTCAGATGAAAGTAAGATTTCAGAAGACCCATGTGCATGTTTCACCCAGTAACTCTTGAAGTCCTAACAAATGGAAAGCAAATAACAGCCATAAAGAGAGGCTAGAGTGTATTACTTTCTTTGATGTAGTTGTTAGTCAGCGTTCCAATATCTCTGCAGATGGGCCACTTCATAACTGTTCCGTTTCTGTAGCAGTAGAATATTGAATTGAGAATCGACATCACAACACTTGGACACTCCCATGAGTGCTCAGTACCCATCTTCAGCAGCAAGCAAAGGGTTCCAGTTCGGATGGTGCCAGTAACCCTCTGATTGAATATCCGTCTTATCCTTTCCCTGAGTGTTGAGCATCGGCCAGATCCCTTGGTAACTCCTCGCAGCACCATTCTCCTTAGACCGTAATGATCTATCTGTGCCTCCGCACTGTTTACACGCCGCCAAAGGGCCCTCACAATATCTAACTTGTCATACATCAGTTCACCACCAAGTGGTGCAGAGCCAGCCAGTTTATCTGCCTGCTAATTTCCCAACACACCAACCTGGAGAAAATAGCCAAAGGATGCTAACTACACCAGACCTCTGAAGTGATGCTTGTCCTCTGCACCAGTAGAAATCAGACAAAGTGTTCTTCATTGTCTCATTACACAATTTGTCAGATCCCCCTTTAAAATTGTGGCCCCTGAGTTATCTTAGATGAATAGCCCAGCTATAGTTCTTATCTCCTCATATGACAGTTACCTGACATGTCAGTGCTACAGTAACATGACATTTGGCTTAAATTACAGGTACGTAGCAGCTTGGAAGCCCTGTGTTCCAACCTCAAGTCTACATCTGCTCACTTAGAAGAAAGACTTGGGGTAAGTTTTAGTCAGTTTTGTAATGACATCATTTTCAGTTGTCTTACCAATAATAAGGTCATCCTGTCACATCCTGCAGTCTCTTGCAGAATGAATAAACCCTTTCATACTGAAACACCGATATTTCAGCGTTGCTGTCCATTTGAAAATCTAAATAACCGACATTTCAGCTTTATGACTTTGATCCGTCTCTGCTATACTCATTATATTTGTTACTGTTTGCACCTCTTTTTTTAAATAATTATTATTACTTTATAATTTGCCTTAAGCCTTTAGCAGTGGCATAGCAATGAGGTCTTGAGTTACCCCATAAATATTTTGGGGAGCCAAATCCGACGGTTGGACTTCAGGTGCCACATATTTCCTGAGATTGGAAGGATTAGAAGACAGCAAGTAGTGACAGAAAGAAGAAAGCAGTAAAAACTAGATAACCAAAGAACATTGATGGATCATGATCACCAGAGATTCCGATTGAGCTCTTACAGAAGAAATAATTTCAGAAAGTCTCCTGTACTGCAGAAAGTGCTTTCTTTTCCCCCAAAATTGAGGCCTCAGAACCCACATGGGAAATATCTTACACGTCTGCCCAGATTTTGCCTTCGAGAGAAGAAATATAACCCACTCTGTCCTGTTTGTGACCTTCAAAACTAACTGTGAAGACTTTTTGTATGCTGTCATGTTTGTGACCTTTGCTGGAAAAGATGCATAACAAATGTTGATTGCTAGAGAATATGTTATAAACATCAGAAGAGTCAGATAATGAGCATTCAATTAGATATTTGTGTAACCATAGCCAAACTTTCTCTTTCAGTCAGAAAATGGATTTGAAGATGGTAGACTAGACGTGAGCCCAATTTTTTTTTAAATGTTTATTGTAGCTGAGGGCTTAATTACTGGCTAAAGCTTTCCTTTTTTTTTATTTCTTTGTTTAAAAGCGTTATGTAATATGTGTCTTTCTGACTTTCTTAATTTATAAAAATATAATTTACTTACATGTATGTTTCTGTCTGTCTTTGTCTGTAGAATAGTTAGTTACTAATTATATTATCTTTATATTCATTTCTTTTTAGAAGTTGTTTACTAACAGTTTCATGATCTATTTCTTGTAGACAAACTTAGCAGTTTTTTTGTGTGTATTACAAGAACTAGTTGCTGCCACTTGTCTTCTCTCGTCTCTCTCACTATTTGAATTTATAAACCATATACTGCTCATTGCCTAACTTTTATCCTTTTGCCCGGGTGATCTAGAAAAAAAAACAAAGCCAAGCTATTTATAATTTTTAGGATATTCCCAGAAAATATCTTTAGAAACATTAACCATTTTATACATGTCACCAAAACAAATCACACAAAATCAGTTTAACAACTAAAACATGAACAAATACTGTAGAGAGTAAGGGAAGTAATCAACACAAATGATCAACTGGCTTACCAATTCTAGTAAGACAATTACTTGACCCAGTGACCCCATCACCCCGGTAACCACTGTAGAAAATGGGAAAAAAAGATGTCAACATTTCTGTAAATACAGCTTTTTTTTTTTTTTTTAAAGAAACCCTCCCCCATTTCTATTTTTTAGTAAATTTTGCCATCCCCTGTCATACTTCTTCTTCTTCTTCTTCGCGTTCACCAGCTGTAAACTCTGGCGGAAGGTTCTGGTTGCTCATCCACTACTGAACTGCAGTCCTGCTCCAGAAGCTGAGTGTTGCGTGTGCATCAGTTTTACAGATCTCATTCTCTTGAATACACACTGTTGGTTCCTTGCCTCTCCGGCAGATGCACTCCGACTTCAAAGGAAGCTCCCCAATTAGTCGACTCTTACGACATGCTTTTGGGGAGGCAGTGGGTCTATTCTTGTTTTCCCCACAATGGGGCCCCGGAACCCACACGGAGGCCCTGTCATACTGAACTTTCATACATACAGAGAGGAAGGGAATTCTGTATTAGCAGGATGTCTCATAAACATGTCTGTAGTGAGTCAGAAAAGCTGCTTTTTTGGGAAAATGGTACCAACGAGAAGAATCAGTTTTACAACTTCTCTGGGTGAAAGGGGTAATATTATCAGCCTATGTAGAAAAAAAAAAAAAACAACTAAAGATGGTTTTGAATGTCATGAAGTGTATAATGTATATGATGCTAACCCCAGATATTTATAGAGCACTTGATGTGGTTAGTCTCATCTGGCATCTTTATATACCGGAATATTTTCATTTTAGGTCAGGTGAAATTCAATCCAGGCTGAATTATTTTTTTTTTTTTTATCTCTTTGCAATCCACACCTCGATGGGGATTTGAATAAGTGATAGCCTATCTTACATAGGATAGACTGTAAACCCTTTGTGACATATAAGGGCACAACAAGAGGATAATGATAGCCTATCTAGCAATCACAACTGCTAGCCAGTTCACTATGAAAACTTCTGCGACCAACTGTTATGTAGAACATTTTTTTGCTCAATTTTATATTACGTAGAATAATTTTTCTTCGCTAGATGTCTTCATTTTTTTTATTCCAGTCACTCTAGAAGATTTCTACCATGTTGAATAGTTATTAATTAATTGTATGTCATGTCTGTATATGCACTTCTCATAGTAGTTCAATTTTACACAGTTTAAATGACCATCAGTGGATACCATAATCATTTTGCCAATATCAAAACCATCATCATAACCATATGCCATACCGATAAAAATAGGTTGTTATGTTTTGCTATCTCACACAGTCATAAGAATCTCAGATCAGATCACTGTTCTTGTCTATCCCCTTCAAAGAGTTTATCTCATTGCCTTCCCCTTTATCACTGTCCTTCAATCATGTCAGTATAGCCATAGAATTATCGTGCCAGCAGAAGAGAGATTGGTTTATTTATCACTACATTTGTGTTCCCTGCTTCCATTTCATTCAGAATTGTGTTTCATCTAGTTAACTTTACTATTCTTTTTTTTGTCAGCATCTAGTCTAGTGTAAGTTGTGACACTGACCAAATCTGAAAAATTTACTCATTTATAGTTTTAGCCCTGCAGGAATAAATGTTCAGCATACCTTTATCTAATACTAATTTACTTATTATATTTGAACATTTTAATCCTTTTTTGCCAACTGTCTTGTATTTTGTCCTTTTATGATAGCTTTTCCTGTCCATATTTTTTAAATTGTATATTTCTGGTTTTGTGTTGACCTTGTTGGTTGTGTAATTGGTCTGTTGTTTTGTCAGCTGATAAAGACTGTAATTTCTTATACTTGGAGAGGAGATGGGCACCACCAAGCAAACCGTATGCCCACTGAAATGTATGATGGATAATCAGCACAAGAACCAAATACTTACCAACATACAGAAATAAGGGGAAAAAACTAGAAGAAATTGAAACCTTTAAATATCTTGGCTCCCACATTTACAGCGATGGCAGCTGTACCAAAGAGATCAAGACAAGACTTGAAATGGCAACAGCCGCGATGTTGCAGCTGAATATGATGTGGAAGAGCAAGATTAGCATCGCAGTAAAGGTCCATAGTTACAAATTACTGGTATTGTCTATTTTCTTATACAGGTGTGAGAGTTGGACTGTCACTGTGGAAATGGAAAGGAGGATTCAGGCTTTCCAATGTAAATGCTACAGACGCATTTTACGAATTAGTTGTTTAGAATACAAAACCAATAAATATGTCAGAGACAAAGTATACAAATTTGCGGGACATTAGGAGCCTCTCTTGGCAGTGGTGAAACATAGCAAGCTAGCTTGGTTTGGGTACGTGGTAAGACATGATTGCAAAGACTGTACTTTCTGGAACTTTGGAGGGTAGTCGAAGAAGAGGATGGCAAAGAAAAACTGCAATGACAACATCAAAAAATGGACGGGTCTAAGTTATCATACACTTATTCATCAAGCGGAAGATAGAGAAAGATGGTGAATTTTATGTGCTAGTGCTTTCATCAATACACCTCCACGACCCTAATGGGTCAAGGGTTATGTTATGTTATCTTAAAGACTGTAGCTGAAATGCTTGTTTTTGTGGTATTTTGCTTTCTATTCACTGAGCTTTCTAGTCATAGTTTGTCTGGTTTTTGTTTAGGTATTTTTGACTAGTCTTGCTTGTCTTCTCCCTGCACATTTAAGATTTATTCTTCTTCTACACTCGCACTTACAGGGATGGTTGATCTGTTGTTTTGTGGTTTATAGCTAGGCTGGGATATCTGCACCATACAGTCCACACATCCAATTTTAGCAAGCCCCCCCCCCCCCCTTCCCCCCTCCCTTCCGTCAACATAGGGCTCCAGAATTCACATGGGGAGTTCTTAAGGTTGAAGATGACTAATATTGGGAGAAGAAATCTCTCTTATTTGCTGCTGTTTTTTTGCTCTGATCAGAACTGTGCTTTGTTGAGAAAGACATTTATGCTGTTATGTGTTGTCTTATGTTGTTGTTGTCACGATGCCACAGATACTAATCTTTTGGGAAGAAATCTGTGCTCCTGTTTGTTGTGTGACGTTGTTATTGTTTGTTGTTCTCAAAGAGATACTAATATTGTAGGCAGAAATCGCTGCACGGGTGGTTTATGAAACTGAAGCAAAAGACCACAAAACTCTCTATGATCTGGAAACAAAATCACGTTCAAAATTAGGTCTGCGGGTGAGTGTAGTTTGCCTTATTTGTGTGTTTTGAGTGAAATCACTCACAAAGTTTGAAGTCTTTTTAGATGAATATGGCATGCCTTATTTGTGTGTTGTGGGTGAAGTCACACTCAAAGTTTGAGATTTTTACATGAATTTAGCATGCCTTATTTGTGTGTTGTGGATGAAGTCACACTCAAAGTTTGAGATTTTTACATGAATTTAGCATGCCTTGTTTGTGTGTTGTGGGTGAAGTCACACTCAACGTTTGAGGTTTGTACATGAATCTAGCATGCCTTATTTGTGTTTTGGGTGAAGTCACACTCAAAGTTTAAAGTTTGTACATGAATTTAGCATGCCTTCTTTCTCTTTTTGCCCTTTATCCCCCATAGTAGCATAGGCTGTCAACCAATTCGTGCCAGGTTGTTCTGTCCTTCACTACTGCACGCAGTTCACACCATGGCCTTCACATATTTTTGTTCTCTAACTCAGTTCTCCATGTGTTTTCGGTCTGCCTGTATTTCTATGCCCCTGTGGGTCCAGTGCAGAAACATTCTGGTTATATTGTTCTCAGATTTTCTCGACGTATGTTTTATCTACTGCCAGCATTTTTTCCTTGCCTCTTGGTCCACTGGAACTTGTTTAGTTCTCTCCCAAAGCGCAACATTATAGATTCTATAAAACCATTTAATTTCCTCTATTCTGCGCAGGCACCAATTAAGGAGTGTTTTTATTTTATTAGTAATTGTTTTAGTTGTTCTCCATGCTTCTGCTCCATACAGCTGTATTAATTTGACAATAGAACTAAACAATTTAAGTATGGTATTAGTTTTAATTTCCTTTGACCTCCACAAATGTCCTAGTGCTATGAAAGCTTCTCTTGCTTTTTGAATTAGTATTTTAAAATCTCTGTCAGTTTCCTCCATCTTTATCTACATATCTCTATCTGCCCAGGTGTATGACTCTATATCTTCGAGTGAAGCATGCCTTATTTGTGTGTAATTAGTTAAATCACACATCTCTTGGTCAATGTAGCTTGTCTTAAGTGTGTGAATTGAGTGAAATCGCTTACAAAGTGTGAGGGCATGCCTTATTTGTGTGTAATCAGTTAAATCACACATCTCTAGGTCAATGTAGCATGTCTTAAGTGTGTGAATTGAGTGAAATTGCTTACAAAGTGTGAGGGCATGCCTTATTTGTGTGTAATCAGTTAAATCACACATCTCTAGGTCAA